GAACAGACTCCTGGGGCGACGCACGAAGGTCAGAAACTGAGCCTATGTCTCCAACATCACCACCCGCATCAAACGACCGAGCTGCCCAAATTCGCCAAAAGAGGGCAATGAGCGGGCCGTATAGCAGTCTCCAGGCGGATGCCGTTCGTCATAGTTCATCGACCCCTCTAAATTTAAACATATCTACTTCAGATCTAGACGATGATGAGTCAGAAGTTCGCGACGGCGAAGAAGCGAAAGACGATTCAGCAAAAGACGACTTAGTAGCCCCAACCGACGGATCATCTGGGAATTTGGACAGCTATTCAGCCGAAGAGACTGTCCATATCGCAACGCGTTTTAAGCATGTAATGACAGATGATGGCCATGCCGTCATTACTGGGAGAGATGGAGTTTTGCAAAAATGTGAAGATGAACCTATTCATATTCCTGGTGCTATTCAGAGCTTCGGTGTCCTTTTGGCCATGCGCGAAGAAGAGGAAGGCCAGTTTGGTGTGCGATACGTTAGCGAGAACAGCAAAAAGCTTCTGGGTTATACGCCTCAGCAATTATTCCGACTTGAAAGCTTCCTCAGTATCCTGACCGAAGAGCAGCAAGACAACCTCCTAGACCATATTGACTTTATCCGAGATGAGGATGCTGATCCTGCTTCCAACGGACCCGAAGTTTTTAGCATCTCGATACGGCCCAGAAAAGAAAAGAAGAGCGTCAAACTCTGGTGCGCCATGCACATCAACCCTGCCCACCCTGATTTGATCATTTGCGAATTCGAGAAAGACGATGACGACGAGTATCCTCTTAGGCCCCCAGAAGAGAAGAACGAGCCTATGCCTACTGACACCCTCAACGGTAACCCTACGTTGGAGCAGATTGAGGAGAGTACAGAAATTTTAAGCAAGCCGCTAAGAGTCTTGCGTAGCGCCAGGAAAAAGCGAGGCGACCAAGGAGCAATGCAGGTGTTTGACATCATGTCTCAAGTTCAGGAGCAGCTCTCCTCAGCCCCCAACCTCGATATCTTTCTAAAGGTCCTCATCGGCATAGTTAAAGAACTCACTGGATTTCATAGGGTCATGATATATCAGTTCGACGCTTCGTGGAACGGCAAAGTTGTGGCCGAGCTGGTCGATGCCTCAAAGACGACCGATCTCTACAAAGGACTCCATTTTCCGGCATCAGATATCCCCGCTCAAGCGCGCGATCTATATAAACTGAATAAAGTTCGGCTGCTCTACGACCGAGACCTAGAGACCTCGAGAATTGTTTGTCGGACTCAGGAGGATCGTGACGTACCCTTGGACATGAGCCATGCGTATTTACGGGCCATGTCCCCCATTCATCTAAAATATTTAGCAAATATGGCCGTCAGATCGTCCATGTCAATCTCCCTCAATGCATTCAACGAACTCTGGGGGTTGATGGCATGCCATTCCTACGGAAATCACGGCATGCGAGTCTCCTTTCCGATTCGAAAAATGTGTCGCTTGGTCGGGGATACGGCTTCGAGAAACATTGAGAGGTTATCGTACGCATCCAGGCTGCAGGCTCGCAAGCTCATCAACACTGCTCCGACTGACAAGAATCCAACTGGATATATAATTGCGTCCTCTGACGATCTGTTACGACTGTTCGACGCGGACTTTGGTCTGCTTTCCATTAGAGGAGAGACCAAGATTTTAGGCGTAATTGAACAGAGCCAAGAGGCTTTAGCAATGCTCGAGTACCTTCGGATGCGTAAGCTGACATCGGTGGTTGCGTCGCAGGATATCAGAGAAGATTTTCCAGATTTGCAGTATCTTCTTGGATTTCAAGTCATCGCAGGTCTTCTCTATGTACCCTTGAGTCATGGTGGTTACGACTTTATCGCTTTTTTCCGCAGAGGTCAGATTAAGGAAGTCCGATGGGCTGGAAATCCATACGAAAAGACACTTCGAGAAGGCACCAAGGAGTATCTGGAGCCTCGCGCAAGCTTCAAAGTATGGAATGAACTAGTCATTGGCAAATGTCGAGAATGGGTTGAAGAGCAGATCGAGACCGCCGCAGTCCTCTGCTTAGTCTACGGTATTGTTCTAGATACTGGCATTATTCGACCAACGTATACTAACTCACGCTGATATAGGCAAATTCATTGAAGTTTGGAGAGAAAAGGAGGCCGCTCTACATAACACTCGGTTAACTAGACTTTTGCTTGCCAATTCGGCGCATGAGGTCCGCACACCTCTCAATGCCATCATCAACTACCTTGAGATTGCTCTTGAGGGGTCTCTCGATCAAGAAACTAGAGAAAATCTTGCCAAATCACACTCGGCTTCAAAATCGTTGATTTATGTCATCAATGACCTCTTGGACTTGACCAAGACCGAAGAAGGGCAGAATTTGGTAGTACAGGAAACCTTTGAGCTCGCCAACTGTATAAATGAAGCTTTAGACCCGTTTCGAACCGACGCCGAGAGGAAAGGAATTGACTATCAGGTCAAGCACCATCCTGAATTACCTAAATTTGTTCTAGGTGATAGCCGACGCGTCCGTCAAGTCATCACAAATATTACGGCAAACGCGATAGCACACACAACATCTGGATATGTTAACGTGGATATCTTTGTTGCCGATGTTAAAGAAGATGGGCAAGTTGTTGTTGAAATTGTTGTTGAGGATTCTGGTAGCGGTATGACTCCGGTGCAAATGGATGGGCTCTTCCGAGATCTCGAGCAAGTTGGTACAGAAGAGTTTGACCTGCGAGCGCCATTTGAACAAAATAGTGGACCACAGGAGTTGAAAACCCTGGGACTTGGACTGGCAGTTGTTGCTCGAACCATCAGAAACGCGGGCGGACAACTAAGGTTGAAATCGAAGGAAGGGGAAGGATCTAGATTTGTTATTCAGCTGCCGTTTCAATTGCCCGATGAATCACCAAATTCGGAGGGAGATGGATCTCTCAATGGTCCCATCTCTTCTAGCAAAGATGTTCCGGCTTCAAAGTCAGCACCCCTGGCGCAGGAAAGCGAGATACTTTTGATTGACCCAAATAAAACCGCGGGAGATGCTGCTTCTTTGGAGCGGCGGAGCCTTGATAGCTGGCGAAGTGGTGTAAGCCAGGACGGAAGCCAGAAGAGCGACGCAGACCGCCTAATCGATGCCATCAAGACCCCATTATCTCTGAAAGAGAAGGATTCGGAATATTTCACGCCTAAAGCCCAGGTTGCCAACACTTCCAACCCCATCGGCACGAGTTTTTCTATTCCAACGTCTATCCCAACGAGCGCGCCTCACCACTCTGACCTTACCAATAACACCGTTGAAGAAGATGGTACCGCCAAGGTTCGTGACTCGAAAATGCCCGTTCGAGCGATTAAAGTGCCAGACGAATTCTTTGATATACCCCGGGCTCCTCAACATAAAAGGACAGGGAGCAATTCCGAGGCTGATACAGATGCTACCGAAACAAAACGTCCGCCCGGCTCAATCAAAAGTGCTGCCGCAAGTAGCGGCAACGCATTGTGTGTGCTGGTCGCGGAAGATGATCCCATTAATATGAAAATTTTGATAAAGCGACTGGAAAGAACTGGCAATACCATCCATACCGCCGTCAATGGAGAGATCTGTGCGGCAATATACAACGAGAGCTCATCTGACTTCGATGTCGTCCTCATGGATATGCAGGTAAGTGGCATCCAATGTACAGCTTTTTGGAGAATGTTGAAGATTAACACGCGCTTTAGATGCCGATTGTTGATGGTTTGACCAGCACCAAGCTAATCAGAGAGATTGAGATATCACCCGAGCACAAGGGTCATTCAGCTTTGGCCGAAAAATGTGGCCGAATCCCGATATTCGCCGTGTCAGCTTCTCTTGTCGAAGAGTTAAAAGACAGATATGTCGAAGCCGGCTTCGACGGATGGATCTTGAAGCCTATTGATTTCAGAAGACTCGCAACTCTCCTTCGGGGCATCTATGACATCGAAACGCGAAAGTCATGTATATACGTTCCTGGACAATGGGAAAGGGGTGGCTGGTTTACGGAATCCACGGAGACTAAGATAAACGATGCAAAAGCTTGATGAAATTTTTCTTTAGTGTATACGACTGCTACGGCATGGGGAGAAACATATACGGAAATACCTGTGGGCGCGAGGGTCTTGTTTTTTGGGGAGTTTTACATCTTTTTCATGTAGTATTTTTTTTTTCTGTATGGATACGAATTGGCAATAGACGAGCCATTATAGAAAGCAATGACGGATGGCGGCAGGACACACGGCGGACACACGGCGGAGTTGGCATGTTTTTTCACTGCAGATTAAGTCAAGAAGGCGCTGTTGTGACGGCCAGATCTTCTGCCTTTTGGTGCTTGCTGGGGATTTGTTTTCGTGAATGAGGATGATGAAGCGTGCTCGGACTTTTATCATGATGCAAGGCGTGTGCCATCTTGGCGGTCTCAATAATCTCCTTCTAGGTTATGCCGTCAACCTGTCTCTGAGCTCGCCTTCCATTATCGAGGGCTGTCTTATCCTTGGTAATCCCCTGCAGCATATAGAGAGATGGCATCAATCGTCTACACTTTAACTTGTATGGTGGGTATAGCACTGACCGTGTTGACCTCGTTTGACGCATTTGTACAGAGCAGTGCTTTCTCAATACCAGCTGCACCGTATTATTGTTTTTATAAAAAGTATTATGCTCTAGTTGAGATGAAGCAGACTGTTACTGCCATAGGAAAGAAGCGTATTGATAGCCATAGATGGGGAGGGAGTGTTTCTGTTACTTTATATCAGATGAGAGAATTCATTAACATCGTATTGGTATCTATTCAGCCTAAACATATAATATCTAAACAGTTTTATCCAACACCAACGCAGAGGAATAACAAATACTAAAGTAAATAAGTAAAAGCCGTCGTATCCAAGAAAGTCAACGCGGCGTAGAGGGAGGTCATTGAGGAATATATACAAAGAAACATGCAGATGGATAGCTAGGGTAGAGAAAACGGACTCATCGTCCGCTCCTCATCAAGATTTTCTGAACTTCAGCATCCGCTTCAACAGACCTGGCTTCGTCTCGTGATTCTCCTCCTGGATGTTGTGTTGACCAACAATATCTAAAAAGACCTGGTCAAGCGTCGTAGTGCTGACGCTGTAGTGCTCAACACCTAGGCGAGCCTTGTTCTCTTCTAGTAGGACGACGAGTCGCCCAATGGCTCCTTGGCTGATATCATGTCCAACGGGTGTCACATCGTCGGCACCTGGATCTTTGGTGAAAGCAAGAACTTGGCTCGAGAGAACAGAGAATCGCAGCTGTCCATGGTACATCTTCGACTCAAGCTTGGCTGTGGGTAATGTATCGAGAATCCACGACGTGATGGCTTCCATCTCCTCTTCTGTTGTCCTGGGGGCTGTGCTCGACACAAGATGCACATGTAGGGCGTCACCGAAGCGATGCCGCAGGTCATCAGGCGTACCGAGAGCGAGCATTCGTCCGGCTAGAATGCCAGCACGACCAGCCAACGCGTCGGCCTCTTCCATGCTGTGTGTTGTCAATAAGATGGATCGGCCCGGGACCGTAGCTTGGAGCGTCTTCCACATGACTCGCTTGGATGCGGCGTCTAGGCCAGATGAGGGCTCATCAAGCAGGACGACACCAGGGTTGCCCATGAGAGCAATTCCCAGACTCAGCTTGCGCTTGTTGCCGCCTGAAAGGGCGGCTGCCATGCGTGTTGAAAAAGAGCTGAGGCCAACGGCTTGTAGGACTGCGGTGACGTTATGCTCGATATTAGGAATGCCCCGAACCTGAGCATAAAATTCCAGATGTTCTCTAACAGTCATCTGATCCAAGGCGTCGATTTGGGGACAAACACCAAGGTTTGCTCTCGCACCAGCCAGATTCTTTGTCACAGACACGTCTTCAATAAAGATGTCTCCGCCATTGAGGTTTGGCTTGAGGTCACCCCGAATGAGTGAAATGGTGGTGGATTTGCCTGCTCCATTTGGACCCAAGAGAGCAAAGACTTCGCCACGTTTCACGCCAAAGCTCACGTTGTCCACCGCGAGGTTCTTCCCGAATGACTTTGTCAAGTGCAAAACTTTGAGGCCATCATCTTCCGCAGAATTCGCAATCCTAAGCTCTTCTTGCATCACTTCCTCATCTGCCTGAGTAATGTTGTTTGGGTGCTTGTGGTTATTGAATAGAGCTCTTACAGAAGACCCTACATTTCCGCTGTCAAACCAAAGTAATAGTCCAAATAGAATGATGCACTGGATAATGAGATAAAGGATAGGACCTCCATACGCCTTGAGGCCGCTGGGGTTTGTAGAAAGCTCGTTGCCATCGCAGGCAGTAGAGAAGAGGTTTGTTGCGAGGAACAGTGCTCGAGTCACTGAGCCGACAGGCATGAATGCTGAGATGACAAAATGGCAGACCAACAGTGTGTTGTCAATCTTGGAGACCTCGACATATGTAATGACACAGACATAGGCGATCAAGTAGCCGAGGAAGAAAACTGCCTGCCCGGCAGCCGCCCAGGCAAACGTGGCTAGCTGCGACTTGGTGAACAGAGATACCATATATGACACCAATATAGAAGCCAGGCCATACAAAAAGAGCACCACAAAGACATATTCAATGTGGTACCAAACGTTTGACAGTCCAGCCCATAGGGCAGTGACAATTGCGGAGCTGACCAGGGCCATTATAAAGTCAAATAAAAGATAGGCCACCCACAGGGGGAATGGCCTGACGCCGTTGGAGTACTGCAAGCTGCGCACAAATCGCCTGCGCTCGTTACTCGGATACAGGGCGAAGAATGCTGGGTAGCAAGCGAGCGCCAAGCCCATATAGATGACCAAATTGAGAGCTTTTCCGATGGAGGAGTTGAAAGGAACGTCAAAGGAAGACCATGATGTGGCAATCGTAGTGTTCGTCAACATCACGTCGAGGAACTGCTGAGCCGTAAGTGGGCTCGTAACAAACACGTTACCAACCCAGGCAACGGTGGGATTTGTGTTGGCGTCGCCAAGCCACAGACCTGTAGTGAGATTTTTGCTGTTGTCCCGAACAAACTGATTGAATTCATCAAAGGTTTCGACGAGGTGAAGGTTGCTAAGAGAAGACGCAGCGATGCTGAGAATGGGGCTAGGGTTGATACCAAAGATGGGTCGGAAGAGACTCGAAATCAGCGTCTGATTGAATTTGTTAGATGGTCCGGCAAGGAAAACGAGGCTATCACCGTCACCGATTTGAGTAAATGCGTCCTCAGTATCAGAGGTCGAGGCCTGGTCAGTGGGCCTGCAACCTGTCGGCTCTTGGTTTTTGACGAAAAGAGAAGTTAATCCTGCTGCCATGATGGGAAGCAGGAAGGCAATGGCGTAAAGTATCCAATTTCTCTTCAGCACTGTCCAACGCTTCTTGAATAGGATGACGGCTTGTTCAAAGTAGCCCAATCGTTTGCCATCAAGAAGCTTTAGGCCAAGCCCCTGTCCCATTTGCGGACTAGAGGAATCCCGCGAAAAGCTGCTGTCATCTTTGATTGGCATTTTCTCGACAATGGTCTCGGTCTCTCGGAAGATTTCTTCGTCTCTGATTTCTTCCGCAACTTGCAGAAATACGTCTTCAATAGTGGGACCAGAGAAGCGATAGTCTGTGATATTCTCCTTCTGTAGTGCTCTGATGACCTCTGCCGCTAGTCTAGACGTTGGGGCAACATAGGTGATCAGGTCAAAAGCATCCTTCTTTCTCACACCAGCAATATTAGGCGTTTCTCTGATATCCGGGTTCTTGTGTACGTTGACTCTGTAACCGCCTCCAAGTGTATCCTTGAGCTCCACAGACGAACCTTCGGCCCGCAGTGTTCCCTTGGACAAGATGGCAATGTGATCAGCAAGAAGGTCGGCCTCGTCCAGAAAATGGGTAGTCAAAATCAAAGTCCTCTTTCCTCTCTCAGCCAGTAGAATATCCCAGAGTTTGCGTCGAGATAGCGGATCGATGCCGCTGCTCACTTCATCCACACAGCAAACAGCACTTCCGCCTACCAACATCATTCCAAGCTGCAGCTTTCGCTTTTGACCTCCAGACAAAGTTTTAGCCAAAGCCTTTCGTTTATGGACGAGGTCAATAGAGTCGATTAATTCGGTAATCTGTTCTTTGGTTGCCGGTGCATATGGTGATTTGAGCTTGCCGAAAATGATGAGGTGCTCCTCGACTGTTAAGTCGTCCCATATGACGTTCTTTTGCGGCGCAATACCAAGGCCGCCTTTGCCGTCGATCGTAATTGATCCGCTGGTAAGTTTATTCAGGCCTGCAATTGCATCCAAGGTCGTGCTTTTGCCGCTCCCGTTGGCACCCAAAAGGGCGACAATCTGGCCCTTTCTGACGTCGAAACTAAGCCCATTGACGGCTACAACAGGCTCTTTAGGTTTGGAGCCCATAGCAAACACGCGCGAGAAGAAGCTAGGTTTGTAAATCTTGGTGAAGTTGTCAAGTTTGACAGCAACCTCGCCAAGACTTCCATCCCCGGCCTTTAATATGCTGCGGCCTTCCGTGGAGGTACCATAGAGGCGCTGCTCGATCAGTGCGGCAAGAAGTGGGTATACAAAAATGTGAACAACCAGAAAGATCCAGAGAGCAATGCCTGGAAGCTTCCAGGGGCTGTCGGGGGCTATTTCGACAAGGTTGGTTGGCCTATTTTGCTTCTCAAAGCGAGACATGAGGGTGATGAAGTAGACATAGGCACATGGCGAAAAGAGCACTGACAAAATCACCACGGGTCCCGTTGAGGGCTGAGTGAGAGATTGCGCCAGAATGCCAAGCAAGAGGATGACAAGAATAGCGGTAATACCACTGAGCTGGGCCTTCTTAAAGAAGGAGGCAAACAGGATAGACATAGACGCAAGAGCAAGACCTGCGGTGATGTGGAAGAGGAGAACAATGGCAAGATTGGTGTAGAAAAACACGCCATATTTCACAATGGCGGATCCTATAACCCACGCCGGCAAATAGATGATTGAGAAAGAGAGATGGTGGGAGATGATACGGGCTGCTAGTGACATCCACGGCTTGCTAACAGGCATCATGGCATCCAGAAGCTGCGACATGCCAGTTTCACGTTCGGTAGCAATGTGGCCAGTCAGGTGGTATGTGATCCAAATGACGGAGGCAATGAAGGCAACTCCCATAAAATTCACAATAGCTTTGTGAAAAATTGCCCTCACTTTTTTTGCTCTCTCTTTCTGGGTCAAGTTGGTGAAGGGCATCTCCTGAGTGTTGGCAAGAGCCTGTGCCGCCTCAGTGCTGTTTAGACCGGCAATGAGGCCATCTATGGTGCGTTGAATAGGTAAAAGATAGACCTCTTCGGGATTGTCAGACTTATCAACGTTGATCTTGAGGGGGCTGTCGGACATCTCGGCATCCGTGCGAATGGTGTAGTTCCATAGACCACCGTCTCCCTCATTTGGCGACGACCGCATGACGACAGCCCCAAAGCAGGTTGTAACTCCTCGCAGGCTGCTTCGACACTCGGTGACCAGTGTATCTTCACTGTTTGTTCTGACGACGTCGATCCAAGGCCCCTGTGCTGTTATTTGCGTATGAAGCTGATCCAGCACATTCTCTATGCTCCCTCCTGTGAATCCGTTGTCGACAAGCACGACTTTGTACCGTCCACTGTTAAAAGCAGCGTCGAAAGCTTGCGATAGAGTTTTGATAGGATGAATCTCTCCGAACCCGAAAATTGCAGGTGGGACGAAGAGGTTCTTTGCAAAGCTGAAAAAGGCGGCTAGGATGATTGGCACGAGAAAGGCCATCACGATGACCTTTGTGAGGTGGCGGAAGAGCAGATACCGGAAATTCTTGGACATTAAAGTCCGGACCTGCTTAAAGAAAGCCATGGCGAAGATGAGGTGGCTCGATAGCCGTGAAGACTGGAGTGCTTCGGTTCCTCTCGCCCTGCTGGACTCCCGCAACAGCAAACGATGAATAGCAGAAAAATACAGGCCCTGAAGAGGGCGATAAACATGGAGCTGCACACCGCAGCGTTGATTGTATCAAGTGTCGAAAAGAGAAACCAAATATAAAACCAAGTATTTGTTAGGGGGGAGGGAGGGAAGAAATAAATTGTCGAGTTTAGAACACGCATCCATAGATAGGGCTGTGCTTGCGTCCGTTGGCGTCACAGATAGATTGACCCGTTTGCTGTGAAGTTTCGAGAGAAACGGACAGATTGGAGCGCGCCACGGCGTATTCGTACCCAGCAAGGCGATGAACTTTGATGATGATAGCAACTGGGGACTTTGTGATATAAGGGCGAGTATCTCGTCAATCGAATCGAAGCGTCAATCCTAGCAAAAAAGACCTGAACCTTAGGAGATGATCATCCACATAACAAACGCCACTCCAGCGCCCGTTTGTTAGTGAGGATGGCTAAGGGGTCGGGCCTCGGCTTAGCTCATCGATCGAGCTGCTGGCGCAACTCATACGAGGCTCTGGAGACGACAAACAAGAGAAGAGATTGAGATACAGGGAGAGAGGGAGATGAACTGTCCCTGATGCCGCTATTCGCGCATGTTGGGGATTTCTGGTTTCGAGCCGATTCGCGCCTCAATAAGGACAAAAGAAAAGAGGCAAAAGCCAAGCAATGCGCCCTTCCCTAGCAATTGGCCAAGAGACAACAATGGCTCCACTTGTATACGCGGACACTATAAAAACGCCCGTGCTAGAGAAATCGGGCAGGAGATGGGCGGACAAAGTTGTCCGTATTCCGTGCCCTGGATTCCAAGGCTTTGGATGCTCTTGTTGGCATAACGAGATGCTACGAATGCTCTTCTAGAGATATTTATGCTAATCAGCTAGTTTCGTACAAATAAATGCATTTGATAGCAGTCAGATTCCCGTCGCTACCAAAAGCTACAGAATCAAAACAATCTTGGAAACTCCGCAAATACTCGTACACAACCCACTAAAAATACGGAGCAACAACGCCCCTAAGAACTTATTTTTAACCGTTTGAGCCCAAAAACACAAAACGCCCATAAGACAGACAATAAGCTTTCACCCAGACCGCAAGTTCAGAGTAACTCCGAGCGCAAATTGGCTCAAACAATTATTTGACCAACACGACCTCCATTCATCATCCATACAAAGCCGATCACTCTCAATAGGTTCTCTCACATAATCATCGCACTTTGATCGAAGGAATCCATGACTTACTCACTGCTCCAAGCGCACCAGTCCGTGTTGTCGCGGCCGGGATTCGGGAAGATGTCGACCCGAATCAGACAGAACGCGCCCCAGGCCGCTGGTTTTCTAACGTGATTGCTGTCCTGAAACTGGAGATTGTCGCTTTGTATGGAATAGTAGGAGCATGCGCAAGGCCAGATCACCAACTGGCTTTTGCCCCCTTCTAATAGCTCGTATTCTTCTTCGAAATCGCAACGTACCTCATTCACATGCAGCCGAGTCCAAGGCTACCAATCTAGAAAACTTCGGCCAATTGCAAAAGCAGCAAAAAGCCAAAAAGCACACAATTCTAAGGTAAATCGAGACGACGGCTATTCAAAGTAAATCCAAAGTATGCGTTACATGCCATATATAAGAGGTCACTCCACTAAGACCGGTATACTATTCAACCAAGAATCCGCCACCCCCATCGTCATCGTCATCGACAACCATATCAAACTCCTCAGTCTCATCGCTTGCCGCGCCAATTTCGGCCTCTAATTCCGCTTGTCTGTCTGCTTCCTTCCTTTCGTCTTCTCCAACGTTGCTCCATATCCTTTCCCGAATCCTCAGGCCCATGAGAAGACGCCTCCAAAGCTTCAGTGCTACATATCGCCTCTTCTCATCTTCCGACTCTTGCTCCAAATCGAGCATCCCCTGAATAGTCGCGTGAATAGCCTCTTCAAATTCTTTTGCAATAACAACTCCATTCAATACAGCCGTCCCCTGTCGGCCCTTGAACTGAAATCCCGTGAGCGCTGGTGCGCAATCAATTCCCAATGCATATGCTGCCCGTCGAGCATATTCGCTCGCTATGTGAACGCCACCTTTCGGAACCATGCTAGGCACGTATACTTCAATGTTGCCAAATTTGTTTTTCGGTATACGTCCGTTTCGTACAGGAGGCGGCTCATATATCTCAGCCTGGTCTACCGTGTAAATCGGTGTCCCCGCATCACCTTCATCCTGATCCTCTTCCTCATACCGGGATCTCTTATTTTGCACTCGTTTGGGAAGCCATTTCGCGGGAATCTCTCCAGGTCTGACTTCATAGCCAAGTCGGAACCACTTCTCAGCACTCCTCGCAATTCGAACATCTTTTCGGCGATAAACCTTTTCCAGAGGGGCGCGAGCTCCGGCTGCCACGGTTCCAGACGGCACGGCTCCTGGAATGAGCACCTCATGCCGACGAAGATGACGCTCTAGAGCATATACGGGATGGCCCTTAAAATCCTGTACGTTTCTCGGCATTGGCTCTCTCGCCTCAACTCCACTTAACTCGATATCTTCGATCTGGTCCAAGTCGGTGGTCGTCTTGGGCTTATACATCTTCATGACTTTACGCCACCACTTTTGGCCATCGTCCAAAGCAGTTTCTATACGCAATTTTCGCGTCTTTGCTGCGTATCCTTTGGCATATCGCCGCGTAACATCCTTCGCAGTGCCATCTGCATTGAATGCAATAACGTAGGATAAACAATTTTCCTTGTCTGTGATGGGGGGTTCAAAGACCTTTGGCTTCCAAAAAGTGTGCGTCACTACTGGGTCCGTAGGCTGCCATTTCTGGTGCCCTACGTCAAGGATTTCCACCCAGTATATTGGATATGTAGATTCGCGTATTTGTTTGGGCGCTGAAAAGGTTGGGCGTGGCTTCGTAGGAGCGGCGGTGGGCTCGAAATTGTAATCTGTTGCGTTTGGGTGACCTAATCTGCGTCTAGCTGTTGAAGGACCGGCGGATGAGGTCGACGAGACTGCAGCGGCCATTTCTCTATATTTTGCTACTTGAGATAGCATGTGCTCGGCTTTGGAAACGGATTTTGGTTTGGCGGTCTCTTTGGTTTTTGGAAGGGTAGGTCCCGCAGAGCCAAATGCGAGAGGCTGCAACGAACAAACCAGTCGAGCACGAACACCAGCGCTTCGCAGCAAGGCGCAATACAACTGAGCCCCGACATCTCGTGATCCTTGTAAAGTCCTGGCTGCTTCTCTAAAATCTGACTTGTCTAGACATGATTCCATATCATTCGGAAGCACATACTAAAAGGCGGGTCAGAAACAAGCTTCCATTGTCAGAGATGGGCCACGTACGCTGTCAAGCTGCTCCACCTCTTCTGCCCACAAGGATCTCCTCATGCCACGCTCTGTAATCTCATATTGTTCCTTCCACATGTCTGCAACGAACTTTAGCCCATTCTTCAGACTTTCGGTTCTTCCAAACTGAGATAGGTTGGTCCCTGGAGTAAGATATTGAATCATCTTATCCGTCAGACGAGACCGGAGAGAGTCTTGAACTTCCGCATCATTGCACCAATGATTTCTCTTAGCCACATGAGACATCAGACAAATCAAATGAGCCTTGTGAATATCAATGCGGCGCTCTCTTTCTTCTTTGGTAATTGGTCTTCGTCTGTCGGGCCCTTGCTTTGATGTCATGGCAGATTTCTGTGCTGAGAGGTTGAGTTCCAGTTCCTTTGGTTCTTGTTGCTCCGAGTCTCCATCCGGTAAGGGGATAAGTAAGTCAACGTCCTCAAAATTTAAATCTTCATCTTCATCTTCTTCCTCGTCTGACTCCAACTCGAGAGTCTGGACAGTAGGTTCAGGAATAGCAACATCCTCAAATTCAGCATCCTCTTCCTCGTCGTCGCTGTCGTCTTGCTGCTTAAGCTCTGGTTTCGGTGCTTCTGTAGCCAGTGATGCTTTTGAAGGCTCATTCGGCTCTGTTGGCCTCTGAACCGCTGGAACGACCCCGCGTCTTTTCTTCAATGGCCTCTCAGGTGAACTAACAGCTGGCGGCGTAGACATTCCGGCCTCAGCCAGCATCTCCTGATATATATCGGGCTCATTTCCATCAGCGCCACTCGGCCGCTGACGGTTGCCCCTCTGAGGAGCACTGCGTCTCTTTCCGACCATTTTCACATGTTAGCCAAAGTTGGGCCAAAGTTGGTTCTCGAGCAGCGCCTATCCGCGATTCCCCAGCAATTGCGTCACAGTTACCACGCGAGAGGCGGCGCGAAGTCACGTGCTTCTCTTAATGTGCGCCTGGCGACTAAGAGAAGAGACATTCGAGACAGTGAAAAGAAAACCACTACAACACTGTACACGGATTCAGAGTCACCAATATGGTGAATATAGGCCAAAGACAAACCCATTTGCTCTCGACATTTAGTATTAGACTGCGTTTTGGTATGTCAATCACCAACTTCACATTGGAAATAAGCTGTTCATCCAGCGTTTCTTTAAAAGTGGGCACATATGGCCTAATTATTAAGGACTGCATTTTTCTCTCATCTTGCGCAATAAAAGCTATACGGCAACATCAAGTCTAAAATGTCAGTGGTAATCCGAATACGATTCTTTGTTCCAAAAACTGCTCCCAATGAGCCCAGAATCCCGCTGTGACTTCTTTGGAAACTCCATAGCCACCCAATCAACCTAACAAGGCAGCGCAACACAGCACAAAACAGTCAAAAACAGCAGATAACCATCACTATTTCAACGCCAATCAAAGTCAAAGCCCAAACATCAAAGCACCTCACTTTCATCTATTTCGTCAACCAGCCCAGATAATCGGCAACGATGAGAGTTACCATGCTATATGAGACCACAGTCAGCTATGCGAGCTTCGACTTACGAATATTTCCGGTCAGGGGAGAGATAACTTACGCATGAGGGGCAATGCGGACGTAGTACGTTCCAAATCCTCGATAGAATCTCATGACGCCTTCCTGTCGGGCCACCTTGGTGAAGCAGTCGGCCATTCCCTTGTACGGAAGCTTGCCGTCAGGTCCCCTTGACTGCTTCTGCAATCTTGTCTTGACAAAGTCAAATGGGAGACTGAAGAAACTGGCAAAGAAACCTGCAATAGCACTGGCGCTCAGAGTTTGGGCTTGTGCAGACAAGTTTGTGTTCTGCTTCATCTGTGCCTTGGCCTCACTGAAGAAGGCCAGCTGACCGAAGTTGAGGGCCATGGCGCGAACAACGGTTGGTGCGGCACCCGCCCAGAGAGCTGCGATGCCTTCGCCCTTGGCAATGGATCCCAGTGCATCGATGACCGACTTGTAGTTCTTGCGCTCGGCAAGAGGCTTCAAGCCGTCGCTCTGCATTCGAATCAGTGCCAGGTCAGCCGGGTTGCCAATCATGGCTGCTAGACCACCGGCCGCCAAACCAGCTGTTGCTCGTTCTGAGAAACCAATCTGTTTATTCTGGGCTTTTGCTCGCTCTGTTAGCCTTCCCATGAAGGTGTCAAAGAAGCCCAGCCGAGCGGTTGTGTATACAGCCTGTCGGAGGAGACCGGCAGACAGGCCAGTGTATAAGTCGAGGACCTTTCCGCTGGAGATGATGTGTCGAGTGACAGACAGCGGAGTAGGCTTGGGACCTCCAGTTGTGCCCTCGCCAGCAAGTTGGATGCGGACCTTGACCATGTCGACTGGCTGGATCACAGAGGTGGCTACCATTCCGGCGATGCCTCCATTGATGAACGGCAAGGCAGCCCGCATGACAGGAGTATGAATAATGTCAGAGGCCTTGGCGGCCGTCTCACTTCTCTTGGCAGTATTCATGACGTCCGAGGTCCTTGATCGAGCGGACTCGATTGCTTGCTTGATGGAATTCATTGTTACGATTGGGGAAGGGTCGCCTTATAAGAACTGCTATCGGAATATTATGTCTCAGGCGCACCGGGTAGAGCCTCGCTAACTGAGGACCCTGTCTGGTTGTTCAATGACTTTGGCATATTAGTCAAGCCCAAGCAATATTTACACAGCAATGATATGAGTGGTATAATGAGAGCACGGGGGTGTGTTCAGTGGAGCAGGAGAGGCATTTGGGTCTGGCTTCGGGACTGTGATCCCGTCATCGGAAATTCTATCGACCTAAGCTCGACGGCAGGCCGACAGGAGCCGGCGCGATACCCGAGCAGTGAGGTCGGCCCAACTCAAAGCCATGAAAGGCGGTTGCCGATCGGAAAGTCTAGGGGCGCAGAACGGCTCCGATTTGGAGAGCGGGCTCACTTGGCTCCGCTCACCGTCCAAGATTGGGCGGGTGGATAGCCGCTAAGAAACAGGAAGGGGGATGGTTGGAAAGGGAAACGGCAGCTGTGCTCACTCACCAGATAACTCCGCGATCAAGCGCACGCTCAAGGTTGTTGAGCGAAGCTAGGCTGTATGTGTTGGGTCTCGTTGAATTCGATGCTCCCCGGATGGGTTTGTGCACGCGAGGGCCGGGCCACTGGTGGGGAAGACGGCGCAAAACGGAGGCAACGGCGATGGCAAAAGCGCTTGTAGGGGGCGCAGACGACCTGAATATGAACAGAGCTTATGTTGAGAAGCCTAGCCTTTGGTGGTTTGGCAATTCAACAATGTCCGAAACTCGGATGTGGAATGCGCCGAAGCAAGCGATTGATTGCGTATCGCAAAATTCAGGCGTGAGACGCGAGACGATTCAGGTACAAAACAGGATGAGACCTTGCGCGCCCAACGCTTTTGCGCGAAGACGTTGAACGTTGAATTGATGGGGGAAATGGCAGACAAAAGGATCACTCTGAAGTGTTACAGAAAAGCGTCAGAAGCAACGAGCAAGACAACCGGGCGAGTCGAGCATTTTAATACTGGACGTCTTAGTGCACGCCATGGCTGATCATGAGCCTGGCAACTGCTCTCGTCCACTGGCGACCCTCCACTATGTGGCGAGGAGCTGTTTGTCTGTCGCATTCACGGTGCGGAGGCGAGGCAACCTCGTTGGAGAGGCACCAAAGCTTCTAGGCTCTCGGTATGCCGGAAGTCCAATTGCGGGGGAGGAGATGATGTATCCCATCCATGGCCACTGCGTCTCGTCTACCAACCATCCAGCTGGCCTGCTGCTAGTCATGTCTGTGCCTTGCGTGGCGCTGGACCGGCGGATGATGCTTGCTGATGCTGGCTGATGGAAGCAATGCCCTGTTGGCATCCATCAGTTTGTTGCAGCAAGCAAACCAGATGCGTCAGCGCCGTCGGCCCTTGTGATGGAGCTATGATGGCCGTCACAGAGGCCGGTGAAACAAGGTGAGTACTGTGTACAAGGCGGGTACACGAACTACAAAACTGGTTTGGGCTCCATGCATCAAATCAGTGGTCCAGTGAGCTCCTTCCTGGAACGAACCCTTGCAGCTGGCTCTGCTGTAAGTACTTTGTCAATGTGATATTGCCGGAGGTTTTGTTCATTTGCCGGGTAGATGTGATGGAGACACTCGTAGTCATCTCTTCTCTTACACACTTTCATCACATCGTGGCGAGTTTCAACTGAGCAATGCTTATAAAAGCATCACCAACAAATCCCCCCTCGAGTCTCCCATCAAATCCCAGCAGCCACTGTAACAACTACGGGCCTCTCAAATGGGCTCTGTAGCGCGTTGCCGAGTCCAACTAGAGTGAGATGCTCGATGTGCGTGCAGCAACCAGAGAATGCGGGGTTGCGCCAAACGTCCTGCTTTCAGCCAGACCAATGTCATGGCACAGTCCATCCAGCCGAAGCGACGTCACTCGCGTTTTCGTCAGCCACCGCACATGCTCCCGGAGCATTTTCGTATTAGCCCGTGCTTGTAATTGCAATGATTGACAGATTGACAGGAGATGCAGCTTGTGAATTCACATGCTCGAATCCATTGGTATCAAAGCGTTGCATCGTCGCCGGACCACAGCTGTCTCACATGTGCTTCATCAATGACGTCTCCATGGCTTTTGCTGTCTTGTCTTGATTTTGACTCTATCCGACTGCCGGGCGGGCCAGATTCCCAAAACCCACCCGGATTATGGAGCAGAATCCCTGCCTGCGAGATTCTGGTCCGTGCTTCTTGCAGCAGCTTGACGGCGGCTGTGGAGTCTGGAATCCGGGCTGGCTAATGGCGGGTTTTGGAGTAGCCGAATCAAAATAGCAAGGCTCCATTTGCAAGTAAAGCCTACCAAATACATGAGTATGCAGTATTACTTCATACTTACATCGTCCGCAGTTTTTGAGATCCGCCAGCAAATCTATAGACAGCCCAAGGAACAGAAAAAGAGAAACCCCAAAAAGCAAGAAACGCAAGAAAAGAAGAATAAGTTGAAAGAAATGTATTTGTTATTACAAGACATCATCAAGATAGGGGAAATCAAGACGCCCTCAGGCACACACACACACACACAGCACTTGGTACCTGCGGGGAACTTTGCTGAGCGCCTTTCCTTTTTTCCGCAAACTGCCCTCAACTTCCTCGGGATACGCTACCCACGCAAATACGGTTTCTTTCCGATCAGATTATTCCATTCCGAATCATTCACTTGGGCTGATAAGTCATGCTTGCGCCTTGGCGGTAACAAATAGCCGTTGGGCGGGTCCGGCCATACTCTCAGCCGAGAATTTCCGACATCTTCCTCCTTTCTGAAGTGAAGTCATTGGCTGAGAGAGCCATTCGAAACTTAGATTTCACCATTGTTTGCGCGTTATCTTGTCTCTCTAATTGCAGGTTGTTGATTGGTTGTCCCTTTGCACTACCCGTGCTAAATACGCATCAATGGATCTCTAAGCTAACCACCAAGGGGGGAAGCTCCACGATGCTCCTGTCCGCTCTCAAACGCCTCAGCCTTATATCGGACACCGAGCACTGAATCTCGTTCTCCGTGTCGGTATTACTTGTTCACTCCCATTCAGATCCACTTCGTATCTTAACGACCTAATTAGATAATTACGAGTACGTGGGCAACGGTTATACTATAAGATTCCAAATGCTCAGATGATGCTTAGTCACAGTTGATGATAATTATTTCCGGCATCATGTTACCAATCAAGGGGCGACCAGAGAGCTGACAATATTTTACTCATTCAATCATATGCTCCTACACTCTAGTACAATGATGGGAACCTCAGAAGTCGGCCTCCATCGATGACAATGACCAGCCCGTTGCAGTAAGCCCCTGACTTGGAAATCAAGTACAGAATAGTTCCCGCCATATCCTGATCATTTCCCATTCTCTGCATGGGTATGAACTGCGCTGGCACTTTGCCTGGAGTATCCGAGTTTTCGTTGAACCGGTTAACAATGGGTGCGGCCATTTCGCTCGGGAACACTAAAGCCGCAATGTCAGTATCCGAGGTTATCTCTGGCCGATGGCGGAAATTGGCGTTACTTACATCCTGGAGCAATGCAGTTGGCCCTAGATGGTAAATGACTCGTCAATCATCTCATGCATGTAATAAGTTTGTGTGATGATAAGAACACCACAGACGATGCTGCTTACCGGATATTCCACCTCGGCAGGGCAGCTGAAAGGTGCTTGGCTACATGTGTTGCAGCAGCTTTGGATTGGCCATATGCCCAGCCTCCTGGAGCTGCCTTGTTGAAACTGGCAATGGAGCTTGTGACAATGACCTGAGAGCTTTGCTCCAAGTTGCCCTTCTTGTTTCCTGCGTCAAGGAGCTTCAAGAAGGCTATGGCAGTGAACCAGACGGCGCTGGCATTGACGGCAAAAGCATCCGTGTGCTCCTCGAAGCTAATGTCCCAGTTTGAGTCTGCCCACTCTTCAAGTGTCGTGTCCTCCTGAAGCTGGACAGACTGAGGCCCACCAATGCCTGAGTTGCAGACCAAGACGTTCAGATAGCCAGTGTCTTGCTTGATGAAATCGACAGCAGCTTGGAGACTCTCCTTGGATGTTACATCACACTTAACTGGTACAACGTTTGCACCCAAAGAGGCTGCGGCAGCTTCCAGCACCTCGAGTCGTCGTCCACCAATGTAGACCTTGTGAGCACCATTTCTCGCCAAAGCTCTCGCCATCATGAGACCAATACCTGTTACCCAAGTCAAGTCAGAAATTACATTACGTCTTGACATGGGGGGAAATGCTTCAAGTCCATCGATGAACCAATCATACTATATACTCACCAGTACCACCACCTGTGATGAAAGCCACAAGGCCATCAACATTGAAGAGGTTGCCGGCCACAACAGCCTCGTCAACATTCTGAGTTGCCATGATGAACAAACAGGATCCTTATTACTCGATTATCTCAACAACGTACGCCTATAAGCTTGTGTCTTGCTTTAATAGATGCTGTACGTCTTCAGAATTTCCCTATTCGACCCCTCACCAAGGCTTGGTAATCGTAGTTGGCTTTATTCCCCACCACAGATAGATTCCTGGAATCCATACCCAGTCTGTAAGTCCCAAGAGATGCCACACTGTGCTAGAGTGCCGCTATTGCACCGCATTAGCCGTCAATCCTCGAGGGCTGACATAGTGCAGCCTCTGCAAACACACACTCCCCCACTAGCAGTAGCTCGACCAGCTAGAGATTTTTCAGACAATTTCGATCAAAGATCTTATCTTAGCTTCAAACCGCCCAGAGCGAAGAAAAAAACATTGCCAACATGCCGAAACGAAAGCGCACCGTCGCAGACACCGTACAGCACAAATTAGAGAAATACCGAATAGATATTTTCCGAGCACTGAGCTCTGCAAAGGTTCATGAGCGGAAGCGCTTCAGCAACAAGCTCCACGAGCCTGGTATCACAGTCGCGAAGAAGACCAGGCTAGAACGCGAATATGCAGCGTTGAAAGTGCGTCACTCTACAATATCAATTGCAATTTTGTGTGTTAGGAAGAGAATTATCAACTAACCTTGTGGTCTAAAGGCTCTTGATCTGCGGCAGACAGCGCGACACCACCTGCACTCAAATCTTCTCCGAATCAAGGCCGTCGAAACATCAAAGGATATCCCAGAGGAGCTCCGCGCCGAAGTACCGTGGCCTACTCTCTCACCAGAAGAAATTTCAATTCGGAACAATGTTATAAGCATACTTTGCAACGCAGGTCCCGTGCGACAAGCCCTGGATCGTGCAGTTGCCGACATTTGCGAAACCCTTGGCGTGGCCGTTCCTACTAAGTCGAAGCGTGTTAGGAACAAGAGAAAGGACACAGAGGAACAGCCCGCGGATAGAGAAGAAGATGATGATGATGACGAGGATAGTGAGGATGACGAGGAGGATGTGAAACCTTCGGCCAAGTCCTCAAAGCAGCGAGAGGCCGTAGACGAGGAAGAGTCTGAGTTTGAAGGCTTTAGTTCAGATGCTGATGAGCCTCGGCCATCGATTGAAGAGCTTGACGGATCGGATCAGGAGAATGCATTATCAAAGTATGCTGATCTACTAGGTGGATCATCTGACGAGGACGAAGAGGAATTTGATGAGGAGTTACTGGCGAAATACAGAGGCACGGAAAAGGTCAACCTGGACGACATTTCGATATCTGGATCAGGGTCTGAGGACGAAGGAGAGGACGAGGAAGACGAAGAACTAGAATCCATAACTGGTTCACGGTCACCATCACCATTACCAACCAAAAAGTCAAAGAAATCAGCCGATAACGATGACAGTCAGAAGCCAGCAGTCGAGAAGGCTAAAAAGACTAGAGAGGAGAAGAAGGAAGAGAGGAAGAAGCAGGCTGCCAAGGCCGCGGCAAAAACAGCTCGATCGGGAGATTCCACCTTTCTTCCTACCCTCATGGGAGGCTACATTTCTGGATCCGAGTCAGCGTCCGATATCGAGGCCCCGCCCAAGAAGCGTCGCGGCCAGCGAGCCCGCCAAGCGATTTGGGAGAAGAAGTATGGAGCCAATGCAAAGCATCTTCAAAAGGCGGCCTCCAAGGGTGGTAGAGATGCTGGCTGGGACATGAAGCGTGGTGCTGTAGGCCCAGAGGACCAAGGCCGGGGCAAGCCGTGGAAGAGAGGTGGCCGACCAGCAGGGGGCGATTCTAGAGGCTATTCACAGGGCCGAGGCGGGAACGCTCAAGAGCATAATAAACCACCGCCGAAGCCGGCGAAGAAGGACAACGAAGGACCGCTGCATCCTAGTTGGGAGGCGCGGAAGAAGGCCAAGGAGGCTCAGAAGAGTGTTGCATTTGCTGGCCAAAAGGTTGTGTTTGATTAGCGTAGAGACTGTGATGGCTGGCATTTCTTGACCCTGTCTTCTGCAGCATTGCATGAGTATATATCCAGTTAATGAGACAGAGTTGCCCTAATTATATCACAATGAACTGTTTGCGACCGTGAATACAATTTTCGGTGGTCGAAATCTCATGATATGATGAATTATAAGGTTACTGTAGTGAGAATCATGCATGGAATGTGATATAAATAGTAGTAAGATATATCGAGCTACGGTGATTAGCATCCAGACAAATAAATACTCCGTACATGAGTGTCATCACTAGGCAGCAACAGCGGAGCTAACCCCCAGCAGCTCTTATAAAGGTGAAGCAAAACTCCGTCGGCGGCTTTTTTTCATTCCCATTTTCCATGACATTACCATTTCTTTTCTTGGTCGAAGAACTGCTCTGCGGCCATGGCGGGAGTTCCCTATTTCATCGGTGTAGGAGTGCATGAGCAATTTCAAAGAACTCGGGAATCCACCAAGCCGTCCGGTGAAAAGAAATCTCCCGATGAAGAGGAATTCTCTTACGACTTCTCTGCTGTCACAGAGTCTCATCTGAGCGATGTTCAGGTACTATGCCAGCATTGCAGCGTGCTGCAGCTCAAAGGTTTACGTCTGAAAAAGACCAAAGTCTCGTATGACGATAAAAAGCCGTTGGAATTGAGGGCGGACGTCCCTAATTTCGAGGAAGATCTCGAATATCGTCGAAAAGATGTGGTTCCGCTGCTTCCCAGCCTGGCCGAGTCTGCGGACTCTGGTTGCGGGTTCTGTGCCTTGCTTCGGAATGCCATGATCTGGCACTTTCGGAAATACCCGTTGACGCGTCTTCCTGACGATACAGTCGAGATTACAAAGATTCGACATTATTGGAACTCTGGTCTAACAGCGTTTACTGTACACAGCACCGCGTTTGTTAGACCTAAGCACAGATGGGACTATCTGACATTCAGGGCCAGTATTACCCCAGGAGGTATGAAGCATTATGAGAGCCGCTTTCTAGATGGAAATAAGGAAATAGTCTTCTGACATTACGGCGTTCTCTTAGATCCATGTGCTACCCCCTTTTACCCGTTCTCAGACTTTGTACCAGATAGTATAATATCACCCGCCGGCATTCTCACCTTGAAGAAATGGGTGTTTGGTAGCAGCAAGGAGAAAGCTGCTCTCAAAGCACTTTATCGCCCTACAAGGCTGATTCATGTTGGCGGTAAAAGAGAGTCGAGCCTGGTCCGCCTTGTGGAGAGCAATACACATGCCGACATGGCTGAGGAACCACAGCCGTATTTGGCTCTGAGCTACTGCTGGGGAGGGAAACCCCCATCTCTCACAACAACAAAAAGCAACTATTCTCATTTGAAAACATCGATTTCTTACAATGCCTTGCCGAAAACGTATCAAGACACCATCCGCATTGCACGAGCGTTGGGCGTCAAGTACGTCTGGATTGACGCGCTCTGCATCATCCAAGATGACGTGGAAGACTGGGAGAAGGAATCGCAGGTGATGGCAGAGATTTTTCGAAACTCCCTCGTCACGCTCATACCGCTCCGTACAACGTCAAGCGACGAAGGCTTCCTTGAACGAAACCCAAGTATCAAGATCCCCTACCACTCCGCAGAATGGAATCTCAGCGGTTCATTCTTTCTTCGCCATATACCCTTCTCTTACCAATCCGCCGAGTCTGCGTTACGTGGCGCACCTAGCTGGTCAGACCGACCCCTCTCTCTTGATATTAAAGCCTCAGCTTGGCATACTCGTGGCTGGACGTTTCAAGAAGACATGTTTGCGATGAGGAAGCTGTATATCGGCCAGCTCATGATGCATTGGGATTCTCTCAAGCCGGTTGACATTATAAGAACAGAGGATACCATCATCGATGATAAGCTAGACCGCATTGATAAGGCAGAGTTGTCCATCATTCATACATCTACACCATGGAGAGGCGACTGCGACTATCAGGGCTGGTACGAGCCAATGCTTGAATACAGCAACAAGGAGCTCACGTATCAGACCGACAGGCTGCCGGCAGTGTCATCGTACGCCAAGCTCATCGCCAGTAAGAGTGGGGATACATATTTGGCCGGTCTATGGAAAAAGAATCTTCATCGGGGTCTCCTTTGGAAGATACACCGGCGTTGGCGCTGGACCTTTCGTCAGCTGAAGGGATGGCTCAAGCGCCCGCCTCAATACATTGCGCCGTCTTGGTCTTGGGCGAGGATCCGTAGCAGCCTAACATGGGACAACACTGATTACATGAAACGCGAGTGTAAGGTCCTTGAGGCTAAGACGAAGCCTTATGGAGGAGACATATATGGACGAGTGTCTGGCGGACGCCTTTTACTCCGCGGGAAGGTCTGTGGCATTCCTGGGGGGAAACTCCAAAAGCTACCCCTCGAATCGCCCTATCATGGCGAGCAATGCGAGTGGCTGGCTATAGAAGATGAGCAGTACGTCGCGCAGTGCGCCCTTGACTGGAGAGAGACAAACGAAGATGGGCTGCAGCTCTCAGAGGCGAGCGGGGAGCACATCCAGAAGCTTGTCATGTTCCTCGTTTCCAGCGGGCATACGCAATCGGCGAGCGTATTTTCTTAGAAGACCGCAAGAATGGGAAGACAAGGAGGAGAACCCACCGTTGGAAGTCATGCACGGCCTCCTATTGTATCCTACGGGGAAGAAGGAGGATGAATATTGGCGTGTTGGGCTGTTTCACTCGCTGACGGATGAGAAGGGCGGCAGGCAATATTTTGCCAATTGCGAAAAGAAGACTGTGAGAATCATTTAGTTGACGGTCGTACAATCGTATCTGATAATCTCAGATCAGGTATTGTTGCAGACTGCTGTATAACTCCAACACTACAGTAGAACGCTAGAACATGCATGCATGAGCGCCAATTCGATTGGTATTCTAGAGTGAATTCAGCGCCATTGGCACGCGTCATTGCAGCATTGCAGCACAATCTATTGAGAACCTGCATGCATAACGTATGTCTGTATGCGTGTATGTGCTGCAGGTAATTTTTGTCTCGGCAGCAAGGATTCATTCCGCCTGGCGCTTGTCTCGGGTAGCCAGAAACAAAAACGTTCACAAACATTTTCTTGTTTATCGCACTCGGGCTCGTTTGCCCCTGAATATGATATAATACGTCCTCGAATTGATATCATGGCTAGATAATGCTGCTTACCTACACATTCTCAGCATGTCATGCGTGTGCAGCGTGAAGTCATTCTTGTTGTCATTGCCAGAATCAGCGAGGCTCACTGATGCGTTTGATCAGCTTGATCAGCTCCTCTCTTATGACTTAGGCAATGATTCAAAGCATCGTCAATGTTTCAGGCCAGGACTAAAAGCTCCGGCAGCGATCGGCGGCAAGTGCTCTCACTAGCGACTGCTGTTGGGTCAGTGGGCAACTGCACAGCAAGCTCCTTCTCAGATCTCTTTGGTGCGATCACCACTTCATATCCATCATGTGGGCCACCAAAATAGAGTCTTATCGTCATCTTCAATTTCCCACCTCCTACATGCAGCTACTGTACGATACAATACGATACGCGAATTACCTACTATACCCAGTTCATCGATATGTTTTGATTCTATTCCATCCTTATTGTTCGTTTTCCCTGCTTCTAGTTTATCTCTTTGTTTGATTGGCTATGACTCAAACATGGTTGCGCACCAACTGTCCTCTCCCTAATTTCATAACCTTGGAAGTGATCAACAAGTGCCATCATTTCCAACACAAAGAGCCTCATCAGTGCATAGCACCCCACAACGCTTATTCGCTGGAACGGGAACGGGTCATCCCTCGACACCCACAGATCGGCTCAACCGAGTTTGTCGTTCTGACAAGCTTCGCCTTCCAAAGATGGCGTCCGCGATTGAAGACGTCATGCACCACTCACTTGCTGATCCCGCCGAGACGGGGCGTCACGAGCTAGGCTCCTCTCCAATGGCAGCCTATCTCGACTACCCCAGCTCTGTGCAATCTCACGATCGCGATTAGGGCACATGCGACAGTGAGGCTATGGCTGAGCCGCTGAGGCGGGATAAAACCACTCTGCAAGATCAACCCTGCGAGATTGATTTTCTGGCCCGCGTTACGAGAGCCTTGCTGCACTCCTCCTCAATAATACCCTTACAGCAAGCGGTTGGCGGGTTAGAGGCAGGTACATCGTCTACCATGGAAAGACATAATTCTAATCCAGAGCTTGGCTCTAAGCCCACCGGCTACCCCAGAGTTGCCCAAATCTCCAGGCTGGCTGGTAATGGCTCCAGCGAAAAGCGAGCAACGTCTTTTGAAGAGGTTAGCCACCTCTTATCTTCTCATCAAACGTCAAAGGAATCCCGCCGCAGAGCAACGAGTCAGATTGCTTCTCCGGTCGTCGATTTTGATGTGGCCGTCGCAGAGAAGCCGCAGAAAACCCTCCAGGGCAGTCACCCAGAAGAGGGCCCAAAGTCTTACTATGTCATCAATCCCATAGTCCCCGGCTCGGCTTGGTATTTTACCAAGGGAAAAAGCAATTCCAATACGCATGAATATGAAGTTGAGAGAGTGTCAACTCATCTTGTTGATATCGGACAAAACCGCATAGGATACCTAATTGAAACCGCATCTCGGGACGACGTGACTGCGGTTGCCGGAGGACGGCCTGCGTCCTGGACCCCTAAAGGCCAGAATGGTTGGTCTACCACATCAACGTCATCCATAGAGAAAGCCAACAATGTCACAGAAGCAGAACCCGGTAAAAGGGCGAGTCGTTTCGAAAGATTTGACTCGGAAGGAGACTTCGAGACAGAGTTACACGATGAGTCGGCCATCATTGTGGACCGTCAAGACATTCCTCTCATCACTGAGATGATCTTTCGACAATTAAACACGACTAGACTAAAACGAAATAGCTCTCGAATGATCGGCGGCCCTACGGAAAAGCACGAAGCATCGTCTAACGAGAATGGGGAACTCGCGAACATCATCGAGGCTACACTAATGGCTTTTAGAAGACCTGTACGATATGACATTACACCCGAGACAGGCGAGGCAGACATCTCTCAAAGCAAACTGCCGGTTCAGTTTGCGATGGAGCACGATAGCCAACGTATAAAGCTGCAACCGTCTGTGGCATCAGATGCAGGAAATACCTTGAGCATACCCCAGACGTCATTTACCGCCGCAGATTCCACCCACAAGGTCAATGGAGCCAGAGAGAAGTGGCAGCAAGAAGCATCATCGACATCGACAACGTTGTTTTCACAACAAAGCGCGACTTCAATCACTTGGACGAAGCATGGCGGTCATGCAGGAGAATCGCTCTTATCCCCCGATTCAGCCAATAGCTCCTCAGATGACAACTCTGAGAGGACTTCTCAAACCCGTCGAACTTCATCCTGTCGCACCCACAAACAAGACGAGAGATTGGAAGCATCTCAGGCCTCCATCGGTTCTTCCAGCGTTGCGTCAACCATCACCTCATTTCCGAAACTTCTTTCGCGACATTGCACCAGGGAATGGATCAAACCTCTAGTCAGTCTAGAAGACAAATCTACCAATCCATCCCATCAAGGGGTAGATGATGGCACTAATCGCATTTCTCGTGAACGCGATACGTCATTTACTGAGGCTACAGACCCAACGTGCTGGCCTGGTGATAGTTTCCAATCCATTAATACCTCAGGCTACTTCACGAATGAAGCTCCAAAATCCAGGCGCACAACTGTATCTCAGTCTTCTCCGACCAATATGAAGAGCTTTGGCTGCCAAATCGGCTCATCGGCGCATCGACGTCGAAGTACACTGACGTACGACTCTAAGGCTTCACCTTCAACAGACCACTTCTTTCCTAATATCCTCGGCAAATTTTTTGTTGGCAGAAATATGGAAGAACCTGAAACTCCCGATTCAAAGAGGACAACAGATTCGGACTCTGTATCGCACCTTAACTCGCCGTCTCATGTTCAGGTGCATGTGGGAGCTCCCTAGTTCGGAAACGGGCCATTCACAGAACGCACTTCTCTTGTACCGGTTGAAGATGGAGCTGGGATGTATGATGTTCTTGTTGGAGGCAGTGTGGCGGCAGACAGAAGACGTCACCGTGATACGTGTTCGGAGGATAACAGGCCTCATGTTTGCGAGGATGACATTGAAAATCGAGTTATGAATGACGAAATTGTGAACACCTAGCCAAGCGGCATTCTGTCCCCTATGTAGCATATTCTACGTTATAATATTAATCGTTACTAATATTTCTACCGTCAAGTATGGAGATAAGGGGAGAGCATCGTCTGGATACGTAGCAAAACAAAACCACTAAATAGTTCCTTATATAATAATGGCCCACGTACTTATTGGATACAGACTATGTTACAGTTTTGTTCCATATTGACAGTATTTATTCAATGCATTACTATATATCCATGTTATGCCGCAGGATTGAAAAAAGAAACAATTTTGCGCTCATACCGCCTTTGATGCCCGTGCCTTATTCTCCCGGTGTCTCTTCTCCTTGGCCGCCGTCTTCCTGCGCGTCATCCACGATTTGTTCAAATCTCGCCTATTCTCCCAAAACCACTTCTGGAAATCGGTCGTGGCAGTCTGTCTCCCCTGCGCAGGGCTTCCGTCATCCTCATCTTCTCCCTCTTCATCTTCCTGCCCCTCCTCCTGCAGCGCATTCGCTACGTCGTCTTCCATCTCGACGTCTTTCTCGGGCGAAGCTCCCCAGAAGCGCTGCATGCGCGACGGATGAGCCGTGTCTGGCGTGGGGGCGGCGCTTCGGACGTTGCGCCATTCGAAGTCTTGGCTGGTAAAGGGCGTCATGGGGGGTACAAGGCTGGATGGTGCAGCTTCGGACTCTTCTTCGTCTTCGCCTCCGCCGAAGAAACTGAATGGTTCTTCTTTGGGGACTGAGGTGGGATTCTCATTGTCAGGTTTCGGCCGCTTGTATAGAGCCTCTAGGGGGTGTACTTTTCCAGCTGAGGGTGTCTCGGGAGGTGGGATCTTGATTGCCAGGGGTTTGTTGCTTGCCGGAGTAGATTTGGGAGCATTCGTCTTGGAGGTTGTCGGCGTTGTTTTCTCTGCTACCTTGAAGGGCTCGTCTTCCTCTTCATCGCTTGACGAGCCACTATCGCTTGTATCATCGCTTGAAGAATCACTGTCGTCATCTTTCTCCACTTCATCCTGGGGCTTGGTTGCGGCTTGAATAGGAACATCTGCGACCTCCTTTTCAACTTCCGCCTCAATCTCTTCCTCAGACTCTGCCTCAGATTCCTCTTCAGACTCGTCTTCAGACGATGTGCCCTCTGATGAAGTGCCACTGCTGCTCGTGCTGTCATCATTTTCCGGCTCCTCAGACACTTTCCTGGGCTGGGGCGCCTTCTTCGGCCGCTGTGGTAGTTTCGCCTTTTCTTTCTCCTTTACTTCTTCCACGACGTTGCCCTCCTCATCGACCCATCCTTTCCCCTTGACGTATTCAGTCGCTGTTTTCCGGTCGGTCGCCGTAGCAGCCTTGAGGAAGCTCGGGAATTTCGTCGTCTTTTCAAATTCGTGAATGACAACCTGTCGTGAACTGCCCTTCTTCTTGCTCCTCTTCTTGTGCTCCAGCTCCTCGGGAGCCAGGTTCTTCATCGTGTTTGGCGGCAGCTTTGTCTTCAACAGACACTCCTCTCCCTCTGTGTATTTGGACTTGGGTCGTTTCAACTTTTCTTTTTCCATCTTCTTTTCCTTGCTCTCCTTGTCCTTTTCCTTCCTGTCTCTCCTCTTGGTTGTCGTTGGCGTCTCGGTCCATCCTCGCTTCACTTGGCGGTCATGCAGCGCCACGCCCTCCAAGACGTCTGGCTCTCGCTTCCGTTTCTTGGATGACTTTCTCTTCTTTTCAGGAACCTCTTCCTCATCTCCATTCGGCTCCAACCGCGTCTCTGGGCGGGCCTTTTCAATCCGCATCTTGCAGCCCTTGAGCGTCGTCCCGTTCAGCTTCTTTCTCAATTTCTCCGCATCCGCCTCGGGCAGTTCAACAAATCCGTATCGCCTTTCCGGAAACGTCTCAAGCGTATGGTAGGAGATATTGCGAGCAGTCGGCAGTACTGAGGCGGGAACCACAACCTTGATCAGCTCGGCATCAAGCGGCGTGATGTGAAGGCGGACGAAGTCGCTGGAGTCGCCCATTGGAAACCGCAACAAGACGAATATGGCTTATGCACCGCTTTTGCGATTTTATCCAAGCGCGCAGCAGCCCAAATTCACGGTGTTGCAGCCCAATTAAGCGCCCGTCAAAAAAAATCTCCTGGCAGTGCAAAGTCGACAAGGAGCTTTTGGAAATTTTAGCGGGTCTAGGAGCCAAAGCACGGAGTAGCGGCCTTGGTTGTTCCGTGCCGTTGACAGCTGAATGGCTTCTTCCAATAGGTAATTCTGTTTGCAAGTTCTGCTACCCTGAAGCCGGCGAGATCTTGGATCCAAGGCCTTTGAGAATAATTGATAAATTGTTTTGTTGTTGTGGATAAGATGGAGCAATGGGAGTAGCAAATCGGACCGGAAGACTATTTCTTATGATTGCTGGCAAACAGGCAGCCATTTTCATGGTAAGCTAAGTGTGACTGTGTAACGAGTAAATAGAATCATCAATACTCTTGTGCCATACCAAACTGTCATCTATGCTGGTAGAATTCATACGATGGGACTAACAGGAAAACTGTACAAGTCAGAGAGGTTAAATAAATATCATCATTAAACCTAGACAGCTGCCATCTCCTAAATGTTTCTATAGAAGCCTCGTGTTGCCCATAATCCATCCTACATCTTCATCTAAGATGCCTTTCAGTAGTGTTATACATAATTTACAATGAGCAATTGCTGACGCTCTGTATATAGATAAAGAAAACCCTCTGGCCTCTACTCTATAGCATGCATGCTTCGTTATTCATACATTGGGTGATAGGAGATCGTATTTGACACATCGTTCAACCTAGATAGGTAGACACCTGTTAGCATGAAGAATACTCACTGTTGGGAGAGTGCGGAGAGAGAGATAGAGAAGGAGAGAGAGGTTGCATGAAAACTCACATCGTCAACGCTAGCCTGCATAAACTTCCTCGCCTCCAAGCCCATCCACAGCATAATCATGGAGAAATCACCGTGCTTCGCCATCTCAGCACCGCTCTGAGCGCTTAGCTGTCTCAGAATTGGCAGCGAGCTGCTCAGAAGGTCGACATTGGGATTGAGACTGCGTCCAATGCCCTCTAAAAGGAGAATACTGATGACAACGTTGACAAAGTCGCCTTCCAGGCGGACGTGATGGTTGCGCACCATGGAGAGGACTTCCTGCAAAATGTCGCCGATTTTGACGTTGCCGAGGGCCAGTGTGCGGCTCTTGACACTCAGGACGAGATGCTGCATCTTGAGGGCAAAGACTTCCTTGTCGATGACGGCCTCGGGTTGCCGACAGCGCTCGCACATGAGATGGCCGGCTTTGTAGCCGTCAAACTCGGCGACGGCATGGAATAAGGCCAGGAAATTGTCGCGATTGACTGCATTCAACTCCGTCACCAGACCTGTGTCGATAAAGATGAGTTGTGGACGATAACCCTCGGCATCAATCTTGGCCAACTCGGCTTCCCATGCGGATTTGTCCTTGCGGCGCCGATATGGCCGTAGTCGTTCCAAAACCTGCTCCGTAACATCGAGGTGGCCGTCGTCCGAGGTAGGAGCCTTCTCAGCAGACCGACGCAGCCGAATATTTGGTTGTGCGGACTGATAAAAACGGACCATGATATTGCCTGGATGCAAGTCGGCATGAACAAAATTGTCTAGAAGCAACATCCGGAGAAACGCGTCCAGCCCCTCGTCAGCGATATCATGCTGGAAGACGCCGCCTCCGTTTTCCATGAAGTCTGCTAGAGGTATTCCCTGAGCGAACTCTTCAATGAGAACGTTGCGGGTCGTGAACTCGGAATAGGGGAAGGGGAACGAAGCCGTCGTCCGGTCCCCAAAGTTCCTTCTAAACGTTTCCAGATTGGCGGCCTCTATTCGCAAATCTAGCTGGAGCTTCATCATCTCCCCGAATTGGGAAACTTCGTCCGGTAGAGAGAGCCACTCGATCGTGGGGATCGTATTGAGCAAAGTGGCGAAGAAGCCCATAATCTTCAGATCCCTTCGCACGATGCGTTCAACGTTGGGGTGCAATACTTTGACGGCGACGTACGTTGATGGAACCTGCTTGGGTGAACTTTTCAAAACAGTTCTCACATGTTGCTTCATATTTTGAGTAAGAGGTCGTGGTTCCTTTGGAGCGGCTGCCAGCTCTTGCGGTGCTGCAAGATCAGGTTTGAGCTTTGCTTTGTAGACTTGGGCGATTGCGCCAACTCCGAGAGGTGTTTCGTGAAACTCGTCGAAAATATCCTCAAAATTACGTCCGTTAAACGCTGCCTCAACTGTCTTCCGAGTGACGCGCATGGAATGAGCCGGCGCATTCGAATGCAGCTTAGACATTGTATCGCACATGGCCGTGGGGAAGATGTCGGTCCTCGAAGCTGCCCACTGGCCGAGCTTGATGAACGCAGGGCCTGCCAGCTCCATCGATTTCACAAGGAATCCATACCACCAGAGGGTGCCGCTCCTTTCGCCGTCTTTGTCAGGATGGCGCCGTCCAAACCAGATGGCGGGTACTGAAAGGATGACGGGCACGAAGATGACCACGAGGTGTAAGAACCTTGTTCCGGTGCAGATTGGCTCCCAGATGTGGACATCCCAAAATAGAAGAATCTGTTGCACGATCCTGGATATCCCCCGGCCATTGTCGTCGATGGTCTTGCGAATCTCATCTCGGGATGCTTCCAACATGCGAAGCTCGCCCGTCTGCTCAGTTCCCCCATTGTCCGTCTGAGCCAGCTGAATGAAAGCTCCTGTGCCTAATGCTGCTGCACCGGCTGAAGCACGCAATGCTATCCTGCCTCTTGTTCTGCTCTCTTTCCATCCTGTTCTTCTAGCTGTGTGAATCCAGTTATGCAGCCCATCAATTCTCCGGAGTCCGAGTCCCGTCTGACGCAGCAAATAAGGTCGAAACAAAGTGCGCCCACACAGCCGGCCTAAGAGAAGGCCGGTCTTCATGTCGGCGGACAATCACGCGCACTCAATTCCAGGCCGATACGGGCCGTGATCATAATCGAGGCCTCATGAAGATATTCTGAGGCTTAAAGGGGGAAAACGAGAAAAAAAGAGCATCGCCCGAGTTAATACGAGTAGGAATCACAAGCTTCGCTGCAGAATCCCTGCCGCGCCGGAATCAATCGGTGACGTAGTGGAGTGGTCACGGCGATTACCCGGCTAAACATGTGGGAGAGGGAGGAAAAAAAGTTTCGGGCTTGGCCGTAAGAATGATGCGATAAGATTATGCTGTTGGCTTGGAAATTTCTATGGCTTAGAACCAACATCCCCCACAATACCTTTTGCATCTTCGATTCTTCAGCAATCTCCTGCTGCCTGTAACCTACAATTCGCATTTGGCCCTCTTTGCATACATCGATTACTTGTATAAATCTTCACATCTCACAATGGGCTGGTTCTGGGCCGAGCCTGCCCCTCCGGCCGGCGTTCCTCAAGGACACCCGGCGGTGCCATTGAACAAGGAGCCTCCGGTATGATCGACCCGAAAGACTCAGACCTAAGAAACGGCAGAGACTCACAAATCACAGCCCGGATGTCCCATGCACCAAAAGGCTGCCGATGCCTTCAACCCGCACAAAGCCATACCCGCCGAGAATCCGTCCTCGTCGTCCGGCTGCCCAGTCCCTCATGGCTCGTCATCACCCTTGCCGCCGACGTCAGGCTGTCCGGTGCCTCACGGCTCCCGCGACCAGGAAGAGCCCAAGTCGATCCTCTCTCAACTCAACCCCTTGAATTACATGTTCCCCGATTTGTCACAGAAGCCTGCGCCCTCGCAGTCGATGGCGCTGCCGACGGAGCGTGAAGAATCCACCATCCCCAAGGGATCCGGCGACGGCACTTGGGAGTACCCTTCTCCCCAGCAAATGTACAATGCCCTGTTGCGCAAGGGCTATACCGACACCGATATTACAGCTGTGGAATCCATGGTAAATGTCCACAACTTCTTGAACGAAGGCGCATGGCAGGAGATTGTCGGCTGGGAGGAGCGCTTTGCGCGCGGCTTGTACAGAGGATGGCAAGTCTGCAAGCGAGGAGAAGCGCACTCGGCAGAAGAGCTGGATCGCCACTGGGATGGAGTGGATGTCAGCCCAACCCTCATCCGCTTCCAAGGACGACCCAAGGACCTCACTCCCAAGGCCACGATGCTGCAGGTCCTAGGCTGGATCTACCCCTCCAAATTTGGGTAAGATGAGACTTTTACCACTTGTATAAAGAATGGAAAGAATGAAAAGCTAACAGTGACCAGAACTGACCTTCCATTCGATCGCCATGACTGGTTCGTCTCCCGAAATGTCAACGGTGAAAAGAAGGAGATCCGATACGTCATCGACTACTACTCTGGAGAGCCGGAGCCGACCGGTGAGCCCGTCTTCTACCTGGATGTCCGTCCTGCGGCCACACCTCTGGGAAGCGCCGAGCGAATCATCCGATGGAGCACAGATGTGTGGTGGAAGGCTATTGGCGGTGACCAGCGAGAGCAGAACCCGCAGCCTTTTTTTCGCTACAACTCCGTTAAGCCTTGGGGCTAAGTGAGCTTTTCTTTGTGCATTGCTTTTTATGCAAGTGGTTTGCAATTCCCATCTCCAAAAAAATTAATGACTGTGCTTTTGGACTTGTATATTATCATGAATGGAACAGGCGTTACTGTATAGTAAATAGATTTCAATACCTGATGTGCATATGAGCTCTGCCTTAAGCGTCGTGTACAATGCTTGTAACATATTGTAAAATGTAAAAGATATACTTCATTAATAAGGAGATTAGATCTTGGTAAGAATATGGGATATCACTGTCGTGTTGAATTTTATACAGGAAGACACTGACTGAGCTATTAAAACATGTGTATATTGATGTATCCGTAGACTGTCCTTCGTTAAAAGTCGAATCGTGTTTCCCCATATTGCTTTAACCACGCTTTACAAAACGAATCCGTGGCACCTATGAACATGCCCATATGAAAAAAACAGAGGATATTGCCCCGAACCAAGCTGGTGTTTCGCTGGTGTTTCGCTGGTGTTTCTACATTATTTCCTACAAACGCCCAGCACGTAGCCGAAAGTATCGTTTCCGAGCCGACCAGGCCGAAAAGAAGAAGAAAATCGAGAAAGGAAAAAAAAGTCATCATCGCCACCAAAGAGAGCCTTATATCATGAGACGGTTTTGTTTAGCGTTCAAACTCTTGGCATCACAGTGTCGTGTTCGCCATATATACTTGCTGACACCCTTACTTATCATTGATTGGTGTCGCCTTGTTTCAATCTGTGCTCGCGCTGAGATCCATTGGTTTCTCCCAAAGGTTCCGAAGGAGCGCAGCCATCCCATCCTCCTCCTCACCTCCGACGAGGCTAGAACCGCTAAGTCTCTCACTCAGTCGGTTCATGTTGTCGTCTCCCTCGTAGCTAGAGCCAGCGCCGTTGATTTTCACTGATCCTGCCCGCTTGACGGGGAGCGCCTGGCGTCCTTCGGGCATGCTTATGTTTCGAATGTGACGAGCGGTGAGGTCTGTTGATCTTTTGCTAGCTGTGGTAGAGCCGGTGTTGGAGCGAGGAATCCTCTTGTTCTTGTCCAAACCCGGTAATTGGCTTAGACGATTCAACGATCGCACGACCGGGTTCTGATGGCGCCGAACAACCAGGTATTCCATGCCTGTACGCTCTAGGAGCTTGCCAACGCGAGGATCCCGACTGTTGCCACCATCGTGCCCAGGATCTCCGATGCCAATTAGAGGTCCGGCTCCTACGACTCCGCCAACGCCCGGGACTGCTTGTCCAGGCTCAAGTGATGAGCTGGCTCGCTGAAGGTTAAGTTTCTGCTGCGTGCGCGAGGTGTTCGCTGAGGGTGCAGCTGTTCTCCTGGCGGGCTTGGGCACTAGGGTGCTGTTTTCACTCTCGATTACAAGAGTGCTTTCACTGGGATAATCGTGTGATCTTGATAGGTTAGCCATTGAATGTGCTCGTATCGGGAGGTCCTCGGATCGGTGGGAGCCTCCTCCACGAATAGGGTTGTAGAACGAGCCCTCGCTGGTGAGGCCGGAGCTGGGGACTTCAACGAAACGCGAAACAAGGCCATCCTCCTGGCTTTCTGTCGGCGGAGAGGGCTCGTGGCTGGTCGAGTCGGGCGACAGATGCACGGGAGTCGCCTTGGCCATGTCGGTGGACATTTGAGGCGGAGCGCCGTGTAAGCTTCTCTGCAGCAATCGCGTCGTGGGAAAGTCCTTTCGCTCTGCTTCCTTGCGAGCAGGAGGTGACGATGATTCAGGCGGCGCGGCCAACGCGCTCGGCGTCTGCGGGCGAGAATTTGCCGTACTACTGCCCGGAGGATAGGATGAATGTGTGCTGCTGTTGAGTGAGCCCTTTCGCGACAGGTAGGGTGAATTAGAGCCGCTGGCGTCGACCCATTCGTCTTCCGGGTCGTCTGAGCCGAGATCGAAATGGACCTGTGACTTGGCGGGCTTGTGGATGCCGGTGCCGCTGGAGCTGCGTTTCAGCTTGTCGGCAGACTTGGTGCGCTTGCTGATCTCGACATGCGACCGGTTGCGCTTCAGGTTGCTCTGCGAGAGGCTCTTGGGGATGGTGGCAGCCGGGTCCTGCTGAGGCAATTTGACCTCGCTGGTGGCGCGGCGGTGCGGCACTGGGCGCTGGGCGAATTGGAGCTCGAGGTCGGTGGGCGAGCCCTGCTTCCTCAGATTGACTCTGGACGAGGACGAGCTGTGATTGTGCTTGTGCAGGCCCTTGCTGGTAGACGGCACTCGTCCGTGCAGGCGGCCAACGTGGTGCTGCTTCTGGTGCTTGGGGCGAGGCGCATGTCCCGAAGAGGCGACTGTGTTGGCGTCGCTGTGGTCACTGGCGTGATGGTTGAGGGGAGGGCGCTTTGATTGGCCGGCAGATGCAGCTGCAGATGCAGATGCGCTGTCTTGGTCACTCTCGGAAGCCATGCTTGCGGTTTTGCCTTTGCCTTTGCTTTGTCTGGGCCGCGCTGGGCCGGATTTGCTGGCTGTCGTGAGGTTGCCGCAGACGAGCCTCGTCTCGTGGCGATTGCCCGCAATGCGCACCGGTGCGGCGTATCGACACGATGCGATACCTTCGACGGCTTTTTGCAAGTGCCCTGGGCCGGACGGGATCCTGGTGGAGGGTGAGACACGTGTGAATGGCTATAAAGGGTGGTTGATGTCGGCTCAAAGCGACGCGATGCGACAGGCGGCTTTCCGGACGGTCCAGGGGGGGTCAATTGACGGCAGCGCCTGTAACAGCAACCACCTCGTACTGTACTGGATGTATGGTCGGGCTGCAGGGAACACGAATTGGCGCGGGATTGAGGATGCGGACCGGAAGGGATGTGTGATGGAAGATGGGAAAAAAGAGAGATGGAAAGACGGTGACTGGGCTGGGTATTAGAAGGAAAAGGACAGGCCGATGAAAAAGGAAAAGTATAAAGACAAGGAGAAAAAAAAGTGCGATGCGTTTGCTGCTCGCGGCAGGTGGAGGAGGGTTGAACAAAGTGCAATTGTCATGCCCTAATAAAGGAATAGTCGCCGTTCCCGAGACAGACCGCTGGACCGGGACTTTGAGCAACGACGAGGCAAAGAGATGGAGGGTGGCCGAGGCTGCGCAGTGGTTGAGGCTCTTGAGTCGGTGGCCGCTTGCTTTCGCTTTTCTGTTTGCTTGTGGCCCGCCAGATGCATCCGCTTCAAATACGAAGGCAAGTTTCTGTCTGTCGCCAATTGCCGTGCGTACAGGTAGATGCTGTACTGTACGGTGCTTGTACGGGCAATCTAGGAACTCAACTACGTCTACCAAGGTAATGCAAACAAAACTAAGCCTACAACCTTCTAATACGGTACCAGCCCGTACATAAACTCTCTCCTTTTCTTTCCGTTCCCAGCTTTTTTCCCCTTCTCACTTTTTTTTCTGGGTCCGGACGCTGGAATGCCCACCAAAGAGACAATGTCTTAGCTCTAATTAACCACCTTATTCATCAGCATAACTTGCGTCATACTTGTTGTCTCTGCTCCATCCCGGATTCCTCTGTGCTTCCTTGGCGTTCCACGCTGCGCTTGGGCCGCATCAGGTAGTGCAGTGTACGACTATCTAATCTCGCTCCCCCAGGAATGGCGAATCCAGCTCCATTGAATGGTTCCGTGTCTCGAATGTGGCGCACCGGTGAAGGAGCTCTTGCACATCACTTTAGATGTATGAACGAACGAGGCTTGCTAATCGTTTGCGCTCGGACAATTACGAACAAGTACACGCACACGTGTTGGACAAAGAGACCCGACTTTACCGTATCTTATACCCCCATGGCTATTACGGTAGGAGCCCTGTTCGAGATGAGGGATTCTCGACCGGAGGCGATGTAGCTGCTGCCTAGAACTGCCCAAGCTGCCCGCGTCGTTGCCCAATATCCTCGAGATGCTCAAACCTGGTTCCCATGCCATAGACACATCAGCTATTCTCCCCGCATAACCCTTGTTCACCACGTAGCGATGACGTTGGGTTGTCTGAAACGTTTCATTGTCATGCTCCCCTTTCCTGCTAGCGCAGGGAGTCGCCACTGCTTGATGTATTTGGCGATGGTACGGAGTACGAGGACTGGAGAACAAAGGCCTATCAAGATAAATCGTGCCAATACGCGTATTCTGGATTGCAGCACCGATCCCGGAGTGGTGGAAATATAAGCCACAAAAGCCATTGCTGCTCGATCACAGCCAAGCAAACATGCACTTTAGGATTGAGTGCGTTCTTACTATGTTAAGACCATCGATTTGATGAATTGAGATTGGTTTAGCATCACTTGCCCAGAAAAGGTACCACAATGCGATGAGAATCGTGGATCTAAGATCTTCCAAGCTCAATTGCCGCGATCATGAAGCATCACGTGACTATCGCGATTCGTCATAATCTCTGATAAGGTCAGCCCCACAAATCTGTTGCAGGTAGAATGGCTATCACGCAGCCGGAGTTTGAGCTTTAGCCAACTTTTTGAACTTCCAAAGGTGTCGCGACACCCCATGTAAACATCCTTTTTTCCAGCTACAAATCCCAGTGCAACTCAAAGGCAAAAGACTCAACAATGTCTTCCATCGCAGAGATCCAAGCAGAGCGACAAACGTACCAGGAACAAGTATGAACAAAGCCTCTATGCCTCCCTGTTGATGGTTTCCAAGGCCCGCTGCTAACCCAAATCTAGCTGGACCTTGTTCTTGGCCAGATCCGCGATGATCCCGACAATGTTGAGCTCAAGGCTCTCCACAGCGAGCTGAAGGAATTCGTTGATCTTCTCGACGAAAATATCGCCGAGTTGAAAGCGAAGCAGGCTCTCAAACCCGAAGTAAAACCAGCCGCGCCATCTCCTGAACCAGCCAAGTGGTCCAAAGAGAACCACCCAGCCTTCAAGAAGGCAGCGCCGCCGGTCGAGGAAAAGGAAGAAGCCCCTGTCAACTATCAAGTAAACGATACCGTTCTGGCAAAGTGGATTTCAGGCGACAAGGCCTTCTACCCAGCGCGCATCACGTCCATCACTGGATCGTCCACCGATCCCATCTACATTGTCAAGTTCAAGACCTACGACACTACAGACACTCTCAGGTCAAGAGATATTCGCCCAATCTCCAACAAGCGAAAGGCCGATGCTCCTCCGCCGGCATCTGCTACTCCAGTGGCCACAGCGCCGGCTCCTGGTGTCGTCAGCTCGGCTGGCGCTACCATGTACCCCGAGGCGCAGAAGGAGTCTGAGGCAGAAAAGGATGCTGTCAAGGCACCCAAGCCCAAGAAGATCAAAGCCAACAAGGAATTAGAAGCTGGCAAGTCAAAATGGCAAGACTTTAATGCCAAATCAAAGTTTGGCAAATCTAACAAGAAGGACTCCATGTTTCGCACACCCGAGGGAATCCACGGACGAGGTAAGTCTCCAAATTCGACATCTTCATATGAATTCACGCTAATCGCTCTCTACTAGTTGGCTTCACTGGCTCTGGCAAAGCAATGAGAAAGGACCCTACCCGTAGTCGTCATGTCTACCAGGTTAATGAAGAGCTCGATTAAATGCTTTGCCCAGAAGAGCCAGTGCAGGAGGATTTGGGCCAATGAGGAAGATCTCACAGAGGTCTCAGAGGCGTTATGGAGTTAGGAAATTATTGTTGATACTGCGGTAATTTGCCTTGCAATATGTTGTGGCAGAGGCTAACCGTTGAGCATTTCGCTTTTTTTACACCAGAACATTGACATCGCGGTTCACGAGAAGCATTAGGTTATGGGAATATTGATTGCAATTTGACAGCTTTGGCAAATCACCAGATGTTTCATCCAAGAACAGGCCCCCCTTTGGGATCAGCAATGGATTGCTAAGTTACGATGGCAGGTTCAACGACCACGTTTCATCAGACGATGTTGAAATTCCCGAATATGCCGTCTAGATTTGTTACCGTGTCGAGAAAGAAAGTTAGTGATTATGGCTCCCGACCTCCTTCAGGTCAATCTTGGGGCAAATAGCTCTAGCAATATCAAGGAAGGCTGATGCTCGTTCGCTGGATGGCTCAGAAACGACAGTCGGCTTCCCCCTTTCCCCGTCATCGCCGATATTGGGATGAAGAGGAATGTCTCTTAGAAAGTCAATCCCATTCTCTTGACACAGCTTCTCAACTTTCTTGTTTGATCCAAAAACATGGGTGTCCTGATGACAGTGTGGGCAATTAAACAGAGACATGTTTTGGACCACGCCGAGGATATTGACGCCAACTGTTTTAAACATGTTTATGCCTTTGACTGCATCCTTTGTTGCCAAAGTATGTGGTGTAGTGATGATGACGGATCCTGTGCTAATCAGTATATGAGACAAAAAGAGCAATAGTGCTCAGTGTGATCAAGAAATAGCTGCCTACCATCCAGGATGATTTGCTGAGTAATAGTCAACTGCGTGTCTCCTGTTCCGGGAGGCAGATCCAAAACAAGGATATCCAAACCACCCCAATCTACTTCGTGAAGAAGCTGCTGAATCGCCTTCATAACCATTGGCCCTCTCCATACGACGGGGGCACTCTCTCCCACCAGATAGCCCATCGACATTGTCTTGACGCCATAATTTGTCAACGGTACTAATTGGTTGTCTTGAAATGTGTTAGTAAAAAGAGCATGCAGGCAATGACAGCCTTCTTACTGTTGGATAGCCTGGGCTCCCCTGATAGATCGAATAAGGTAGGAATGGATGGGCCGAAAATATCTGTGTCTAGTATTCCGGCGCGGTATCCTAGTCTGGCAAAAGCCAGTGATAGGTTTGCTATCCCAATTATGAGCCTGTCATGTATATCTAGAACTGTATATTGCAATTTCGCGACATACCGGCAACGGTGCTTTTGCCAACACCACCTTTGGCGGAAGATACCGCAATCACCTTGTCTACTCCAGCAATCTTCCGCTTCTGCGGCCGTTTTGGCCAGCTTGGCGGAGTGCCTGATCGGGGAAGTCCCTAAGATTTCGTTAATTCGGGCTCGTTTTGGTGAACAAAACAGATTAACTGACCAAAGGATTTTCATGTTGGAGAGCTCTTACAGCTCGAAAGAGCAGTGAGGGCGAAGAGCGCATTGCTGAAATTTACTAAGAAAACTTGAGAATGATTCGTGAAAACACAAGAGGGAAGCTGTAAGAATTATCAATTGGCAAAAGTCATTGTATCACTGCAATACTCTGCTGACGGCCTCTCCGCAGCCCCCGATCAAAGTGAGCAAGATGTTAATTCATCTAAGAGTTGATGTGATGCTATCCAGCACTATTACTTCAAGGGACCCACTTATCAGCGACGCTGGTGCTTTTTCGGGCCTGGTTACAAAGACAGTACAAGCTAATATTCTGCCGCCACCTACCGCCTAAAAGTTTAGAACTTGCAGACGCCCATTGATAGCAGAAAAATTCCCAGCGTTGTGTGTCAACACTCATTTTCAAGCCAGCCAGACCAACCTCCAAAATGGCCAAAGCAAAAGGACGCGCAAAGGATTTCCAAGACCCAGACGAGGAATTGGCCAAAGGTATTGTGAAATAATATTTATTTATTCACCATAACGTTAAATACTAATGGAGGGGCTTAGATTACGATCCTGAAGCCAATGGAAACAGCGACAATGACAACGGAAGTGGCTTGAGCGAAGATGAGCGCGCTGGCACCGAGCACTACGTGACGGTCGGCCGTAGTAAGCTTCGAGAGAAGGAAGGGATTTCTCTGGGCCGTCAATACCGAGGATCTCGAGTTTCGCGCCAGGCTTTAGAAGAGGAGGACGATGACGAAGATGAGGAGGAAGACGACGATGATGAGGATGCCGATGAAGAGGCCGAATTTGATGACCCAGAGACAGCCGACTTAGTTGCTGATACAGCAGAGGCCAGCGACTCGGAAATCAGTAGCGACAATGCCCTGGCGGAATCTGATGATGAACGATTGAACTCATTCGTATTCCGGGGCAGCTCAAAGCCTAAGCAGCCCAAGAGCAAGCGAGCCTCTGCGGCGGACTTTATGTCTGCTTCTGAAGAAGAAGACGATGAGGACGAGGACGAAGATATGGATGATGGTCTTGATGCCTTGTTGAATGGCAATGGAACTTCTGACGAAGACGAGGAAGAGGAGGAGGACGAAGAAGAGGAAGAGGAAGACGACGAAGAAGAGGAAGATGATGACGAGGATGAGGACGAAGAATCAGCCAAGCGAAGCGCCAAACCTTCCCCGGCAACTCCTTCATCGAACCAGACCGAAGTCCAGAAAGGAATGGCTATTCAGCAGCAGAGGAAAATCTATGACGGGCTACTCAACATGCGTATCCGACTCCAAAAGGCAATCGTCGCGGCGAATACCTTCCCCACCCTGGATTCTGATTCGAGTTCAGAGACGGAGGCTTACGAAGCTGCTGAGGAAGCTGCTATCAAATTACTCAACACCATCAGCGACCTTCGAGAAAACCTGGCCCCTCCCACAGCCGCGGGCAGCAAACGCAAGCGAATTGAGATTGATCTCTCTACCGAGCAAATTTGGAAGCAGATTCAGGAGGATGATCAAAGGGCCGTCAGGTTCCGAGAGGACAGGCTGGATAAATGGTCTCGCAAGGTGCAAAGCGTGAATGTGACCGCACCAGCAAACAGACTTGGTGCAAAGCCCAAAACACTTATCAGTGCCCTTCAAGACCAGCTCGCCAATCCCGATGAGCGGCTTGTCAAACGCACTCGAGTCCCTCGATCTTGCGCACCAGTTCAGGCCTCAAAGAAGATCACTGAGAGCCAGGACATTTATGACGATGCCGACTTTTACCAGCTCCTTCTGAAGGAGCTTGTTGATCAACGCACAGTAGAGTCCGCCGCAGAGCAGTCTAGCGCGGTGGCCTCGGTGATGCTTACCGCCAACAAAGAGGCCAAGTCTCGAAAAGTGGTGGACCGAAAGGCAAGCAAGGGGCGAAAGATGCGATTCACAGTGCACGAGAAGCTGCAGAACTTTATGGCGTCCGAGGACAGGAGAACCTGGGAACAGGAGGCCATTGATCGCTTCTTTGGAACTCTGTTTGGCCAGAAGATGGAGCTTAATGAGGAGGAGAGCGAGGATGAGGAGATGGAGGCTCTGTATAAGGAAGACACCGGATTACGGCTGTTCAAATAAGGGTAGGGGCTTTTTCTTATATACTGGCATTGATAGATGGCTGGAAGAGAAACCAGCCGGGTTGGGCATGATACATTGTGTTAATTAAAACCATTTCACATTATTATCTTTTGTTAACGATACGTGATGTGTACTTGACTCTGTAAGTCTTCCATATGGCAGCTATATTTTCTTATGCATATATTCCATGCTATGCGTCTTTGAAACCATCATATCCTCCAGGTCCCGAAATAGACGCTCCAATTCTACTGAGCAATGCAGATAGCAGTGGGAGTGCCGCCGGAATCATCCATCTTCCCACCTTCGCACCGTATTTGTAAGTTCATGATTCCAAATCTTCCAAGATAATCAATTATCACCAACAACGATAAGAAGACGAAAGCAAATATCATTATCCTGCACGGAAGTCGAGCTTAGGAACGCAATCATTTCCGAATCCGAATCCGCGTCGGAACTGCTGCCGGGCGCGGGCGGGTTTTCTCGGCTCTTCCCCACAAACGCGGAAGAGCCCCGTTGCATCCCGCCTTTCATATGCCGATTGAAAACAAATCGCAGGAGCTCAAAGCTTGAAGCTGTTTTTCACTTTTTCTTCTCTGTTGGTTGTTTTTCTTTCACTTTTCTCTTTTGATCAACGAAGATTGAGTAGCAGATTAGAATCAAGATGGCTTCACAAACTTCTTGGGTCCCGCTGGACAAAAACGGCGACTTCTCAATCCACAACTTGCCCTTTGGCATCTTTTCTGAGGGCGGCTCGCAGCCCCGCGCCGCCTCACGAATTGGCGATTTCGTCATTGACCTCAAAGCGCTCGCTGGCGATGAGCAGGCGAAGCAGCAGCTGAGCTCGCTTCGTGACCTGGAGGGAGTTCTCGGACAGACATCTCTAAACGCCTTTGCTGAGCGTGGACGCGCAGTTCATCGTGCTGTGAGAGGTGATCTCCAGCGCATTCTAAGTCAATCCACAGATGTGCCAGCGATTCTCAAGGACAATGAGTCGCTCAAGCAAAAGGTCCTGATCCCGGTCGAGAAAGTCAAGATGCACTTGCCGATGCAGATTGGAGACTACACTGACTTCTACGCCGGCTACCATCACGCCTACAAAGTTGGTGTCCTGTTCAGAGGCCCGGACAATGCCCTGCAGCCAAACTACACACACTTACCTGTGGGATACCATGGCCGCTCATCCAGCATCGTTGTGTCTGGAACACCCATCCGCAGACCCCGTGGCCAGATCCTGCCCAACCCAGCGGCGAACCCCAAGGAGCCGACGACAGTTGCCTGCCGTCGATTGGATTTCGAGCTGGAGCTTGGTTGCTTCATCTGCAAGCCCAACGAGATGGGCGAGTCAATCGACATCAACAAGGCTGAGGAGTACATTTTCGGCTTTGTCCTGCTCAATGATTGGAGCGCTCGCGACATCCAGGCGTGGGAATATGTGCCCCTCGGACCGTTCAACGGCAAGAACTTTGGCTCAACTATCAGCCCTTGGGTCGTCGTCGCGGATGCGCTGGAGCCCTTCCGAGCCCAGCCACTGCCGAATGATACCCCTGTTCAGGATTATCTCAAGGAGTCACAGAAGGAGAGCGTGTTTGACATTCAGCTTGAAGTCGGCCTTACAAGTGAGTGACCTGCTCCCCCCCTGGGTCCCATTTGTCGGCATGTACTAACATGATGCGTGCTACAGCTGCGGACGGCGACCATGTCGACCTGTCCAAGACAAGCGGCCGAAACCTGCTTTGGTCCTTCCCGCAGATGATAACGCACCATACCGTTGGCGGATGCCCTCTCAGGGCCGGAGATTTGTTGGGTTCGGGAACCATTAGCGGCTCAGAGCCTCGGGAACGTGGTAGCTTGCTTGAAATGACCGAGGGCGGCAAGGTCGATGTTCAGCTTGAAAAGGGCGGGGTGCGTCGCTTCATCCAAGATGGTGATAGCCTGAACATGCGAGGATACTGCGAGAAGAACGGAGTGCGGATCGGGTTTGGCGACTGTGAGGGCACGATTCTGCCCGCTCACGGGGCGTAAAGTTTGGAAGGGGAATCAACAGCATAATGAGAAATGTAACCAAAAATATCCATTAGATGAAATCAAAACAGAAGCCAAGAGCTCTTTGGTGTCCAAGTTTCTTGTTGTCTGAAAGTCGCCTCGGCCAGCTGTCTGCGTGGACAGGCATGAGGCATGGTGCATGTTGCTGGCGGATTTCGTGAAGAGCCGCTTGATAGGAATTAGGAAGAAAGCTTTGTCATTTGGATAACGTTACCCGTATCCCGTCCTCCATCACCAATTCCGTGCTCCGCGGGCCCCACGCCTGCAACCCAATCAACCAACCCATATTACGGAATATTGAGCCAGACCAGAAGCGCGCCGTGGGGAACCGGGAATTCCACATGGCTTGGAAACGCCCGCGCTTTGCCTCGCTTTGTCCTGCGTCGCCATTTGGCGCCCTGCCATGCCTCGAGTGTGCCTCGTTCTGCTTCGTACATGCCTGTCGAGGCTGATCAAGGAGTCCAAGTTGCTTGTTACAGGACCTGTCAGTTCAGTTGCATCGACCTCGGCTCCGGCTCGTCTCCACCACGCGACGAGATTGATTGCCCGTAAGCGGCTCAGCTTCCTAGAGGGCGGAACAGAGGTCGCCTGCAAACCCGTACTTCAGCTCTGCCGGCCGTTATCTTGAGTGCGGGAAGCAAGAAGCACGAAGAGCATCGATTCGATCCCATTCTTCCTTCGGGTGCCGGGCGCTGTGAGGTCACGTGTGGCGCGGCTTTACTATGCTTGGTGCAGGAGCGTGCCACAAAGTCCGAACGGCCTCTCTATACCTTTTTTTTTCTTCTACTCCCCTTGTGGCTCCTCACATGAAGTGAAGGGAAAAGGGCGACATGGAGCAGATTGAGACGCAGGCATCGGACCTGCGCTACCTGACGGCGCCAGTCGCCGCCGCTTTGAGCGACTCGGCCAGTGTCTCGTACGAGACGCCGCAGCCACGGACACACATGAGCCCAGGTTCCGCCATGTACGGAGACAATTCCGCGCTGCACGACGACGCTTCGCCTGGCGATGGCAATGCAAACAAGAGGAAGTCGATGGATGAGGCGGGGACTGCGAAACAGACGCGGAGTAAGAGGAATCGGGTGAGTTTATGCAATTGTCGTTGTATTTTTTATGAAGTGGTGCGAGGCGATTGGACGTGAGGTGTTGTAGATGCGTTCCGTCCAATGCATACACGCTGCGCCAAGGAAGAGAGCCGAGCGCTGGAAGCACAAGGCAATATTTGGCTGCTGCTTTCATCGCACATCCTGGCATATGGACAAATTATTGAACTGTTTATGCCCGTTTTTGGTTGAATCCCATCAGCTAACGTCGTGGTCCAGTACATTTCCATTGCCTGGTAAGCTCACACCCGGCACTCTATGGCTTTCAGTAATCTATACAAACCCTTCCTACCTGCTGGATCCCTATCAAAAGATGCAGTGACGGTAGAATGTACTGAGCTCTGCTGACATTTGGGGGCCGCCCCTACAGTAACGAGTGCAAAAGGCGCAAGATCAAATGCAATGGAGAAACGCCTTGCCAACGCTGCGGCAATCTCAACCTGGCGTGTCTCTATGCGCCCAACTGCTGCTCTAACAACTTCAAAGACTCGGAAGAATACAAGAAGATTGCGGCGCAGCTGAGTCGCCTTCAAGAAGAAGTCAGCTGGCTCAACCAGAGCATGCGCAACATGCAAAGCGAGTCGCGATTTGCACCGCCATCTTCTGATCGCATCGTACCTGCTACTAACTCAGTCATCGCACCCTCTCCATCGCAGAGCTCGGCATCTGGCCACCGACTGGATTACCCTGGAAGGCAGACACCATTTCAGGGGCCGACGAGCATGGCCTTCACCCTTGATCTGGCCAAAGAGACAATCAGCAATATGGGGTGGAAGACTACTGAAGAGGCGGATGACAATGAGCCACCACCAAACACCCACATTTCCTCTTCAGTGTCAGTCCAGATACCCCAGCTGCCAGACCCGCTCTTGGAGTTTGACAAAGATGAGATGGTGCGCCTCTGCCGAGTGCATGAAGACGAGATTGGCATCATGTATCCTGTTCTCAATATCCAAACCGTGATTGCGCATGTCAAGAACATCGCGCTATATCTTAAGAGCCAACGGCCGACTGAGCCCTTGAATGACCTTCAAACTTTGCAATTAAAAGCCATCATGTGTTGTGCTCTTGTTGTAGAAGGACACGGTCATTGTGAGAAAGCGGTGCGGTTGTATGAGAGCATGGAAAATACTATTAACAGAAAGCTCATGTCGGACGGCCTTGAAGTCTCCGACCTTCCCCTCTTGGCGCTTGTTGCCGGTTATCGATTCTTGTCTAATGAAGAAGTGCTTGCTTGGCGTGTCATGGGACAGGTGGTGCGCTTGTGCGTAGAGCTCGGCATTCACCAAAAGAGGGGGCTGATGATGATACAAAATGAGACTGAGAGGAAGAATGCTCTCAACAGCTTTTGGTCTGCTTACGTTCTTGATCGCCGATGGGCATTTGGAACGGGTCTGCCGTATGCTATCCAAGACGATGAGATTGACCCGACCTTACCCATGCCTGTGAGTTTGATAACTGTGGAGAATAAAAAAGAAGAAGAAGATGAAGCTCGTCAGGCTAACGTCAAATAGGATGAATATCCCTACCTCGTGGCCATGATCACATACTCTCGAATAGGCGCCAAAGTCTGGCGTCAAGTGTCTCATTTTGGACCCGTTCTTGCCCGAGAACTGGGCCAGGAGGAAATTGAACGACTTGATCAAGAGATCCTTCGGTGGTACGAGAGCGTACCGGAAGAGATCAGAGTTCGTAATTGGGACAAAGAAACTCAAATGACATCAACGCCATCATATAATCTGCAGCGGTTGAGGATATGGACGTATCTACGATTCAATCAAGTAAGTCATGGTGCAACTGTCAAACTTGGCCAAGCCAAACTAATGGCCTCTTAGATAAGAACATGGCTATATACTCCTGTCCTACACAGTGCTACCAGCATCATGCAGCATCCATTACAAGCGCAGCGTGTTGTTGACTTAGCAAAGGACACCATCCAATATCTCCACCACCTCAACAGCACTACCAACCTCTACCGAAGAACGCAGGTCTTTTACCACCAATTCCTTGCAGCAGCAATATCCGTCGTCTTCCTTGCCTCAGTACACGCACCCGTACGCTTTAGTGCAGTTTGCAGAGAAGAGTTCTACATGGCACTCGATTTAGTCAAAGACTTGTCGGTCAAGAGCTGGGTGTCTCAGCGACTGTGGCGAACCATCAAGTCGCTAAAGGACGTGGCACCCCGCTTTGGTCTGAATCCAGATGAAGACCCTCATTCAAGCGCAGCGCTGGGCATGATTGGCCTTGCAAGAGGCCACATGGATACCATGCCCCCTGGCCAGCCTATCTTTCAGCATCCACCAATGCCTCCTAGGCAGAATACGGAACCCATGGTGAACAACAATAACGGCCAAAAGATACAGAGTGAGATGTCACGCATATTTGAGGGCTACGTGGGCCTCAATGGGGTTCAGTTTGGGAGCAACGGAGAAGAGCAGCATATACCTTCTCACGGCGCTCTTTCTTCTCCAGAGTCGCAGAATGCCATTTTCCCCTCGGCAGATGGGACAGTTTTCCCTCACATGCGTGAGATGTTTTAAGAGATTGATATCCTTTTCAAGTACAGCGTTGATTGATTCGGAGTCATGTTTGAGCCATGTGGTTGCTACTTCTTTTTTTGTAATGATAACATTCCCCCTTTCATTATGACAGGTTTTAGACGTACCATACTCTATACCATATGTGCACGTTAGAGGCGCATGCTTAACACGACATGCGATAAAAATATATGGCGTTGATTTGCTAAACGAGATGCCTCGATAATTTGCGAGATTTCTCAGCTGTCGTTTATCTACTGTACCATGGGGCAGAATTCAGGCGGTCGGACACGTTGACGTGGCTCTTTCACGTTTGATGCAGGTGAATCTTGGACTTTACATTGTGCCCGCGGCGATTTGCCCGCACAACTCGTCGGGCAACGCCAACGAATCCGGAGAGTCAGAAAATGCACCCCTGAGCATGGATTGCTCAAAGCGGAAATTCTCAGCAGAATCGACCACTAGGATGTCTTGCTCTTGAGGGTCGGGTCCAGACTGTTCGATTCATGCGTTTTCCCTGGGTTTCCCGCGGGCGACAGGGTTCAAGGGGGGCGGCTTTTCTCCAATTTCTCAACAGCAACAAGGCCATTTGACACGTTGACAGTTGGCATGGTTATTGATTATGCAGCAACAATTGAAAAGCATCACCGATGCCGGCCATGGTGGCCAGCGGATCAACATGGCGCTCTGGGATCAACGCCTTTGCTTGGGACGTCAAGATTCTGTTTCTTGAGCCATTGCCAACAACTGCACAATGCCCGCCGCTTATCCTGCGAAAAGAAAGGGGGAAAGATAACATTCGACAGCTAGGGAATAAGCCGCTACTGCTATCAGTCCCGGTTGCATCCATTCACGACGGCTTTTGCGCTCGCTTATCTGCTGCAGCCTGTAGTAATCATCTTGCCCGGAAAAGATTTTCTTCAACTTCGCCCGGGACCATCGAATTACTTTCCCGCGGGAAAGTATTTGGAGATCCGCTCCACCCGCTATCTAGGACTCAACAACCCGCTGCGGCGCCGCTGCTACTGGCCCGGCGACAAACTTTGGTTGAACAATGCCTGGCTTTTGCAGCCGTCATCGGAAGCCTCTGCTTAGAAGACGGAACCTGGATGCTCTGCGGGCAGTGAGTTGTTGTCAACAGATATGTCACAAAGGCGGAGCAGGTGATGCAACGAGTCTGCAATGCAACACGCCATCATCTGATCTAGTATTGTCAGTCCGTGCAAGCAACGGACCGACCGGAGGAGCATTGGTCTTATCATTGGTTCTCCAATAATAGCTCCGATTGAAGCTTTGGCTGCAGGGGACCCTCCACCAACTGCAGAAATGTGACAAGGGACCACTTGACGGAAGATGCCCAAAGATCCAGGATTTGTTTAGCACGGGCAACTTCTCATTCGTTTCAGTGGCTAGACTTCACTTGAGGAGACGTCTCCAAGTGTGGATTGCTCCATAGGCGCTTTCTTACCAAGAATGTAAGTGCTCTATTGCAAACCTTTGATTAGCAGGGGTTGATCATTGACGATTAGGCATTACTGTTCTAGAGCCATTCCATCCTCATTTCAAATGTCCTAAGAAGTGTTTGTTAAGAGATAACGGACTAATCTATCAATTGTACCAGAATTGGGTCACCCGGCCTGGCAATGAGGAGTTCAACTTGGCCATCCTGCTGCGTATTTATACCGCCACGCCGCTGGTTGATGCTCGACCACTAGGCTAAATTGCTTCAAATCTGTATCGAAACCAACGATCTCCATCGTTACAAATTGACTGAGGAAGCCAGGTGACACTCAGTATTGAAGACGCAGAGAACTTATGGTGAAGGATATCATCGCCTAGAAACCGCACGGAGAAGCGACACAGCATTTGCCTATTCCTCCACTCCATTCTCGTGCCATTGGACCGATTTCCCATCGAGACGCCTCCAAGACGCCTACTCGATCAAATCTGCATCATCTTCCCACGCAAGCAGAGTTGTTGGTGGCATTCGAGATTTTGATATCGCATTCGAGCTAAGGCTGTTAGGTTTCCACCTACCTGGTCGTTGAGCGGGCCTCGTATTCTAGACTTCCTAGCGTGACCGCCAGGGAAACTTTACATTTTCCCGCGGACAACTACCACCAAGCTGCCTCTTACATACATGCTGCATTATAAGTCTCTGCAAGATATCCACCACTGCTAAAGACCAATCCCGAGCACATTGCCTCTGCTTTGTCAGATTTTTACAGTCGCTCACTCTGACAGACTGATATGCAAGAGAATCAGCAGCAGAGTGGCGGCGGACGGCCCTATAGGTCTCACCTCCGGCCGGCGTGTGTGCCCTGTCGCCGGAGAAAGTCACGATGCCAGACCGCAGGCGATGCTACCGTATGCCTGACGTGTCGTGCTCACGGCACTGAGTGCTACTTTCCCGGAGACTCACAAACATCTGAATCTCCGGAACCTGCTCGTCGCCGTCGCCGTCGAGTGGAAGCTCGGCCGTCACCCGATGCATCTGGCGCAAGCCCCTTGAGGGTTGCACGAGGAGTGGTGCCGTTCCACGGGAATGCAAAAGCCAATACCTCGGCGTCCATCATTGGGTCGAGAGGCACGTCCATGGGGCGGCAAAGTTCAATGGCAGTGTCAAACGTGCCGCCTAGGTCCATCACCGGCATGTCAAGAACAGATCAAGGAGAAGAGTCAACTCTGGCCCTAGGCTCCGATGATGACCAACATCTCAATCTACACATTGTAGGACCGGCCTCTACCAATGATAGTCAGGTTCTATCTACGTATCTCTCGGGTATACCCGGAGCTACTCGGAGCACTAGAATGATCATTCCGGAGCCCGCCAGCTGTTCACGTCCGGTTCTGTTCACTGAGGTCCAGAAGAGACCGGTGGGCCTCAAGTTGAATCGTAGTTTCTCAGCAGAAAAGTTGGAGATTATTGAGAAGCTCCTGGAACCTCATAATGAGGCCGTCATTGACGAGTTCGTCGTCCTTCTTTTTCGCCTAACGACTTCCACGTAGCTGACTCCCTTTTCCTTGTAGATACTTTAGAAAAGTAAATGTGTGCCTACCACTTCTGGATGAAGTCTCATTTAGGCGTCAATACCGGGAAGACAAGACGCGAATTTCGCCAGCGCTGCTGGCATGCCTTTATGCCCATACCATTGTGTACTGGCAAAGCTCCCCAGTCTTGAGTCGGTACAGGTGTCCAGAGAGTCGTTTCATCTGGAACCTCGCCAACGAAGCCGTATACTCGGAGCTTCATCTATCACCCGGCATGTCTATCATCAAGGCAATAGTACTCAATATTGGTGGACGCCCTACCACCTCTCTGATAGGTAATGGCGTGCTTCTCGGATCTGCAGTCTCCATGGCACATTCGTTGGGACTGAACCACAACCCTCTTCCATGGCAGATTCCGCTACCAGAGAAATATTTGCGCATGAAAATTTGGTGGGCGCTGTTAGTCCATGACAGATGGTAAGTGTGATTTGTTCGACTATCGAGGTGCCAGAAATAGAGAGAAAGATAGAGAAAGATGAAAAGCTGACTTGCAAATGCCCAATTGCAGGACAAGCTTGGCACACGGCACGCCGCCTCACATCCAAAAGTCTCAGTATGACGTGCCTCCGCCAACTCTAGAGTATCTTAGCGAAGGCTTAACAGACGGAAATAACCCGTGCTCTGAGCTTAGAACCAATATCTTCATTTCGCTAGTAACCCTGAGCGAAGTGCTTGACCGATTTCTGCAGTACGTGTACTGCGTTAGACGAGATAAACAGACCACTACCGATCTCGAGCATGCATTGCATCGATGGGTTGAGACATTGGAGGGACCCTGTCGCCGGATTGTTCTGCGAGGATCTCATCTGGATGTTACCGGAGCCGCAAACCTTCGCCTGGCATATTTAACCGCCAAACTGCTATTACAGAGGATACAGCTCGAGGCAGAGAAACAAGGAGACCATGTCAACGAGGAGGGGGTGTTGAATCGATATTCTGGGGCACGCATGACATCTGAGGAGATGTTGATGCTCATTCAAGACTTTCAGCCGGAACACCTCGGTGACTTCTGGATGTCCGTCAGCTCCTTTTCTTTCCCGGCTGCGGTCAACTTCTTGTTGCGGTGCGCGCTGGAGACTGAGAACTCTCCCGAGGGACTGACCCAAAGCCCCTCGTTCAAGATTGCCCGCGACATAATCACCACACTTCGATCACATCAGGAGCAGTACAAATGGGATTTGGGCGACATCTGCCTTGCCCAACATGCCGAGATTGTGGAGAAGATCCTGGCGGGCGTGGCGCCAGACGAGCAAGGTGGAAATAGTAGCAGCCTTGACCTCCAGGACTTTGACGCCTCGATCCTGGACCACATCTTTCCAAGCGTATGGGACCCGTTGCAAAACGCCTGGTAAATAAAGAATAAAGCCAACGGATCAGTTTCGGTGGGTAAACTGGAGAAATAGGGGTCCCGCAGAATAATACGGAGCTGTCAGTCAGCCCCGGGCAAGTTGTCTCCCGCGGGAAACTTTTGTTGGCCGCGGCAAAGCTAGGAAAGCAAGCAACCACCGCCGCAAAGATATCCACAACGATACGATATCGGAAGTAGACGGGAAAAGCGCTGAGATGAGATTTTTTGTTTTTGTATATAATACTATAATGTCCTTGGAGGCCGGGTGCAATTGGAGTTCACATCATCAAGCAGTCAAAGCAGCAAACAAACCGCAACAGTTGTCTGACAACATTGTCTTCTTCAACCAACAGGAGCAATCCAGTCTTTTCATATCTATTGATCCTTTGGAAAGGTCAAACGATTTTATTATTTTTGTTTTTACACATATACACGAATATTCACAATGGCTCCGGGAGCTCTAGTTGAACCTGAAAGCCCCCTGCTGGCTCCCGTATCAGGAAAACTCGACGTTGCCCCTACACTCTACGCTGGAATCGACGAGAAGCAGCTCCGTGAAAAGTCCGAGGCACACTTGGCCAACTACGGCACCAAGTTTCACGATGATGTGATCATTGGAGCTCGTGGAATGTACATTTACACAGCCTCTGGCCACAGAATCCTTGACTGGACTTCGGGCCAGATGTCTTGTCTTCTGGGCCATGGACACCCCGAGATTGTCAAGACTATTCACGACCACGCCATGTATCTTGACCACCTCTTCTCGGGAATGGTTTCTCCTCCTGTTATTAGCCTTGGGGAGCGTCTTTGCAAGGCTCTTCCTGAGGGTCTGGACAAGGCCTTCTTCCTCTCCACCGGCGGCGAGAGCAATGAGGCCGCTATCAAGATGGCAAAGGTGTATACCGGCAAATGGGAAGTTGTCGGTCTCGGTGCATCTTGGCACGGCATGACTGCCCAAGCTCTGGGAGCTCAGTACCACTTCGGTCGTAAGGGTCAAGGCCCAACTATCCCCGGCCAGTTCATGCTTCCCTCACCCAACGCATACCGCTCTGAGTTCCGGAAGCCCGATGGATCTTATGACTGGGAGGCCGAACTCAACTACGGCTGGAAAATGATTGACTTGCAGTCCACTGGCAACCTCGCCGCCTGCATTGTAGAATGCATTCAAAGCTCCGGGGGCATGCTTGTTCTTCCCCCTGGATACCTCACGGCCATGAAGAAGCATTGCGAGGCAAGAGGCATGCTCCTCATTGTCGACGAGGCACAGACCGGAGTCGGACGATGTGGTGACTTCATGGCCATCAACCACGAGGACGTCGTGCCGGATATCCTCACTCTGTCCAAGACTCTAGGCAACGGCCTTCCCCTTAGCGCCGTCATCACCAGCGACGAAATCGACCGCGTCTCCACCGAAAAGGGCTTCATGTTCTACACCACCCACGTCAACGACCCTCTCCCCGCCGCCGTCGGCGATAAAGTCCTCGAAATCGTCTTCCGCGACAACCTCGTCCAGCACGCGCGCGAGGCAGGCAAAGTCCTCCACGAGGGCCTCCAGAAGCTCAAATCCCGCTACGGCTGCATCGGCGACGTGCGCGGCCGCGGCCTCATGGCCGGCGTCGAGATCGTCGCCAGCAGAGAAACCAAGGAGCCTGCCCTGGAGCTGGCCAAGAGCATTGGCGACACGGCGTATAACCTGGGTGTGTGGGCGAACTTGAGCAGCCATCCTAGCTTTGGGGGCACGTTCCGGATTGCGCCGCCGATTACGGTGACGGCGGAGCAGATTCAGGAGGGCTTGGATATGTTGGAGAAGGCTTTTGCAGAGACGGAGGGGACGATGCCTCTTTATTAAATATCGGGTTACATGGTATTGGAGATTGGATTTGGGTGAATTGGTTGTGAATGGGTTCTGTTTTGGCATGGTTGGTTTGAAAATAGGCGCAGGTTAATGAGATCCTTTGGTGGTTTTACATGATTTTGTGTTCCAAACTGAAGAATAAAGCGAGAGACAAATACAGTCTAGAACAGTCATATTGAGAGCGAGATGCTATAAAAAACATTTCTTGAAGAACAAACACGGAAGATGCTACTCTCAAGGCATAAGTAAACAGAGGCAGTATAAGAGTTTATTCATATCACAAGTCGCAAAGAGAGAGACTTCAAGCATGGCGGTGAGAAGAAAGAAAAAAGGTATCATTCATAAGCTCATCAACTATCCAGCAAATTTTGCAATTCATCCCGTCTTGCCCAGTCATTTAAATCCATGCTCTGCCATTTGAATTCGCTCGCTTTTTCTCATGCATGGCGCAGAACACAAAAAGAAAAAAAACAAGTCGCCCAAGAGATTTTGAAAAAGATACAAAAAGAGTATATGCCACTGAAAACGCCGGTCCATTGCAGGAAAAGTTTTTTTTGGTGAAAAAAAGAAGCCGCCATGCTCGCTCGCTCGCTATGCTGCAACGTCGAGATTTTTTAGAAACCAAAGAATTGTTTGCTCAAAGAGTGTGATCGTGGAATTTTTTAATATTGTGCTGATGAGTCGGAGGTAGGTGGTTGTAGTCCGTGTTAGGATGCCATGAAGTATGTATGTGTGCCGTTATGATATCGTAGTTGAATGTTGTAAACTCATCGTGAACGTAGCTTAAGGTGTGGGCTGAGCCGTCTGGAAATACCGCGTACAGCGACGCCGAGGACCATCAAAACTTCCAATCCGACAATGCCCATCCAGACAGTGTTGAGAAGCTTCTCTTCATAGTCGGAGGAGTAGCCGTTGAAGTAGCCTGAAGACATGGAGTAACTGGACATGCCCCGCGCCATGATGGATATTTTTGAGTGGATCGATTCAAATTTGAACAAAGTAAGGTATACAAGCACAGACAGGTGACTTTAATTGCTTATTCTGTTGGGTAGACCTAGGACAACCTTGTCAGAATAGGCCATGAAGAGAGAAATATAAGGACAACGGAAAACAAGGCTGGTCTGAGAGATATTCGAATCACTGTATGCCCAACTCGAGCCCAACTTCAAGATCCCCGCCGCAAAGGTCGGTCACGAGTGGCACATGAGAGTGGCGGCAAACGGCAAATATCGCAAAGGATCGGACAAGACCTTACCGGTTCGTAGAAACATACCAAGTACAAGCAAATGGGTCACGGCACGGCTGACGATAACAACTATACTCGCGGCTGGCAAGATGTCGATTTTCAGTCCTGCTACAATCGGGACCCACGATCAAAGGCCCAGATGCTGATCATAAAACTGGCCCAAACGCTGATATATGATGCAAAAATCTCCAGATTCTCAAGAGCGGCGGTCGGGGCGCAGAGGTCGAGTCAGTGCTAGTTTGTATGCACTCGAGTGGATTCCTCTCTACGATATGTGCGTCGCGTGAGCCGTAAAAGCTGGCTTCCCGTACCCTGTCCTAGCCTGATCTAGCAGCAACTATTGGTTGGCTACCACGAATGCGTCGAAACAAGGCTTTTTACAGGTGAGCCAGTCTATGAGGAGGAGGTTGAAAAGATGGAAGAGTTGGTCGTGAGGCTGAGACGAAAGAAAGATGCTGAAGCAACCGTGGCAACGTGGCTTTTTGACCGTCTTATGGCGTTGCTGGCCCTCCTGCTTTGTTGGGGGATAAATTTCCTCTTGGCTGTTTGCCTTTACCATATTGACGGGATGCCCTTGTCACCTTTAAAAACACTTCAGCCCCACGTGCCGCCACCCTCATCTTGCTATGAGATTTGGTGTGTGAGACGGGAGGAAATGAAGCCGTTTTGCGGCTGCCGATGGGTGGGGCCGCGTCCCGGACAAGAGAAACATGTTTCGGCGCCCATTTTGCAGCCCTCAGGATGCTCTCTTCAGCTTCATCATTTTCATCAGAGCTGGTGTTTTTCTTTGTCGTCGTACGTGCGTAAAGAGATTGGAAAATCTCGCTGCTAGCTGGGCTATGCAGCTTGCCAAGGGTCCAACTCACGGCCCCCGCCCATTATCCCTGTTGCGCCCTATGGGGTATGTAGCCGCTCAACAAGGGTCGAGGCAGCCGATGAAAATGCGGTGACGCCGATTCATACAAGCATCATCGTTTTGCAGTGGTGGTGAAGATCGGCCGGCGAAGAAGCGCTTTATTCCTTCTCTTTCCTTCCTTGAGGCGCCATGGATTGAGATGGGACCAGAGGGTAGTTGGATCTGAGAAATGAGCCGCAGCGAGTACGTAACAATGAGCCTTGAAGTAGGTCAAGCATTATAGCCGAGTCGGTATTGGCACTAGCCGCAAGCAGGGAGGTGTAACGGCGTTATTGGCAGTGTTGAGAGCAATTTCCTCATCAATGGACGGCTGCAAGACATGTTCCAAATTACCCAGAATATGAACACACCACCTTGCTGGTCGAGACCCCTTGACATCTAATAGAATCAGCCAAAATTATGCACTCGAGATCGTGGCTCCGATCATGCAGAAACCATAATTTGACGAATTTCGTATTATCCTGCACACTCCTCGTTGGTGTTTCGTTTGTCGTCTCATAGTATTCTGGGTAGTTTATGGTCTTAGGCCTCGCTTAGATATCGCCGTAGCCGGCTCCGTATCCAAGTCGCTTTACTCGATGCCTGTAATCCGTGCGGAGCTCGATAGCTATGGGGCGATTAACAATGTGGAACTTGTCTGTAACTTGAATGGTTTGGACTGACTGATGCTAGCAGATGCATCTGTATGTCATCTGTATGCTTTATTATCTTCCCTATGGGGTGCAGGGAGAGTCTCATCCTGTAACCTCAGTCCTGGCATCTCTCCTTTGATCTTCTCGCATGCTTAAAAACATCAGTGTCTGTTTTGCCTCTCGAGTAGTTTCATGGCCATCTAACATGTTGAAAGGATAGGGCCGATTCACATGGAGAGACTTGATGTGCATAAATAGGACAAGGTTTATCGGTAGTTAGTGCCATGTTTCGAATGTAGTGCCAAAATGATGTATGTATTTGAAGTCTGTCGAATCATCTTCACCATCTTTTGCCACGATTGACAATGTCCGACTGCTGTCAAGCTGTAGCATTCGGAGTTTTGCTGATGTTTGGATCTGATTGATACCAAAATGCAACGGCGAGAAGGTCTGTACATGATGTGCATTCACTAAGGCGTGGGAGGTGATCGAGGGAAACGTCCTAGAGATTTGATAGTGAGGAGAGACGAACAGCTCATGGCGACGTTTCAGGTAGAGACTTGGTCATTGACGTGATATTGACGATTTGCGACTGATTGTTAACATGGCAGGTGGCATGGAGCTTGTTCCTTTCACGCTCAAGGGATGCAATCTCTTGTCCTCTCTACAACAAAGATTGAGGAAATTGGAGAACAAAGCCTCCGTCCATCAATCTGGGCAATCAAAAGCATCCAAGACTGTGGCGCAACTAAGCAACTAAGCAACAGCTAGCGCAAGGTCGCCGCCAGACGAGTTTCGTCTTCCCGCTCGGCTAGCTTCTCCGTGGCTTATCTTGTCTTGTCTTATCCAGGAATGGGGACTTGGCCAGACTAGCAGAGATGCTTTGTTCTGTTCTGTAATGTCCTCGTGATTGGAGGGCCGACATGCTAACACTCTCCAATGAACATGTAGACCAGGTACTTGAGATCTACCTTGCGTTACACGGCAGTTTCTCCTGCAGTTCAAGTAGCATTTTGGCTCCCTCGCATCATTTCATGGCTCTCTCCACTCGCAGCCGGCTTGCATGTGCTGTGAGAACTGCCTTGTGGACCCGTGACTTGAACAAACTAACAAACGAGTGATAACTATTGTGAACTTGTCTGTAATACTGTAATACTGTAAAGCAAGAAAGTATATGGATGATTCAATACGCTCTTTCACATGCTCAAGGAAAACGAAGACGTCATCCATCGAGCCATGCTGAGCCACAGCGATATTGATTGGGGCCATTTGCTCCGTTGTATCAAAAGAACAGCGACTGCACCGCCACACGTTCGCTTTAGCCTCACCCCCTTCTTCATGATGACGTCGCACATCTGCCCCGCCGACACCCCTCAATCAAGCTCTCCACGAGGTGTTGCGATACGAAATTGCGCGGCTGGTTCCCTCCAGCTAACCTGAAGCCACGATACGTAACCCAAAGCAGGAATTACATAAATCGCCACGTTTCTGCTCTTCCATCACCTGGAACCCTCAAACCTCTACGATATAGCTTTACTACAACTACCAAACCCCTATTCTCACCACCAGCAAAGATGACTACCACCGTTCACGTCGAGAACATTGCCGCCGCGACTGGCGATGCTGAAGTTAAGGACTTCTTTAGCTTCTGGTTCGTCCACCTGCAGCACTGAACTCTGATTCTGCGAGCCTAAGCTAACTGTTTCATAGCGGCAAAATTACCGACATCAAGGTTACCACCGAGGGCGAGACGAAGAAGGCAGAGGTTACCTTTGAGAAGGAGACAGCCATGAAGACAGCGCTTCTCCTGAACAACACACAACTCGGCCCCAACCACATCAAGGTGACGAGCGCCACAGGCGACTCCGAGGACGATGGCTCGCACTTTGCTCGACAGGGCAACAGCAACGATGAGATTACTCAGGAGATGAAGCCCCGCACCCGCATCCTCGCCGAGTACCTCGCACACGGCTACGTCGTCGGTGATGCGACCATCCAGCGCGCCATTGAGCTAGACCAGAAGCACGGCGTCTCGTCGCGATTCCTCAGCACCCTGCAGGACCTGGACAAGAAGTACCAGGCCACCGACCGCGCCAAGACGGCCGACCAGAGCTACGGCATCTCCCAGCGCGCCAACAACTTCTTCACCGGCCTGAGCAGCTACTTTGAGAAGGCCAGCAACACGCCTACCGGCAAGAAGATTGCGCAGTTCTACCTTGATGGCTCAAGACAGGTGCAGGATATTCACAGCGAGGCCCGGCGGTTGGCTGACTTGAAGACGGAGGAGCACGGAGGCAGCGCGTACAAGGCGGCTGGTTTTGAAAAGGTCTTTGGAAAGGAGAAGAAGGAGGAGAAGCCTGCGGCCGCTGCCCCCGCCGACGCTCCCGTGATCCCCGGAACTGCTGCTCCCGCTTCCGGAGCCCCCTCTACTGATGAGAAGACCGCTTAAATGAACGAGAGTTATGGAATTGTTATGGAGTTGTGTTACAAGTTGTGAAAATTATTAGTAGTCTTTCTTCTTATGATCCGTTCAGATGATTTCTTATACGAGTTTTACGGTTTCAAATCACGGGCAAAGGATAGTATAGTATAGCGATGCAATGATTGATGCTATGAATGACTATTGTACAACAAGAACATGCCAATTTATTCTCCTAAGCGTTCAACGGAGTGTCTATGTCAATGATTAGTCGCGAACTGCGGTATACGAGTCGCTCTAATTAGCGCTGCTCACAGTTTCCAGGCTCCCTGGAGAACTTGTGTTTAAGCACATCGTCCATCGGCCCCTTGGGGTTCGATGAAAGACACTGTCACAAGTTTTGGTCAGAGATAGTTCATCCGCGATAAGATAAATTGAGTTTACTCACGTCAAGCTGGGACTTTGGGTCCTTCTGGCTGGTCTTGCTGATATCTGAGGACTTGCCGGATCCAGATTCCCCTATTTGGGCGGCGGATTGGCGCTCGGGAGGAGGAGATTGACGTCCCTCAGGCATGGCGATTTGGTGATGCAGTTGATGGAATTGGTGATGAAGAAGCTTTTTGGAGCTGTTGGACGTATTTTCCAAATAATGTTGTACTTGGAGAAGAGTAGAGATTGGATTGCTTTGGTTTTCGCTGTTTAAATGTATTACGCAAAGATGCGGTAGATGGCGTTGACGTCAGAGCCGTCATTGGCGGGCGATTGCATCATGTTGATGTCGCAAACCGATGAGACGGATAAGAGAATACTCACCGTTCTGAGATATGCGAAAATCAAATATGGAGCATTGTAAGATAAGTTTATTATTTCATTGGGCCCTTTTTGTTGCCTTGGAATTCTACTTCTAACCGATGTTGTGGTTCCAAGTAATGTTGGCAACTGTGCCCACAACTTATACGGAGTATAAAGTCCGTCATGACAGTCGTCTAGCAATCGCTTCTTCGGCACATACCCACGGTATGACTGGTTTGATGGGATGGGACTCATCTCGTGCCAGCCAGTTTTAATTATGATTAATCGGGACAACCAGACGTCATGTAACAATATAGGTGCATGGCGATGCAATGTGTATCTCAGTTGTCGAGGTAAGGAGTCGGTGTTATTAGACAATTTCTCGAACGAAGGCGAGCCCCTGGTTTATAACCCCACAGGTGGGTGTGCTCCTGTTGGTTTATGCTGCATAAGCTGCGAGGCTGCGATAAGCTTAAGAAGAATATCTCACATTGATTGATGAAGGACATTTCGAGTTGTTATTCTGGTTAGTGAGTACAAGAAGGAGCTAATAGGACAAGGACAGGTTGCACAAGGAACTAAAGTCCTCTTCCGATATATGTCATTGATACTACCTAAAGAGCATGTCAGGTGGTATTAGCAGTTGAGCCACGTATCAGTTTCAAAACCGCAACTTTTCTAGCCGTCTACTATCGTCTACGCAGCTTCGCCACAAGAAATAAAGGTATTGGTAGAGCGCACACATCATCAAGCCCCAACGGAGCTAATTATCACCAATGCGACTGGAACAATGGAACGAACCTGGAAACTTTAATAGTGCCCAACTTATGGAGGCGCTGCTTGTCCCCCTCAGCGTTAATGCAAACCAACACTGAATCTCAACCCCTAAAAGCACCGCCGTTAGTGGGCTGGTCGGGTAACTTTTTAGTGCCCGCGGCCACCACATTTCCACTCACCCCGCACCTAATAGTGCCGCTCCTCCCACCGAAGGGGGTGCCTGGCCCGTATCGACAAATCTGGTGACCTCGGGGAGCACGTCTCTCTTGTCTCAACCTTGCCCGGACGCTTTTCAACGACACACCGCATCTTCAATCTCGTTTGCCGTCTTTGTCTCTGCGCCGATAGAAGCCCTGCCGACCCGAATAGCCACCGCCATCCGCAAGGAACGTGGAACGAGATTAAAACCGCGTAAAGATCCGGCCAACAGCGGGAGCAAAAAGGAAGGGATAAGGGAACCGATCAACAGAGATAGAGAAGAAAAAAAAGGGTGCGCTCCGTTACAAAAGCAAAGATGCCGGATCTCAACTCGGTGCCCCCCTCGCCTCACGTCCTGGCCAGCGGAACACCTTCTCGTCGTCAGTCCGCCAACTTGCAATCCGCATCATCGCCGCCCTCCGCGTCTGTCAACATCCTGCCTTCCAACCAGGCCGCCGTCAACCAGCACGTTCCCTCGCAGGCTCTCCCGTCTCCCGGCTTCCCCCCGCCTCAGTCGCACATGGGCTCAGCCGATGCCGCCGTTGGGCCAGGCCCGGGACCTCTGCGACACCCGAGGCCTCTGACGGCTTCTGAGCTTCACATGCAGCTGGAAAAGGAGCAGGAGGCAGTGGTATGTGACACATGATGGCGATATGATATAGCCATGGCGCAACCATCGACTGACCATCGACAGGTGAATCGTCTGACTCGCGAGCTCTCGATGCTTCGGGCCGCCCACAATGCGTCGGTCGTTTCAAACGCCTCGTCGACGTCGAATGCTACTTCTTCCCACGACCCCATTGTCGAATCGTCGCTCTTATCTGGCTCCGGATTCTCGATTCCTACCTCGCGTCGCCACCATAGAACCTCCTCTTCTACATCACAGACTTTCCCCAACTTTGCTTCGTCGTACGAAGCCCGAGCCCGAACATCCCATCCGGCATCGCTTTCTCGACAGAATAGCAGCGCTTCTCGCAGAAGCCAGACTGGATCACCCGCGCCACCAAGTTCTATAGATCCCTCGACCTATTTTCATCAGCAGAGGAACCCTGCCGCTGCTAGCTCCGTTATGATGAGCTCTGTGGTGGCTACTCCCGGTAGCTCCGTTCTGGGTGACCAGATGAGCCCCGGCCTGATGCCCGCGACTTTGCGGTACGAAGAGACAGCCTTTTATCGACAGGAGCTAGATAACGCAAAGAAGGAGAACGAGGCCCTCAAGAGACGTATCCGAGAACTGGAGAGGCTCGTTCGCGAGAGGCGATCGAGTGATGCGAGCAGGAATAGGAGCGACAGCGCGAGCACAACAGCAAGTGCAAGCGTTGCGCCGGGCGGCGGCGTTAGTATCGCGGGCCCTCGAGAGAGCATCTATGGCCATGGCCGAGACCGTGAGCGAGCAAGGCAGAGCACCACAAGCTTAGCTGGCGGAGTAAGCATTGGAGTCCCTGACGAGGAGGTCAAGGTGGGCGAGAGCGCGGCAAGCGGACGACCAGGGAATGACAACCAGGGGTAATCATCGACTATAAACGACTAGATTATATTTGCAAGACGGACGGGTATACTAGGTATGGAAGATTCGGGCTCCGTTGGTACTGAGTGGGAGGTACTACTGGCGTTTTGGTGTTTATTAGCGAGACTCTTGCGTTGACTCTCAAAATTGGTTGAGCTTTTCCTTTTGTTTTCTCCTTTTCTCTTTTCCGCTCTACTCAATGTTCTGCTTTTTCTAAGCTCTGGATGCGGCAAAAAGACCGATGGCCCTTAGCAAATAGCTTCTTTTGGCCCCTTTGCCCTTTCTTTCACAGCACAGACAAGCTAAAATAGTTTGATGCCGAGTTATGTCTCGGCTTCACCATCAAGAAATAATGACTTATGAACCAACAATTATAGTATTACCCAGTTCTCGTTATATATTATCGAAACAAGTAGTTGATCTATCTTTCGCTGACATCGGAGATATAGCAATCTGCTCGTGAACATGCATACCAAGGGCTCGCATCAAACAGATATGATGAGGGAAGTGCCTCAGGTAGGATGAAGGAAGTGCCTCAGTCAAAGGATAACGACTTCTCGCGAGACGGCATGACCTTGAGCTTCTTGACTCTCCTCTTCAGGATATTAAAAAGAGGCTGGTCGTCATCGTCGGAGTCTTCCTTTGAAACTCGGTTATCCTTCTTCTCCGCCTCGCGTGCTCTCTTCTTCTGTGCTGCTTTCATTTTAAGGGGCTTCTCTTCCGAGTCATCGCTCGAAACTAGGCTATCCCTTTCCTCTACCACTTGTGGCCTCTTCTTCTGCGCCGTTTTCTTCTTAAGTGACTTCTCTTCCGAGTCGTCGCTGGAAACTCGGCTATCTCTTTCCTCCGCCACTCGCGGTCTCTTCTTCTTCGCTGCTATCTCTCTGAGGGGCGTTTCTTCCGAATCCGAATACAAGTCTCCAGTGTCAGGGAGATATATACTTTCTTCTTGCTACAAAGATGATTCATCTCTTTGGGCGGCCTCCTCGGAAACGCGGTTGCTATTGTTCTGATCTTGGGTTTGGTCTCCCTGCTGGAGAGCACGATCTTGTTGGTATTTCTGCTTGAGAGCAGCGAAACAGTCGCAGATGAGCTTTCGCATCGAGACGCGCTCTCTAGTGGACGGTGTGGACTTGAAGACGACGGCGAGGGCACAGCGGAATATCCACGACTCGTAGGTCTTTTCCTCAAGCATCTTAGTGAGGAAGGCGTTTCTTTCAGATGCAGCGGCGAGGTCTTTGGCAAGGCTCTCGTTCTTGGATTCGAGCTCTTTGACCTTGTCTTTTTCTTCCTCGAGCTGTTTTGCCATGTCATCGTTTGCAGCTTTGAGACTCGCGCACTTCGCTTCGTGGTCAGATCTCTCCTTCTTTGTCGCTTTGTTTAGACGTTCCACGATCAAGGTGAGCTCATTGCACTGGTTCTGGAAGTAGTCGCGTTTTTCCTGCAACTCTTGAGCTCTCTTTTCGAGATCAAAGACTTGGCGAGATACCGGATATCGACCGGAATATGGGTTGCTGGCTTCAGCCTCCGACGGGGAGATGTTCTTGGGCTTTGCGGCGGCGGCTTTGCCTCCGATATTCTTATCAAAACAAAGTTCCGCATTGGCCTTTAGATAAGCTTCTGAGACCCTGTGATCTTTATTTTCGTTGTCTCTTTTCTTTGATGTTGACACCTTTCCGTCTGCAGATTGAGGCTTTTCCATTACATTCTTGGCAGAAGAGACGGAACTAGAAGAGCTTTCATCGCTGGGGTCGAGGTATTGGCCGGGGTATACCAAAGAGCGTCGGGTTATCCTCCCTTCCATCACATTCTTAGTGGAAGTGACGGGACTAGAAGGGCTGTCATCGGGATCGCTGAGGTTTGGGTCGAAGTCTTGCAAAACGCGTCGTCTTCTCCCGCGATGAGAGCCTGGAATAATATTACGGGGCATTATTCCCGTCAAATTTAAGCAACTGCATGGAATTTCGTTAACAGTGAGGCTTTGTCCTCAAGGGGAACGGTTCAGAAGATGTTGAACGAGCAAAGCAAAGTTGAACTGTATATGGAAAACCCAAAATTTCTCCAAAGATGAAAAGAGAAAATTAACGCAGTGATTGGTTTTGGTCCCCTTTAATTTTTAACCTCAATCTCCGTTTGTTGCTTCTTGACTGTGGGGGTTTGAAAGTGAGCGGAGAGTGAACAAGAGGTTGACGCAGGTGAATGGGGTCGCGCGTTTGTTTGCTTTCATGAGCATAAGGCACATAGCATTTACATTCTGCATCAATATTACGCTATATTTTATGGATTTTACAGTCAGATAGCTTGCATCTTCAAGCTTTTGCCTCGTTGAACCCTATATATTCTATGTTATTAATGATGATACCTCTGCATCACAGTATTGTTTTAAGTCGGCCTTGTGCCCTGAATCCTCATTTCCTCAAAAGAGCGGTTATCAGCTATAGATATTTGGCAAAGTAATCTAGGCAAAATTTATTACTATAGCAAATGAATAGCTTCGGTCTTGATAAGTATCTTATTACTATACCTAGCTACCAAGTGTATATACCCTCCCAAACGGTTGCACAACACTGAAACTATATATTCACTCACACAATAATCATCAATATTCAATGCTTATAAATTATCTCTTATCATATTTTCTTTTTCAAGAGTAGGCGTAAGTAATCACATGTTCAATTTCAAGTACCATTTGAATTACGTGTTCTACCAGAGAGTGTCGGGATATCAAACCCAGACCCTGAATCTCAAAACCAGCTTCAAGCAAAAACACCCTCAATCCGCCTGGCGATCCAAAATCACTCCCGCAGGATCCTTCGTCTCTCCATCTCCCCACGTTGCATCCCATCCATGGTCGGCCAAGTAAACCTTCCACGCCGCGTCATCGTCGTCCAGCCGCCGCGACACGTCAGGGATGACGAAGTACGCCACGAGGGCACCCAGCACGGCAAACGCCGATCCAATGAGGAAAGCCACCTGGTTTCCCTTGTCGGGGTTACTGGCGTACTTGTTGAGAATGGCTGTGAATACTTGGGTCCCAATCGCAGCACCGGCTTTTGACCAGGCGCTGATGAAGCCCATCATCTGGCCGCGGATGGACGTGGGGAAGCATTCGGAGGCAGTCAGGACGACGGTACTGTGAGTTTCGAAAGTGTTAGTTGTCTGTGAAAGGCAGAGATAATAAAGTTGATACATACCTTCCAGGTCCCACCTCGCCAAGCGTCAAGAAAATCCCATAGAGCACGACAAACAGAGGAAATACTGTCTGGATAGGGCCAATTGCACCACCCAGGATAAACCCAAGTATCGCCTGCATGGCAAACCCTAGGGCCATTGTCTGCCGTCTGCCAATCCTATCAGACAGGTAGCCACCTAAAAAGGGTCCCGGGATGTAGAAGCAGTTGATAAGAACACCCCATCCAAGATTTTTGACAAGACTTTGTCCCACATTGGCACGGCTGATGATGGTTGAGCTAAAGATTCCAAAAGGGATTGAAATCCAATTATACAGGAACCAACTGGCTGCAGCTCCTATAAGAGGCCGGTAATACCGCTTAAGAGCCAGCCAGTACGGCACCCGCTGCTTTCTCATGGCAGACTTTCGATAGGCTGTAGCAACGGCCATGCGCATGCGGAACCAAAAGATGCCCAGCGGAGGAATCGCACCGAGAGCAAAAGAGGTTCGCCAAACGATATAATACTTGTCCTCTCTCTGACCAACGCAGAGCAGTAAAAGGAGAGGAACCAGTCCTCCCCAGACATATCCAAGATCAGAAGAAAGATCAGCCAGCATAGCAAACATGAAGCCGCGGTGCTTGCGGTACTGGCCGCTCTCATCGGTAGCTTCCACGGCACCGGCGCCGGACACGGGATACTCGCCTCCGGCCCCGGCGCCGGCAACGCCTCGGGCGATGATGAGCATCCAGAAGAGGCCCTTGGGGGATGTGCCGTTGGCGGCAGCGGACATGGCGATGCCGAGGACGAGGAGGATGGTGGTGGCCACGGCGCCCGTCTTGCGGCCAAGTTGATCGACAACGACACCGAAGAAGAGCATGCCGATGATCATGCCGATGAGAAAGGCGTTGCTGAGGCGCGAGTAGATGGAGTTGGTTAGGTCATCTGGGTAGATGGCGCCGAGGAGAAGCTCGACGTTGCCTATGACAGCGGCATTGCTATGATGAGATTAGACCGAGAGCTGTTATTAGATACCATGAGAAGAAGGGTCATGTCTTACTAGCCATCAGATCCAATGGCCAGACCTGAGAAGAGAACCATCAACCAGACCGAGAGCTTGCTGTAGTATCCCTTGACCGACTCTGCTATGCTCCCCGCTTCAACATCGACGTTTTCTTTGCTTTTTTCTGGTAGCTCCTCATCTCGAGTGATCTCTGCGGCTACTGGCTCGCCAACAGTTTCAATCTTGGAGTCAGAGATTGTATTTTCTGGCTTGGGAGCCTCCGTCTCCCCTATTCCAGCAGTCATGATGGTGGTCGTTGATTAATATTGGCACATCAGATCCTTCAGCTTCACGTAGATTTATCTCGATCTATGCGCACGGGAGCACAACTTACACGAAGAGGGGTTGCGGAGGAGGGAGGCTGCATGTAGGGTTACATTTACATGCGCCGTCCTCTCTCCTCCTTTTTGCATTCTTCTCTCGCAGACATTATCTTGCGGCACATACAGGCCACTTGCCTTCGGACGCTATCCGGTTAATCAACGAAGAGATCGGCATAAGACACGACTGCTTGCCTGTCAGATAACGCTCTCAAACTGACATTCTCCGTGTCTGGTGGTGATAACTAGGACAACTAGGGTGGCCAAGGCGACCCGTCCGTTTCTGACGGTTCAGCTCTTTTACAGTACATGAAGACTTCATATCATGCCGTCTGTATCTATACGAAGCCCATGTCGCCCTTCTCCACTCTACTAAACCATCCTGAAGCTTCTTGTTCATGCTCAGCCATGAGCGCCTTCTCTTCGTGACTTGTGGGGAGAAGATTGTACAACGCCAATCCCATGTTATACTCTGAATGCTTTCCTAATCTAGTTGGCCGATCCGTGGCTTGCAACTAGTTAAAGCTGTTCTGACATCCAAAGTGGGGGACAAGATTGAACCAAACCAAAGCAACCAAGATTGCAGCTATTCCCGCGTCCGATACGATACGAACAAAAGCACTAAAAAGCTCCCCACGCAAGAGTCCACATCAAGCAACATCGAATTCAGCCCAGCCTATCAAATTGACTGCACGAAATACAAAATACAGCATGCGCTACAGGGGATACGTCACACCCTTTCAACGTTAATCTGGTTTCTTGTTTAAGACAAAAACACCTTTCAGCCTATTAGCCGACGAATCAAACCAATTCAAGTTCCCCGAGACGATCATGCCTTTATCTGGAGTTGGTCATGTTTAAGTTCGGATGCGATAGCTTTGAATGGAAATATCCGGTGTCGCAGCCGAGACATTGATGTTCTGCATCGTGAACTACAACCCGGGAGCTGGTTGCTTGTGTCCATGTAAATCTTAACTTTGACTCTCTCATCAACAACATTGATCGTAAGGTTGGGCTCTCTGTGGCTGCTGGGAGAACTTTGATGAGACAGAATGGATTACCGTATCATTAAAGACGAAAAGGGTGCCTCCCTTCCAACAACATCATCATCACCACCACAGCCATCACAACCAGAAGCATCACGACGCCGATCTACATCTTCCAAACGATTCCGCATCTCCATCTTCACACTCCTCTTCCTCACAGCCCTTCTCATCTTCAAAAACGCCCACAACACCCCCTTCTCCCTCTGCACCTCTCACCACCGCCCCAGCGTCGCCCAAGTCCAGCAATGCTCCATCAACAACTTCAAATCAGACCTCTCGTTCCTGGATCCCGCAAAGCCCATCCAGCCCGCCGAGTTCCTCCTCCGCAGAGACCGTCTCGCGCAGGCCCTCGCCGCCAACAACGTCGACGCCTTCGTTCTTGAGCCGGGCTACACGTTCCAGTACTATGGCAACATCTCGCAGCAGGATTGGGAGCCGTGGGAGCCCGAGGAGCGGCCGTTCCTCATGCTCATCATGCCGCAGACTTCCTCCGACGGCAGCGTTTCCGCAAAGACGGCGTTTTTGTCACCGCATTTCGAAGAGGGCCGCGTTCGCATGCTGGGCATCCCGTCTCGTGACGAAGAGCTGGACATTGTCATCTGGGAAGAACACTGGAATCCGTACACAACGCTCCTCGAATCGAGGCTCTTCACCGGCAAAGAGTCTCCGACGCTCATGGCCGACGAGGAAATCCGCGATTACATCGTCCGCGGCCTCGACGGCGCAGGTTTCCGCACCGTCGGCCTCAGCCCCGAAGCAGAGCTCGTCAGACAGCTCAAGACGCCCGCCGAAGTCGAGCTTCTCCGGGCCGTAAACACCGGCACCGTGGCCGCCGTGCGGGCCATGCGGCCGTGCCTCGTCCCCGGCCTGACGGAGAACGAGGTCACCTCCATCCTAGACCAGACCATGCTCTCCATCGGCTTCGGGCTCTTCTTCAACATTGTCCTCTTCGAGGAGCACGGCGCACTCCCGCACGGCGGCTTCGTCACGGGCGACAAGAAGCTGACGTATGACACCATGGTCGTCATCGACGTCGGCGCGCACTACCTCGGCTACTCGTCCGACATTTGCCGCAGCTTCATGATTGACGCGCCGTCAGGGAGAACGCACTCCGACCCCTTGCGCGTCGAAAAGGAAAACGTCTGGCGCATCGTCCTGGACGCGCAGACGGCCGCTGCCAAGGCCATGAAGCCCAACAACACTGCCGCCAGCGTCGACATTGCCGCTCGTATTGTCATTGAAGATGCCGGGTATGGATATGGATTTACGCACCGCTTGGGTCACGGCATTGGTATCAAGGCACATGAGTCTCCGTATCTGAACAAGTGGAACACTGCTTCGGTGCTCCAAACGGGAATGACTTTCACAAATGAGCCGGGAATCTATCTAGAGAACAAGTTTGGTGTCAGACACGAGGATATTTACCTAGTGAAAGAAGACGGCGAGGCAGAGCTCCTCACGGGTCAACGGGCACGAGGAATGTATGAGCCTTGAGATCGATAGTTTTAAAGAAAAATTCAGGGGGTATCATTGTAAACTAATATCTAGAGATATACCATTTTCTTCTCTCCCGTTATATATATACAATGCTTCCCAACATAGTTGTGTACCAAAACGCTATGCAATATCCCAACTACGCCTCACCCGATCCTTGATGCAAAGGGAAGCCGCTCGCAATCGCAGTACGCGGCAGGTGCTGCAACCACGGCATAGCTTCGCTGCCGGGGATAGGAATGTGGTTCAAACTACAGTCGATGTAAACATTCTCATCCAAGTAAACCCAATTCGACACCTCCGTCATGCTCTCCGCCACCACTCCGGGAAACGGCGAGGAACTCAAGGCGGCACAAAGCCAGGACATTTGCTGGAAGACGTCGCTGAGAGTATGAAGCCTGGCACTCAGGCTCATTCTGATCATCGAGCCTTCTGTCTCTATGTGAACGAATCTCAGGCTAGGCAAAACTGCGCCTTTGCCATCGCTACCGTCCCAGAGAGACATGCCTGAGAACGCATCTCCTTGTTCGAGAGAAGATGCCGCGCTCGTAAACGCATCTTGAAGACAGCTCAACACAACGGGTCCGCTTTTCGGCCATTGCTTCTCGACGTACTCGGATACAGTTGTGCAGACATGCTCAGCGGCGGTACCTGTAACAACAGGTAGAGACCCGAGACGGGTATTGGACAGGTCGCCAAAGCCACCTAGCGGGTTGAACAACTGGCATTCGAACTTGAGCTGAACGATATGGAAGCCGTCAGGCGGAGGAGGGCCGGGTCGTCTCAACACAACATCCCAGATGGCTGACTCGGCAAAGTGGATCTGGACATAGTGTGGAGACAAAAGCACCTTTTTCATCTCATTGATGAGTTCTTTGGCTGCGTCCCCGGTCGTTATAAGCGTATGAAGTGCGCGGGCGATTTGATCCGGGTTTCCTCCCGGCGACTGATCGGGAAATTCGCGATGCCAGAAGCCGCACAGCAGCTGTAGAGCCAGCGGGAAGTCGATTCCCTTGGTGTTGGTCGACCACGTTAGGGGCCTTCTCGATAACCCCGGGCCGAGCTTGTCGAGGATGCATCTAGCCGTCTCGGGGCCGTTTAGTATAAGCACGAGTTGACGGATAGGGCCATCGAATAACAGAGTAACCTGACGAGAATGCTGACTCCCGGAGCCGTGATCAGAGTCGGTGTAGAACCGGAAGAGCTCATCCCACAGCTGCCTGACGAACACCGACAAGAGCCGGTCCAGCACTCGATCGAGATTGACCCGAACCCTCCGATCTGGGAAATAGTAGTGGGCTAGCAGCTCATTGTTCAAGCCATCGGCCAGGGCCTTGGCAAATGCGGCAACTAGAGCCCCGGCGACCAGGGGTGGCAGCTGGACCTCGATGTTCTTGGCCTGCTGCTGCGAGAAGGAGAAGCAGGTGGGAAACGGGGGCGGCGGCGGCTTGACGAGCGTATACGAGGAGGGGGAAGCAAGGCCTGTCTCTGGTATCCTAAGGGTTTCAGGACAGCCAGGCGGAGGTGGCATGTCTGATCATGGCTGTGCAACAGGAAGAGGGACGAGTAATAGAAGAAGAGGGGACAGTGGTGAAGTGAGGATGTGTATATGTAGGCGTGTGTATAAGACGCATCACCAGCGGTCCACCAGGGGGGATGGGAGATGGAGATGGGATAGAGTGCACGTTTAAGCTTGACCAATCCCTAATGGAAGAAGCCGATCCAGAATCGTCTCGGTATGCAAGCCACGCCCAACGAAGTTTTCATCGCCATTTTATTTATCATGTGCTGCCCACCTGAGCAGGCAAGAGTCGAGCCTTGCGTTTGCTGACGTTGCAAGCCGTCGAAAGCATTGCGCGTCCCGCTTCCGAGCTAAGGAAAATGCGTCTCGAGCTCGCCACACATTACCCTTTTTTTTTCTCTCTCTTTTCATCCACGTCCCCTATTTTCTTTGCCCCCAGGGAACAACAATGTGCCGAGACAACTTCTGAATCAGTTGCTCATTCTTACTTTTGCGTAAGCATTTTTTCCCATGTTCCAGGCCCAGGGGAAGCTTTTTGACGTTTCGGCTGGGGAATTTCGCCAGAAGCTGCGCGTCCCGGGCCAGCGACCCGCTCAGCTCCTTGAATAAGGTAGGTTAGTTTATTGGAACCCGCCGATGACTGATACGCATCTTGAGATAAAAAGGGCAATAATCGCGCGAAATTAAAGCAACACTCTAATTTTGTCGATATCTACTCCGTAGTATGGGCAAAAGCATCGAGATGCAGTGATTGGAATGTGGGTTCTGGGTGAGTGACCCGGCGCTTGGTGGGTGGTGACGTACCACGTGGTCGGGTACGAGTACCTTGATACAACCAACTCGACAAATTATTGTCAGCCAGATGCTTGGAACCCTGCAGTTATAAAGCAAGGGAGCTTACTCTCGTCAAGAGTCATATCTCGTCATTATCAATCCTCTCAGTGGAAGGGATAGGATACAAGGTGAAACCTCTTCATCTCCTCCATAGCATTGTACCGACCATACATAGAACATCAGGCCATATCCAACCCTTCAGAACAAAACACATTGAGCCACCATGTTTACATTATACCTCTAAAAACGAGGGCCTTGTTTCTCATAAACATAAAATCCTCTTTCACCGCCAGGTACTATAGCCGGTTCCCGTGCCCGGCCCCGGGAAGATCAATCGAGTCGCATCGGCTCTAGTTCTTCGGCCCCACCTCCGGCATCTCGTTTCACCTCCCTAGCCCCCTCAGCATCCACGCTGTAATATCGAGAAAGTTCTCTGGATGAGACCTGTTTTATACCGTGTAATTCAAATGCCAGCACTATTCTCGATAGCAGAGCACAGCCGACAAGCGCTTCGACCACGGTCAACATGTCGGGCAGTGTCACAAAGAGAATGCTCCCTAGGACAACAGTCCCGAGCCATATATGCAAAATGGATAACACACTGCCAAACCAGCCGAGAATAACATGCATGTAAACCCATCCGCCGGGTCGTCTTTCCAAACGTAGTGGTCGCCCATACAGTGACGGGGTAAATTCATCCAATACCCATGTCACTACGACAGATCTCCTCTGAATGGCCTTTGAGGACGCAATAGAGTATCCCGCTCTCAGCGTACTATATGCAATGCCAAAGATCGGCGCCATGACAACCATCCAAAAGAATAAGATGTACGTTTCTGGCACGTTGGAGATCTTGATGCTCACGGTAGCCTGCGACACGGCCTTGTAGGTGAGCCGATAGACCTGATAGACGACATTCCCCGTGGCGAGCATGCCGGCTAGGTACTCATCACAGGAGATGGCAGCGCGAACAACCCAAGGTGCTCGCATCAACGAGCGAGGAAACCCGACATTCGGCACGGTTGATACATAGGAAGCCAAGTCTCGATTGATTAAACCCCCCTGTAGGCCCAAGTTGGGAGACGGCGTGCCAAAGGCGAGGAGGAAAGCGAGCACCGGCCGCCGGGTCGCCAACAAGGCTAGATCCGCCATTGACGGGCCAAACTGCCATAACCCAGCCGGTAACAGTCCAATGAGAAGCCCAGAAACCGTAAACTCATTCTGATAGCCCTGCGTGCAGGCCGGCAAGACGCAGTCGATCAGCTTGCCGGCCCAAGCATGCCCCTCGCCATCGGGTAGGCTCTGGTTCGTATAGTTGGCGAATTGACCAGCGCAGCTGCTCTGTATTATTCCCGGTAGGAAGTCTTCTGACGCGGGGAAGAAGCTCAGGAACTGGTTATGAGCGCGAATGTAAGGGTTGCCTGCTCCAAACACGGATCCGACGAGGGCGGCTACAAGTATCACTGCCCCATGGAGCCGCATCATCGTCATCGGAGCCAGGCAGTTGACAACGAAATTACTGCCAAAGCAGTTAGTGCAACGCAGTGCCGCCTCTGATGGACAACGAAATCAAGGTTTGGACAAAAATCTTCGCTCAACTTACTGAATCTGAGAGCATGGAGACCCTGAAGCGCGCGTTCCAAGGTGGGGAGCAGAAAGAGCACATATATACCAAATCTCAACCCTCCAACTGCTCTGTATAGGACTAGCGAAGATCCTGCTTGGGAGCGATGGAGTGTACCTTCATACCATTACCACCATCACTATCGCTCTCGAGCGTCAGTAGCCAGCGACTGGTCACCAAACCTTAGACCATGTCTTCGGCATCGTTGAGTTCTTTTTACGAGGTAGATGACTGCTTATCCAATTTGCAAATATATTGGATACTGTATAGACATGTTTCCAATTGGTTATATGATCGTGCTTCCAAGTTGAACAACAGCGTTCTGAGCCATTGTCCCGACGTGACACAAGGAAAGGCATGTGAGTCCGGACGGCTATTTGTATATGGCTACAAGGCCGTCTAAGTAACAGGGGTACGATCTGAATAGTCGTATTGATAAGAGCATTGGATATTAATAGGAACGAAGGATTCAGCACTCTGGCTTCACATTTTCACCGAGCGCCCAGCCGCGATCTAGACATTTCAGAAGGAATTAATCACCTAGTACAGTAGTTATATATTGTATCCAAAAGCAATATACGCCGGTAATCACTTAGATCTGGTTTATGTATGTTAGCATATGTGGAAGAGAACACTGCATTGATGAAGGGTCGAGTTTGTCCGACAGCCTTATCTTTGTCTTGGTGATCTGGTTGCCATGTGTAGTTGCTGGCTACTATAGCTGCCCAACGGGTAGGATTCGCAGATTCAACTTGCAGGGACTAGCGAGCCTTGCGAGCCTTGCGTTTGGGGGTCAAGCAGCCGAGACAGACAGACAGACATATATATATCAGGGTATTTCATGACTTCTCTTCTCTCTCATATGCCGTGTCAAGTAGGTACGTACATATTGTTACAGTACCTACATGTAGTAGTCACTGTTCCTCTCACCATACTCCAGAACAATACGAGACGAAAGGTGGTTGGTTGCATTGATGCAGCCCATATGAACCGAGGCCGTAGCAACACTCCGCACATCCCCTCATACGTACTCTCCGGGCTTTTAAATTGCCGACAATAGAAGCCCCCAATACCAGGAACCCCGTAGCTCGTCATGGTTAAACAGATGCATTCCAGACACAAGGGGGTTCGAGGTGCTTGCCGCCAGACTCATCATAACAGGCGCCATCCCTCGACTCGATTGGACCGTCCCTGGAGATGTGCAATCAAGGGCGTCAATGTGGCTGCTGCCGTGCAACTACTGTGTACATTGTAGAAGGTAGAAACTCCGTCGGTCGCCTGTAACCCCGCATCAATCGACGTGAGAAAGAGGGGAAGCTGACAAGAATTCATATTTATCCGCCTCTGCAGATCATAATCGCTCAGGAACAAGACACATGAGGCACACGCTTTCAGTTGGGGAAGGCAGATCGTGAAAAGTAGAATTTCAAGTTATACATTAAGAGTGTAAAACACTCCGTTCCGGTGAAAGTAAATTGAGTACATAAGCGATGCATCCAGCAATCGCGTCATCATATCCCGACCAACAACATCTAGTTGCAATATCCCGGGCGCCGACTCGCACGAACCAGGCGAAGCCAAACAAAAAAACAATTGAAGGAACTATTGAACAGACATTAGGATGGGTGGATATTCATTTACTCGTCATTGTCCTTGGACTTCTTCTTCTTCTTGCCACCGCCACCGCCGCTTGACGAGCCCGTCGCCGGCTGGCTCTGGAGATGTACTTCAAAGTAGCTCTCGCCCTGATCCCATGCGAAGCCCTTGAGATACGGATTATCAAGCTCATCATCAGCCTGCCAATAACGTTAGTCGACAGATCTTTGGAAAGGAAAGTTCGGATGCATGTTCAAGACTCACTCGGTTCTTGTTCGCCTTGTGAATGGCCGACAGGGCGTCACCTATTGTCAGGCCCTTCAGGTTTCGAGCCACGACTTCTTTGCCATGGGGGAACCTCAATGTTATGCTCTTGATGGGAGGCTTGGTGAGGGGAACCTGTAGCAGCTGATCATTGTCGAGATCCTTGGGCCGCTGATTTATTTTCCTGGGTTGGGAAGAGGTGTTAGTTGATGTGGAATGATGAATGACAATGACTAGATGCTGATTGCCCAGGCAATGGAAACGTACCACGCTGTCTGCTGTGTCTCTATTGCGAGTTCTAGAGGAGCATGGCTTTCATCTATTGTGCAGTGTCAGTAAACAAGAAACCATCAGCTACGCAAGCCTACGAAGCAACTTACTGATTTCAGCAATGGTCATAACACCAGCCGCGCTAGAGCTTGTTCTCCTATGGCCCTTCTCTTTGGGCGGTGATGATGACAGGCCTTGAACGGCGGAGTCGACCTTGGTGAGAGGTTCAGACATGGCGATGGTTGATTGGCTGGATCAGAACGGATCCAAGAGCTGGATTGACTGTGTAAGCCAGAGATGCAGATGATGCCAAAAGGGCCTATCAGGGCTATTTACCTGTTTGATGAATCAAAGACGATGGATGAAGATGGTTGGGATGTGATGAGAAGAAAAGAGAAGAGGAGAAGGTTGGAGAGAGGGGAAACAGTGGCTTGATAAAGGCAGGCAGGCACGGTGGTACTCGCTTCCGTGAGTGAGCATCCCATTGCCATTTCCTGCCCCTTACGCAGCCCGGGCGGGGTAACGACTTCCTTCTCCCGGACTGGGAATGAGCATTGGATCGCGTGACAATGATACCACTGGCGATGGCTGGACCTAGGTCTTGTGGTACCCGATTAGGTTTAGCAGGTGCTTATGCACTAATATCCACCCAAATCCGGGGAAAGAATCTGGGGAAGCAGACCCACTGCGCAAACGAGTACCGAGTGAAGAAAAAAAAGAGCCTGCGCCAGGGGAAGAGGTTGCAAAGTGCCGTGGGCTGTTTTTCGTTTGGATGCACGACGATTTTCCCTGGGTTTCCCTCTGGATGTGCTCATGAACAAGTGCCGTGGCATCACGAATTGAATTCAATCAGCCATCCAATGTGACTAAATCGCCCCCCTAGCCCCTCACCGGCCGATCTCTCCGAGTGGATCGGGTACTTGGCTCCACGGCGCCCACAACGCTCTACGTAAGGTATCCGGTACTTGAACCCGCCATTGTCTCGAAAAAGTGACGTACTCCCTCCATTCCGTATATCCCGTCCAATAACATCCGGCGAGTCGCCCGACTGAATCGCATCCGGACTGTGTTGCAGCAGCCATTTTACTACCTGTCTGGGTTTAGATGAGAGGCGAGGTGGTGATTGGCTCTGTAGAGGTCAGGGGACACAGTTTCAGTGTACAGTATGTAGGGAACTTGGACGCAAGCATTTACTCCGCAGCGGCTGAAGACACGCAGGACATTCATCCAAAATGGCCTCCCTCCCCCCGGAAGCAGCGCCTTGCATCTCCCGCTCTTTTTCATCCTGCATGGCCTGTGAATGGCGTCCAAATCATACGCTCAGCATTCAGCAATCTTCCCAAGGAGAGACAGTGGTTCTATTGCGGGACCTTCGGCCTGCACACCGAGCCCCGCTGTGGGCCTTATAGCACGATGCATCGCGTGTTTGCCGTCAAACGTCAGCACGAAACAGCCCACACGATGTGATCCCGCGAGCACTCCCGAGAGTCAATTGATCACAGGATACAGCTCCAAGACCAATTCACTTCCACACTGGACCGATGCGAAAGATGATATAACATGCACAGCACGGCATCCCTTGCGTCTGAATTTGGTGACAGTGACTTGAACCGGAAATTGAGAATCCACCGTCAAACGACCCCATTGCCCAGTCAATACGACGCTCGCAACTCCCCCCCAAAGCTCCTAGCTTCCATAAATCGGACGCCTAAATCACTCCAATGCATCGTGTCATTAGTTAGACGAAACAGCCGAAACGAAAAACCCAAAGGCTTTTTCTTTTGTTTCTGTTACTGTTTTCCCAGCGCGCATGCTCGCCTGACATATGCACACATACTAATGTTGCAAGTTGACCAAACTTTCGAGTCGTTCAACGTCATGGCCCCGGCCACCTCCCTTTCCTATTTTCGAAACCAACCTGTGACAATAATTGAAAGATGCCGTCCCTAAACTTCCCGACGATGCTCGTCCCGATTCATCCATCCTACCCGACTGAGGGATATTGCGTGTCCGTTACCCTGTAATCCAGGCATCATTGCCACAGGTGGAGGTCGGCGATGTCCTAGACAGTCCACAACAGTCCTGCGACATGGGCAAAATGCTCATATGACTGCTTCGAGGATTCAGGAAATGCAGGCCGTATTCGACTGAAACCCCTTGCACGATTCGTTTCGCCTTCCATCGACAATTATGAGTGAACGTTGCCGACCATCGAGACGTGATACCCAGACCGCGATACGAGTGAATACAACCCAATAGACCGCCGATATGGATTCTAGCGATGAATGCTTTGAATATTTTGATGGAAATGTGGTGTCATAGACGCCGAGTTAAATAATATGGGAAACGAGCAACGCTTTTCGTCACGGCCAGGAACATTACCCATGCGCCACCCACCGAACTTTGTCGACTCAATAAGGATATACCTTGAAAGGATGAATAGAGTATTAAACCGGTTGCTGGATCGATTGAAGCCCCCATTTTAACTCTCATTCAACAAAATTTGTATGATACCTTAAAGAGCCGATACACGCAGTCTTACGCATTGCAATGCGGCTGACCATATTACTGCGTAGGCACTTCACCATGGCCCGTAGACGACCTCCACCACACGACTCAATCCGGATCTTCGTCGAACCTACGGAAATTCTGGAAAGCATGAAAAGTTCCAATCTCGTCAATTGCAAGCTCGAAATACACCCTTTCCTGCGATCATTGTCATCACTATTGTCGTCTTCTCCCCAAGAAATCCCGATACCGCGCACATGCAAATCCATATATGCGACCCGTCTCCGACTACCCTAATCCCCGCAATGGCTCGAATCTCACACGACAAAACGATTGCGATATTTCAGTTTGGATGATTTCTTTTTTGGATTCTTCAATGATTACCCCCTTCTGCTTTCTCCACTGCAGGGAATTAACCACAGCAGAGGCTTGTCCTCTCTGTGTTATTTATTGACTAGGTACCAAAGTCGCCATAGAGCAGCATCCATAACACCATCCACACATCTCCTCGAAGCACCGTATCATCGTAATATTTCTCAAGGATGAACAAGGCTTCAAAAAGAATCTCGAAGAGGTATTTCGGAGAGTTGCTATGAGATAATGAATATATGTCTAATATGATTGGTGACACCCAGCCAAATATCGCGACGCGCGAAAGAAAGATAGACTCGAAAGATAGGGGCATGCATCAAGTGTTTTTTCCAGTATATGATGCGGTAAGCCACTCTCACCCGTGTGATGTGATGTCTTCTATAATTGCTCTTAACTGATATCGAGTGTAGAACATGGAGAGTGAAATATATGGACAGTATAGGTTAGGCAGCTCAGGCGTGGTGAAGCATCCATCTCTCAGCATCTCATGTCTCTTTAACAGCCAAGGGCGCCAAAATTCGACGGATGGTCAAAAGGAGGCTGGGAATGACGGGCTGTACGAATAATGGTTGGATGTCAGTTTAGGGTGGCATTTATGCGAATGGGTATACGAAATGCAGGGAATGGCAGGGTGAATTCAACACAAGTTACGGGATGAAATTGAGCATCGAGCATGTTTCACAAATGTCGGAAATCACACTCTTTCTCTGAGTGGAGTGAATTGTACGCATGCACTTCAATTATATCGCATACCATACGATGAAAATCACAAATGCCAATACTTTATTCACTGCTCTTAGATGCCACCACCAAGGTTGCATTGCCAAGAAGAAAGAGGCAGCATGCAATTTTACCTCAAACGCCGCGTTAACACTTTCAGACATTTCTGTCGATTTGGCTGATCGAAATATAAAACTCAAATTTGTAAAAATTCCCTTTTTAAATAAATATCTTTTACGGAATACATACGCCATGCTGCAGTTGCGTTTCGTCGGATAAGACACCTGTTCTCGACTGCCAATCGAGGACACGCTTAGAGATGGGTATTAGTACTGGAGATACAGCCAATCCATGTTATTGGCCGCTGAATTCATGCAATGCGCACCTCACTGCATGTGGTGTAGTAAATACGACGTAACGAAACATCTAGGCTTCTAGCGACCTCTCGGGAACCGCGAAGTCATTTGACAATACCATGTACGTATTGCCTGATTCAACGCCTCAATGCGACATCGTCTTAGCCTTGATACATGCAAATGCGCTCTCAATTATTACGGCCACAACAGCGTCAACTTGGGTAGATGCGTTCCAATTCACGACGGTCTCGTGGTCTCCTAAAGTGATCTCAAAGTCATCTATCATAAGGTCCAGATTCCCTAGGTGTAATCTCACGCCCGACTGTCAGTTATCCTCATGAAAGACATATTTCCAGAGATACCTCTATGGCTGAGGATCGGGTCTTTGGCCAGAGGTATCTGGGGTCGCACTAAACCAGACCGTAGGAAGTTTTGGATAGCAAATCATATTGAATCTAAAATCCTTTGACTACCCCTCTCTTGCTTCTGATATTACATTTTTAGGATACCTTAGTAGCTACACAGGCTCGAGGATTGATGTCGCCGTCCGGCAAATGACTCATTGTCCGATGCACAATTGTATATACGTTTCTTCCGACACTTGCGCGCAATAACGTTGAGGTATGAAACTGATATAAAAATAAGAGCGAGACTGTTTATCGTCAAAGCCAAATTTTCCTTAATCATTTGCTCCAAATGGAACGACCTCAATACCAGCATTATATACCTCGCTTCATTTTGAAGCACTTTACTTTCGCAGAGAGTATAGGCAGAAGGTGGAGGCACCTTAGTCTTCTATTCTAAATCTATCTAATCATTTTATAGATCTGCCAAAGATGGTTTGTTACATGTCCTCGAACTTCCAAGGGGGGGATTCAAACTCGCGAACCTCAGTAAGACATGCGGGGAGTACAACCTCTATGATCTTCCGAGTAGCGCCAACCCTAGAAACATCGAAGAGCTGTTCAGCGACCTAGAGAGCAAATCAAGCCAAATATTCGGTAAAATAAGGGACGCCGTTGCCAAGAGTCTTGACCATATCGACATCCTTGAAAAAGACATTCAAATCCTCTTCAAGTTCATGGACCTTTCCAGGAGACGATCTGAGTATTTTCGAGACGATATAGCTGATCCTTATCGAAAAAACGACTTTATGTTCCAAGAAATGTTCGAACAAGCACGAAATCAAGGTCAATCCGACGATCCATCACAATTTTGGCTTGAGGGTTTGCAGTACCTCTTGCAAACCAGTCATGAGGATCTTCTGACTGATGCTAACAAGAACGCTTGGGCACGCACATATAGCCATTATATCGAGCGATATTCTCTTCAAATTTGGAAAGCTGCCGATGGTCATGAATTCTTTCTTAATGAAAGCCTAGTGGATTTTGAAGGCGATACAGAGTCCTATATGGGGGCAGAAGAGAAGGAAGATGGAAGACTCCAGCTCGTCATGATGACGTTGGACGATGTCAAACATATTATCCTTCCAATCAGTCCAAAAATTGCCATAATCTTTTGCGATGAATCTCGCTGTTGGGAGTCACCGTTCGCCGAGATTCTACACAAGAGGAAGATTCCATATCCAGAAAACTCTTTGCTAAAAAGCGCGCCTCATAAGGATATCACCAGCATTCCTGTGCCAGAACAAAGGAGAGGGAAGATAAGATGGCCAGCAACGGAGGCATGGAGAGTCAATATTGGCAAATTATCGGCAGAACATCATCAAATCATCAATTCTTACTCACTCCTCCACGCACAATCCTTGATCATAGTCCGAAGTCGAAAGTGCTTCGAGCAAGCCAAGAGGTCATGCGATTCGTTCAGTACAGCCAGAATAGAACGATGGGAAAGCCAAGGGAGTCGATATACATATGATAACTATGCACCAAGAAATAAGGAAAATGTACCAGAACTATCCGGAGAGCAATCAGGCAGAATCGTGAATGACTTCATGCTTGCTCTGGATAGGATTGTCTGCCTTGTTCAGACTACAAATGAGCCTTTACCGACAACCAAGAAAAATATTATGGACTCCTGGATGGCAATGTGCGCACTAGAGTCTTGCGTGGTTAAAGACAGAAGTTTGCAGCCAGGTCCTGTGGGCGAGATAGCAGGAATGCACCCAGAAATGAGAGCGGCTTTCGAAGCAGCATTCCCGCCCAAGCATGCCAGCCACAGAAATCTCATTGAAATGGATTTCATGGACTTCTTCCACCATGGTTTTGGAGAACAGGGGTTTGCCAGATTGATGGACAATATTGGTGCCAAAGCAAGGGAAATAATACCCCCCGAATCTTTTACAATCCATTGGGACAGTTGCAAAGCCGTGTTGCAACAGATCCTTACCAATACGTGTCGTGTGAAAGGAGAAAAAGAGGACGCTCTCCTCGAAAATCAGACTTGGCGATCAGTATGTATATTGGCTCAGAATTTTGCCACTTTACAGTGGATGTTTGAGGAACGGCAGGATATATTGGCAGTCTTTGTAGGACAGCTATCCAAACCTCTGGGTGAATTATACCCCGAGGTCATCCGTATGCGCGCACCGAGAACCTGAAGCTACCAGTAAATTGAAATTAAGGGACTTGCATAGAAGCAGTCTGTGCAAGCTACAAAACCACTGCATGTATCTTGCGGGCCACTCAATTTTATTTGCAACAGAGGAAAAGAGATAAAGAAATATTGACACATGACAGTAATAAATCCTATTAAACCAAGGTCTTTAGAAAAACAAGCTTTTGGGCTCTATTTGGAATCCAGCATTGGCACCAAGTAATCGCAGCTAAGATCCATAAAGCAGTTCCGATAGAGACCATATTACTGGGTAGTTGGCACGGATCAAGGTCGATAATGATTGCACTTCAGCTATTCCGTATGTTCAATTCAAACAGCATCAAATCAATGTTACATGGAAACCCCAGCATCTGTGTTATCCACTGTAAGCATCAAGCTCCCAGGACATCAAATCCGAATCCAGCCTAAAACCGGGGGCTGGACTCGGCTTTCAACAGGCTCCTACGGGGCCATCCTGCGGCGGAACCGTTCCGGACAAGGAGCTCAAAGCGGGGGCCGGCAGAAGAGGGGGCGGGTAAAGGCCGCTATCAAACGGAAAAGTCAGGATCAATAAAGTTCCGACATTATTGCTCTCAATTTTGGTCGCACACTGTCACACAATTTTGTCACCCGCTTCTCCAAGATCCGACAGAAACCGTCGGATTCGGGGGCGGAATCGGAATCAACCCCAAACTTACACCTTTGGGGACGCAAAGACAATTCAGTTCGCGTCATCAGATGCAAATTGAGTTGACCATCTATGGCGGAGAGGCGGTGCTTGTGCTGCTCAGGTGGTTTAATCTTTTCTTTTAATTTTTTTTTATCCGTGTGTCGCGTAATATATATGCAGCTTCACTTCTTCACACTATCGAGAGCTGCTCACTGTACTCACTTGTAGAGCTACTCCTCCATTGGCGAATTGATTGATTTCAAACAGCTTCGCTTCACATCGCTTTACATCGCTTCACAAACTGTAGATAGGTAGTGAAAGCAAAACATCGCCAATATGCCCGTCACAGAGTTCGCCACGAAGGAGCTGTACAGATACCAAAATGGCTTCAACAACCACCTAGAGTGAGTGAATCTCTGCCATGCTTGAGCATTCCCAGCTACTGCGACTTACACCGTCTTCACGAAAATCACCTTTACACCTCCAATGCTTACCTCACCACCACAGATCCGAAGCCATCCAAGGTGCCCTCCCCATCGGCCAAAACTCCCCCCAAAAGCCTCCCTATGGCCTCTACGCCGAGAAGCTCTCCGGAACCGCCTTCACAGCCCCTCGCCACGAGAACAAGCAGACCTGGCTGTACCGCATCCTGCCCTCATGCGCCCATCCGCCTTACCAGCCGTCTCCCGAGTCTCGCGCCGCCCAGGAAGGCGCCGACACCTCCAAGCTGCGCTACATCCCCAACCAGCTGCGGTGGGATCCTTTCGACCACAATGAGGCGCGCGACCTCGACTTCGTGTCCGGCATGAGGCTCGTTGCTGGCGCCGGCGATCCCACGCTCAAGCAGGGCATCGGCATGCTAGTCTACGCCGCTGGCAAGAGCATGGACGAGAAATCGGCCTTTTACTCGGCAGACGGCGACCTCTTGATCGTGCCGCAGGAGGGCGATCTCAACATCCGCACCGAGTTTGGCTGGCTGCTGGTGCGCCCCATGGAGATCTGCGTCATCCCCCGCGGCGTCAAGTACCAGGTCCAGCTGTCATCAGGCCCAGCCAGGGGCTACGCTCTCGAGCTGTACCAAGGCCACTTCAACCTCCCCGAGCTGGGCCCCATCGGGTCCAACGGCCTCGCCAACGCCCGCGACTTCCAAGCCCCCGTGGCCCATTTCAGCGAGGACTTTGGCGCCACGGCCTCCGAGGGCAGCAACTCGTTCGACATCACCGTCAAGCTCAACAACACGCTCTTCCACACGGTCCAGGCGCACACACCCTTTGACGTCGTCGGCTGGCAGGGCAACTACTACCCCTACAAGTACGACCTGGGCCGCTTCAACACCATCGGCACCATCTCGTACGACCACCCGGACCCGTCCATCTTCACCGTCCTGTCGGCCCCGTCCGGCGTGCCCGGCACCGCCGTCGCCGACTTCGTCATCTTCCCGCCCCGCTGGCTGGTTGGTGAAGACACCTTCCGCCCGCCCTGGTACCACCGCAACACCATGAGCGAGTTCATGGGCCTCATCTGCGGTGGCTACGACGCCAAGAGGGGCGGCGCCGGCGGCTTCGTTCCTGGAGGCGCCAGTCTGCACAACGTCATGAGCGGCCACGGCCCAGACGCCGACAGCCACGAGGGTGCCCGCAATGCGGCGCTTGCCCCCGTCAAGGTCGGTGGAGGCAGCTGTGCCTTCATGTTCGAGAGCTGCCTCATGGTCGGTGTCACCGAATGGGGACTGCGTACCTGCAAGAAGGTCCAGGAGGGCTACAGCGAGGAGAGCTGGGGAGGCGTCAAGACGCACTGGGCGAAGCCCGCCGGCAAGGAGGTGAGAAGCCACCTCGCCGAGTAAGAGGGAGAATGTGGTTGAGTCCAGATGATTTGACTCGTAACGTCTTTAGAGACTTGTGTAAACAACTTTGTCATGTATCTTGCTTTCTGTTTTCATATGTGGGATTGAGGGGCAGCCCGCTGCCGATTTTGTATTGTAGGATTAGCGATCATCAGAATGAAATACCAAATCATTTTAACACTTTCTCAGGGTTCCAGATAAAAACTCATACATTGATAAACGCCCCGTCTACATGCATCTACATGAGACCCCTCATAGGTATACAACACCACCGAACCTCCCTAATTAGCACATATCGCGATTCAAACCCATCCTCCAACGCCAAACACATTGCTGCCGCCCGCTCCCCAAATCGTACACATCAACACCCCATCTTCAGAACAGCCCTACTCATCCTTATCCTTCTCTTCGTCGTCCTCCTCCCCATCTTCCTCCAGAGCCCAGTCCTTCCACCCTTCGCCGCGCAGCCAGCTCACACCCTTGCGCCACTGGCCCTCTCGGATGGCCTTTGCATCACGCTCGTACACCACACCCGTCACCATCAGCGCAAGAACAAACACCCACACGTCTCCGCCTTTCATGGCCTTCCACCAGCGTCGCTTCACACCCACCTTCCACAAGCTATCAACACTGGCACGAGCAGAATACAGGAAGACACCGCGGCCGTGGCGACGCTCTACCCACGCCCACATGCCCGCGAAGAAGCCTCCAAGGAAGATACGTTGCGTCGCAAGAACATGACGAGGAAGATATTGCTGGAAGAAACAAATAGATGCCCAGGCCGTCGAGATGGATCCCGTAGCAAAGGTCGAGAGGCGCAGAGCCTGCGATATGATTTTCTGGATGGTGGCGAATGGGAAGTTGTACAAGTTGCGGAACCGGGGGATGATGGTCATGGCGGAAGTAAAAATGAGGAAGAAACGCGTCATAGTCGGGAAAGAGTTAAGCCAGAAGGTAAGGTAGGTTCGTAGACAAGATGGGTCTGTGGGGTGAAGAGTTGCGCAAGAAAGAGAAGTAATGAGCGGATGAGCCTGTGAGCTCAGTGGTGAGACGCCAGCCAGCGTCGGTGGGAGAACCTCTTTGTTAGGGAACAAGATAGGAGAAATATTGGGTCTATGGAATATGAAAGCCAAGGTTAGCCTGGTCACCTATCTTCACATGGAGAATTTAACTTACGGCCAGTTGAGTCGGGCCATCTCTGCAATATTCGCCAGAACATCAGTCGCACTGGGCCACTTGAGAGTCTTGGGATAGTTCTCTGGCGCCGGGGGCAGGTAAGTAGACGAGTTTTTGAAAATAAAATCTCCAAAAGACTATCACATTGTTAGTAGGGGGTCCCTTGTTGAAATGCACGGAAGGGATAAAAATCATACGGAAGGAAAGCAATCAGGGTCAAAGACTGCAGCATGGAGCAATTGGCCGAAAGCCAGGGGTTGCAGCATCCAGCTACCGAACCACCAGGGCCGCTCGCGGTTCTTCCCATTCTTGATGCCCCAAATCATGCCGTCCTTCTCGCACACATTCCAGCCAAATTCCAAGGCTCGGAATAGGGCGTAGATGGCGATGCTGACACGCATCTGCTGGGACGGATAGACGCCAAGGGCAAGACCCGCGAGCGACGCACCAATGGCCGGCGCAAACGGCGATGTTAGAGTTGCCGTCGTCCGTGGGTTGCGCAGCCGGAAAGGCTCGGCCTGCGGATCCAGGAGATGGACCCGGAGTCGGGTGAGGAAGCGGAAGAGCACCCGGTAGAGAAACAAGATGCTGGACAATGAGAGAGAGAGCCTCAAGGCGGGAGATTTGTAGAATGGTTTCTTCTGCCCGCCTGCACTCGAACTAATTTCGTTTCAAAGATTCGTCAGCTTCGCAACAATCACGACGCAGTCCATTCATCGAACCAGTAGACAAACTTACTCCTTGCTCCCAAGTCTCTTCATGACCGCGTCCCACACTTTCATGCCAATCCACGTCGCCGTGAAGACGCGCAGCGAGTGCCGCACCGCCTTTGCATTGTAGTCATCGCCTCCCTTCCTCGGCTGCAGTGCCTTGTCCACGCTGCTTGGGCTTGGTGCCGCGCGGCGCAGCGCCCGCGACTTGGAGAGGATGTACTTGTGAAGTGCCGCGTATTCGCGCGGCGAGATGGTGTATCGCAAGGCATTCCGGAGGATTGGGTCTGGCCCGGAAGAGCCGGCTCCAGTGCTTTGCATGACGGCCTTGTCGCTCGGAGGCGGGGCCAGAGCTGATGGCGATGCCATTGTAACAATGTCGTCGGTGTCGCAGCTGTTTTGATATCGTGTACGCAGCCACCGAGGAGTCGTGTGGTGTCGCTGCCCTTCGCGAGGACCAGCTGCAGTGGTGTTAAGTAGTCAACGTCGAGTCCCAGTCCTCCAAATACGACCAAACAACACGGGCCAGCCTGAGCCGCAAAATATGCCCGTTATCACCCAACCCCCAGGCGACGAGGGAGAGCAAAGGAGTCGAGTGGTGTGACGGTGACTCTGCGTGCTGCTGCCCAGAACGCGATGCGGCAATGACACGTAGCTTGAAGCTCTCTAAGTCTGCGCTCTTGCGACGTGTCCCCAGGAAAGGCTCGAGTCGAACAGCCTAGGATGAGGCTATCGCCACGCCAGGCACTCGGGTCGATCTGTGAAGCCCGCAGCGAAGTTGCAAGAGCCAAAGCTCCTCCCTGTCCGCCCTGCAGTGGCCAGTGCGGTAGCCAACGAAAGGTTGAGCCTCGGCAGCGCGGCACATGTGAGCGGGCAGCAATTATGGAGCTCCAAGACCGCTATAATACAGGGGGTTTAGAGTGGGGCCAGACTCGGGCAGGGCTTCCCCATTGTCACTGTCGCTGATGACTTCATCTGCACTCACTGACTCGGTATCTGATTGCCCGATGTTAATTCCAATTGTATGCTGTTACGGTCATCTACGCAGAGGGAAGAAAATTATCATGAAACAGATACCTGGTAGTCATAGGCTTCCACACACACCTGCTGTAGCTATTACTTACTACCAAATAGACCAAAATTCATACCTACCTTGACAACTTGAGTACCTGACACGAACATGCAATTTCCTGTTAGTACATGTATTGCCGCTACATTCTTTAGCCTTGAAAATAGCCGAACATCCAAGGTACCTCACATTCCATTCTTTCACGGCATTCTTAGGTGCCTACATGGTAATGACAACTCCTGATAAACATCCATGGGATTCATGTTAGCTAGACACCTCATGCCCCTATTTGTATACCATGGGATAAGCCAGCAACTACGTGTTTCATTAAATGCAATACGTGGCAGAGTAAGTCCTCACCGTAAAACTCACATCACCCGAGCTAGCACTTGCATGAGGTCTGTATCAGGGGCATCATGCATCGCAAGATGTCGGTAGTTCTCCGACGTCTTCTCCCAGTCTGGACTGCAAAAACAGGGTTGAGGCGGCCATGGAACATAATACCTATTATAAGATACTACCTATTACTACCTAGTATAAAGCATCATCTCAATCACAGGTGAGAGGTCGCAAATCGAGAAATCCCCCATCAACCTAGACTATTATCAACTGCTACCTGTACCCGCAACCGCAATGACGAAGTGTGCCTAATCACCATTTCCTCGTCTTTTTAATCCATCCTGCCGGCCAATTGCTCGCAAATAAAGTAGCCAGCTTACCGACCTTTGCCTGAATCCGCAACCACCGCAATATGCATTCCACATTATCTAGCCGCTATCCTGGTAGCTGCCTTCAAAATCATCAAAACGTTATCATATGCTTCCAAGTAGGAGGCAATTCCTTTTTCAAAACCCAATATTCCGTTCCGCCAATTTCCCCCATTTTCTACACCCCATTTGATACTCTTCCTTCATACCAAAGGATACTCACGCGAAATGCTTCAGAAGAGACAGCTTGAGTCAGTCATCTCCTTCAGGGGTTAGTCTCGTAATCGACGCCCATCTCAAAGCTCCATCAAGTGAGACCATCTGTTGGTAGTGCTCTGCGCATGCTTATACGTCCGGTGTGTCCAGTGGGAATGGCACGACCACAAAAGACATGCTCATACGATTGCTGAACGCCCATTTTATGTATGATTTGGCGTCATCATCCCATATCCTTCCTTCCACAATCCAACCCAAAAGCAGCCTCTCTGCAGAAACAAAAACAATTCGCCGGCAATTTTCGTGTTGTATCAAAGACACTAATGCACGCCAATTTTCAAAAGAAGAAGAAAAGGAGCCCAAGGCTCTTTTGCGAGGCAACATGCCAAAGTGAATAACTTTTGGAGAGCTGTGATGCAAATGCTCGGTGTAAGGCACGTCATCTCATTGCGAGAGGAGTCGTTAATCATCAAACAACGCAAAATGACCATCATGGGTACTCGGCGACGTTGGACACGGAGCCATTCTGTGCTTCCATCAATGGAACCCATTTGCGTGCCAAGGTGGGGCCATCTGGGTTACCATACGGCAACATCTCTTCCTGCCATCCCAGGGCTGTCCACCAGCCCAAATCTCTCGGTTCTGGGCTGCAGAGGCCTGCCCGGATCGCTTCTGCATCGGGAACTCGGCCGGACAGTACGGCCTCCAAGACCCTACGGCGGCGCGATTCGCGTTCCTCTACGGCAATCTTGATAATGCGATAGCGGGATTCGGTATTTGCCCAACCATTGACGTTGCCTGATCCAGAAGATTCTAGTATCATTTTGAGCTGAGTGAACGGTATCTCGACGAGGATACGGGACAGAATCGAAAATGATGCCGGCTGTGCAGCGCGGGTGGCTTTGGGCGTGTTTGTATCGGCCAAGCTCTTAGCTTCCGAGAAGGATAAGTCGCCAAACTGGATGCCGTTGAGCTTTTGAGGACGGCGTCCCTTGCCCAGCTGCACAATGGATCCCTCAGCTGATGCCGGGGGTATGCCGTCGTCAAGAGCATCTTTGGCTAAAGGTGGTGGGTTGATTGGCAGTCTGCCATATGGCACAAATTCCATGGCCTCGGTGTCGAAGTTAAAGTGCGAGGGGAAATTGTGAACCAGAAAGGTGACAACGGCATTAAGAAGGACTTGCGATCCGTTACCATACTGGTAAATTTCGTGAGAGCCCTTATCCCGATATCCATCCAACGCAAATTCCAATACTCGCTCCAATGTCTCCCAGGTCAAGAGGTGGGTGGCCACTTCACAGCCGCGTCGGACAACCGGAGTCCAGTCAAGGAGGTGGCCAGCAGCGGCATACGAGATTGCAAAGTCAATTTGTTCATTTACCGATCCGGCGGCCGTCACGTCGCCGGAGTCCATGCCAACGCGGCGAGGAGGGGCATGAAGCAATGGCAGTCCGTATAGGCGCTGAACTGCCATGTAGAATGAATCCGAACGGATCCACTTGCTGCCCGTCTCTAGAAGAAGAGTTTGCGGAGATCTATCGTTGGGAGACGCCTGGAAAGTCTGCTTCTGCAAGAGGTTGAAAAGCTGGGCGCTGCGAGCAAAGATCAATCGATGGCCAGGGATCCGAACAGGTGCTGCCCTATCGTCGGTGTACCGAAGTTCCAGAGTACAATCAGACAACTCAGGGGAAGCAAATTGTTGCTGCAGGTATCCAATGAATCCATCAGCGTTGTCGCCCTGGGCCATAGGGGGAGGCAGGCCTGGGTTGGGCATCATCCGAGGGTAATCTGGCAGCCCATACATTCTCCCCTGGGGATTTTGACCTTGAGCCTCGTCGGAAGGCCCAACACCGTTATGCATAGCTCCAGGACGATATTGGTTATACATGGCCGTCTCTTCTTGGTGAGCCGAAGACTGGGAATCATGAAAACTATGCGGCGTCGATGGTCCTAGTGTATTACCATACGGATGATACGAGTCTATCGGTGCATAAGCCATCGGGCGGCCATAGCCGTCAAAGTTAGCAACAGCCATCATGTCTGCGCCGTATGGCACCATGGGTGGGAATCCATTCCCATTGTGAGGCATCATGGGGTGTGGTCGTCCATCCGGCATTGGCATACCAGGCGGTGGCGCAATACCTCCGGAGTGTGGAGGCGCAGGCGAGGAGCTTTGAGAATCGTGAAAGGCTCCAAAGTGAATGCTGCCGTTGCTTGCGTGGGCTTGATGCATGTGAGGTGGGCCGTTTGGCAAAGGAGGCCTGGGCCCATGGGATAGGTCTCCATTCGCCACAATGCCCATCGGGCGATGAGCTGGTTGGAAGGGCGGCGGCATCTGGTATCGAGTTGGAGATACAGGCGGGGGAGGTTGAGAGGAGACAAGCTTGACCGGAGGGTATTGGGCTATGGATGAGCATCGTCATTAGCTTCAAAGCTCGGGATATTGACACTCAAGATGGGAGCTTACCTAGTCTCTGCCTTGGCTCATCTTGGACAGCGCCCATCCCAGGACCGTGGAACTTGGTCTGCATCTCAGAAGAAGCTTCGTGAGCGATCGGTGCAGAAGCTTCTGCATTTGCCGGCTGCACAGCGTAGTTTGTCGAGGTCGTATCGTTGCCAGTAGCTCGGTCGACAGGTGCAACGGGCTTGCTGCTAGCAATCACGACTTCTTTGGCTGTATCAGAAGCTATCATGTTAACAGTCGGGTCAGCAAGGTCGTGATTCTCCAGCAAGGGTAAGCACAAGACAAGATGACAAGATGCTGGCTCGCGATCCTCGTCCAAGGAAGAATCAATGTATATAGAACTTACCACCGGCGTTCTTAATAGCAGATTTCAATTCTGGGCTGCCAGCCGAAAGGGATTCGCTGGCATGGGGCGTATCTGCAATCAGAGTAGGCGAAGACTGGTTCACTTCGTGGGGCCGCACTTCCAGAGAGCTGTTTCGAGGACTGTCGTCTGGCTTGACATTGTTGATCACGGGAGCTGCTGCTGCTGCGGCGGCGGCAGCCTGGCGTTTCACGTACGGCAGAGGAATCGCAGGAATGACGGGCTTGGACATTTGCTTGCTGGAGACAACAGCAGGCCTGCGAGACTTGACGGATCCGTTGGGAGGCGCCATGGTGGTCGATCGAGGGAGCCAAATCTGATGGATCGAACTGGTGCGGCGAGTGGGCTGAGAGCCTTGCTCAAAATCCGCAGGTCGGCGAGGGGCAGGGGAGGCCTTGAGTTTCCGATCGCCCGCGCGCCAGACCTGGACGACAAATCTGGAGATGTCGGCAAAGAGGCATCAGTCCAGTCCTGGTCAATGCCAGAAAACGTCGCCTTGGGCCAGAGGCTGAGGCAGCGCTGGCGGCAGTTGGGAGGTGGGATGCCAGGGAGAAGCAATGGAACATAGAAGTCAAGCAGCTGAAAGAGGAGTTCGTTCGTTTTGGCAGTGATGACACTAAATCGGGCCTGCGTCTAAGCAATTTTTTCTCCCCGCAGAGGCTGCACCTCATGCCTGTGCGCCTGCTCTAGCTACTATGGAACCTACCCGACTACTAATACTGAGACGCTCACTACTAAGAAATTGCTCCCTGCCGATGGATGGCTTTTCGTTGGCGGCTTAATTTCGGGACCAATTTGCAGCACAGGCGACACAAGGATCTTGCCACTTTGTATGAGGTCAGGTCATATATCGATATGTACTGAGGCTGGCTGGATGCAAGGGGTGAAGGAGCCGATCTTTCTTCCTGACTATGATCAAAATAATCTACTAATGCCTAACGACTGATGGCATCTGCCCTGCAATGAACTAGGTACTGCTAAACAATGCCATGCAACTTAGTACGGACTAAGGTAAGCAAGTCTTGTTCGCGTTGTTTAGTTTCCGGTACGGGGTTGATGATGTGCATCAATCCATCCATGATTGGTATCGATAATATCGAGCCCTGGCAGGATATGGGACAGATGGTCAGACAACCAGGGCAGAAACAACATAGACAAGCTTCATTAATCGCAATACCAAAACTCAATTATAATTGTACCCATTTACAACCCAAAACGCCGCTCTTGAAATGTTTGCCTCCAGGCCGCTGCTGGCTGTTTTCGTTGTATACCCTGTATTCTCTGCATATAACCACGCTGAAATGTAATCAAGCCAGAGTTTCGTTGCCGCTTACCAGCCTTGCAATCAGTACGTAGATGAATATCGCCGCACCCGCAACAAGCAGTTTGTTCCGGTAAAGCCAGCCTCGTCCAGCATCCCGCTGTTGTACAACAGCATCTACCACGGCCTGGGCCTGGTTACCACTCGAGGCAGCAATGCCCAGCTGAGGTCCGCAGGAAGAGCCATTGTCGCCATCCGCTCGGTTACCGGTGGCCGCATCCACCTTGTGTTTCCTCATCCACTCCCAATTCTCAAGATCCACCTCTGGCCACTCTGAACGGAATTTGGCGCCTCCATCTCCGGCCTTGACGTTGCCCTTAGTAGCAATATTTCCTCTAGCTTGCGATCCACCGCCAGTCGAGTTCCACCACCGCGATCGTGAAGCGAGAAACTTACGCTCGGCGCTGGAGGCAGAAACTGAACCGGTGGTCATCTCATCGCTGGTCATGAACGACAAAAGGCCGATCAGGATGGTCGACACCTCCCATGCTGGATTAAAGGATTTTGGATGAAAGTCGGATATAGAAAGACAAAGTCTAGTCGATGGCTGGAATCGTCCTGACGGGGTGTGCATGCGGATCGCAGGTGGTGCGAACGGATAGTTCGGAGGGAAGATGAGTGTTCCCCAGTACTGGCCTCCGTGATACGGCGTATCTTCAGGGCCAGTGATTATGTAGTGCCATCTAAGCTTTGATGTCAGAATCAGGTGGTGGGAACAGCCAGAGTTGGGGGGCGACATACTCGAGGATGTTGGACTCGGAAGGATGGGCGGTGATGTATGGAGGAGGATTCTCGGAAATGGACTTGAACTCTCGCGTTAACTAGCCATGGCTGTTAGCATCCGCAGTTCAAAATTGGCCCTTGATGCAGACAAGATACATACCCGCTTGTGCGCCGCTTTGCTAGCCATGATCTCAACGCTGGGGGGAGAGATAAAGATCGAATGGCTGAACCAAGGAGAGTGACTGATCGATCGCGTGCACAAGTCGTTGTCGAAGCAATGCGTCGGCAACTATTAATGAAAGTCTGAAAATAGAAGTGGCTTAAGAAATTCGGTAATGAATACAGCGACGCCGGAGAAGGAGGATTGAGAGTAGTGGGGGATTAGATTAAATGTTGAGAGACGAGGACACGGGCTATTAAGGAAGACGATGATGAAACATAGATTAGGCCGGACGACTGCAGCCCAGTTGGCAACTCGGGGGGTTTCGTCGGGTCTCTTAGCAGAGCCAAGGGCCGAGAGTGCGAGTGCGTCAAGCTCAGCCACGTGGCTGGTGCTTTCAAGGTTGCGCCACAAGTTCGAGGTTTATTTCGGACAAGGATAGCCGGCTAGCTACCAGGAGGGCCAAATCTTCCGACTACAATTGCATGTGTGCTGACCTCGAGCGAGTCAGCAGATCCGAGGCGCTGAACAATGGCGCCGACCTCAGAATCCTCTGGGCGGCCGGTAAGCATTGGCTGCAACACGCTGCTGTTTCTTGCATTTGTATATGGCAGCTGCTGACCTTTCAAGCCCGCGAACCACTTCAATAAGCTACACGAAGATGCCCAGGATGTGCTCCGCGATGCCAGAACGAGGCCCGAGTTTCAGAGTGCCGAGGATGAAGCCAAGGAGCAGAGGATAGCTCAATTGGTACCGCCGAACCTTACTTTAAGAGGGATTTCAATTCTCGGCTGACCATGCTTTAAGATGGTGGATCAAATGTCAATGCCCATGACGGTCAACGAGGTTACTGTCACGGGGGCCAAGAACATTCGACGGGGCTTTCTCGATCCCATACTGAACCCTCTACTGAGCGACAGCAATGATCCCCCTTATACCGTCGGGGATGTCATGTCAAGACTACAGGTGGCGACAGGAAAGCTTAGCGGACTGCGTAAGAAGGATATCCCGGACGTTGCCCGGAGCGATTGCTAACGAGGGGGGACCAGAAATCTTGAGAGAACCTCCGCAGGTCTACCTGTCACAGTCGAGCCAGGTGGACGCATCGACAAGTCCTACTGATGTAGACATTTCAATTGGACTTCGTGAACTACCCCGCTTCAAGCTTCAGACGGGTACTGATGTTGGAAATGGCGAGGGGTCGGCATATGGCTCTTTGCTGTGGCGCAACATGTTTGGCGGTGCCGAGATGCTCACCCTGAATGCAAAAGCAGGAACTCGCACTCGTTCCGCATATAGCGCAAACATAAGCGCGCCCGTGTTAAGCAACCCGGACATGCGCATTTCTTTGGAAGCTTTGTCTTCTGCCGTTGAGAAGCCGTGGGCATCCCATGAAGAGGTCTTGAAAGGAGGAACGCTCCGCTTTTCATGGCTAAATAGCCAACGCGATACGCATTCCGTCGAATACTCGGGAGCATGGCGACAGATTACGGGCCTTGCGAGTGATGCCAGCCCCACCGTTAGGCAAGACGCTGGCGATACCCTCAAGAGTGCCATTAAGCACATATTCTACAGAGAGAGGCGAGACAACCCTCAGCTGCCGCAGCAGGGATACATGGTTCGGACCGGACTGGAGCTGGCCGGCGTCGGTCCATTGGGTGGCGACGTTGCCTTCTCCAAGAGCGACTTGGAAGTTAACGGCGCCGTCCCAATTTCTCTGCCTGGAGTCAAAGGACGGACGGGAATCTCCATTGGTGCGGGATTCAGGACGGGAATACTCTACCCCCTGCCGCTCGGATACAACTTTGGCGGTAAGGCGCTGCCAAGTCGCCTGAACGACCGCTTCCTCCTGGGAGGACCAACGGACATTCGCAGCTTCAAGCTTGGTGGGCTGGGACCGCACGATGGCCGGGATGCTGCTGGCGGAGATGTGTTTGCTGCTGGCAGTGTCAACATGCTCTTCCCCTTACCCTACAAAGGGCCTGATTCTGGTCTCCGGCTGCAGCTGTTTGCTAACGGAGGCCGCCTGATTGCCCTGAGGAACAAACTCAAGTCTCGAGACACATCCGAGGGTCTAGACGGCGAAATGGTCCGGAGTGGCCTCCTGAGTGCTGTTGGAGATTTATTCAACGGCCCTCCAAGTTTGGCCGCTGGTGTCGGTCTGGTATACGCACATCCGGTAGCGAGGTTTGAACTCAACTTTGGCTTGCCTGTGATTGTTAGAAAGGGGGAGCTGGTCACAAAAGGAGTGCAATTAGGGGTAGGCATCAATTTTCTCTGATGCAGCATCTGACGACAAAATCAATAGAGCTGGACGCATGTAGCAGGGGGTCAACAACCGCTGACGGGAGTCGTACATACCATATATCCACTTATCCGCTTTCAGTACCCATTTAGTCACATATTGAACAGGTATCGTGATGTCTCCATTATCAAGCTTGCTACGAAGATGTGATGAATCGGATATCAATTACTACCTAGTACTCGTATGAGGACCGTATTTCGTAGACTCGATACTAGCAACACAAGACATTCACACGTTTACAAAAAATGATGCCTAGGCCGTTGTTTGCTGACGAGTACAGTAGATTCCGCCATGTACGAAAACAACAGCGAAGTGACAAGTCAGATGTAGGGTAAAGGGAGAGCTCAAATTCCCTGTTTGCTGATGTGGTTTCATTGGTAACGATTAGCACACCGTATGTTTGAAGTCAGTGTCAAATATTGATCTTAGCAGCACCAATGTTATGAAGCACTCTTAGTCAGAAAGGGGCTACAAGCAGTGTGTACTCGTATGTGAGAATGGCATCTGATATGGATATCAAATGTGTTGTCCTTCTGTGGTTCAAATTTACGCCGCAGTGGCCTCAATTCGATAATTTGGCTGAAGCAACATTGTACAACTACGTTAATGCTATCAGGCACTGTACACGAACAGAATACCTGAGAATGAACTACTCAATGCTGTTCACATCAGATTCAGACCCATTCTCAGTGATACATGACTGTCCGCGCGGCAGCTGTGTTAGGCTCTAGTACTGTACTTGTACCTGTAATAGCGTTCTGCCCATCATTTGTGGCGGAAACGTGGCGGACACGGAGCGTGTTGGCGGAGTATCAAGTAGCATTGACCAATATTGGATTTTGAGATTGAGAATGCGGAGCGGAATGGGGGCTTGCGGACATGGGCTGCCTGTTTCGTGAGCTGAGGACATGGTTGCCGTGTCAGTTTGTATGGGGGACGCGAAAAAGGGGGGCGAGCGAGGCGAAGTGATTGATTGCGGGCTGCTGAGCGCATGTACGAGGCTCGCGTTTACTTGATACTGGTGCTGTAAAGTTGACCTATCTTGCGGTCTGACTGCTTCTATGTAGAGGACCTATGTATTGACTCCTATTACAGGATATGGGGCACCGGGCATTGAATTAAGTTTGACATGTAGGTGAATGGTTGACGAACGAGCTAACGGGTTTTGGGATCAAGACTGTCATGCGAATAAATTACCTGCTTGTAAACAAATCAAAGTGTATGTACCGTTTCGAAACGGAGAATTAGCAGCCGGAAGACGGCAACTGATGGTGCAAGGAGCTTGGAGTCCCGTATTCTAATTCTAAGTGGAAGATACGAACATAGGCGATGAGATCTTCGGCTAGGGTTAGGTAGATGCCGATGCCCTTGAGCGCGCAGAATCGATGGGATTCTTGGACGTAATGTCTAGGTCATACTCACACTACTCACCATACGGCTACGTCTACGAAAAGAAAAGTCTTCTATCAAGATCTACTGCGATTAATAATGATGCAAATGTCAACATCATCGTCTCGAGTGATATCACCAGTCTGTCGGGGTCCGACCCGGGCCCGTCACTTCGATCCGCCACCCGGCCACTACATTGTAAACAAACATTTAGTGCTAACTAAAGCATCGAATAGGCAGACAGAAAACGGCAAAGAAGAAGAAGGTCATGAAAGCGGAGTAGCGCCAATGTCGGCAAAAGATGCTTAGGATGGTCTCAAAGCTAAGGGGGGAGTGGTGCGGAGAAGCGATATGAGTCTGAAAGTTCGGAGTACCAGGTGCGGAATATGCACGGAATATTACAGCTGGAGGTGTGAGTATATACCTCCTGGTAAGAGTAAGAATCGAGAGTATGGCAGCTCACCGGGCGCCAAATCTTAATCCCATCGAGTGGTGGCGAATAGGCGCGCTCAGCACCACCTGAGGTATCGGTTATGGCTTTGCGCCCTCAACAGCAGGCATCGGTTATAGCCTCTCGCCCTTTTTATTAGAACGGAGGGCTTGGCGATGATTATGCTTGAAACTAGGTGGTACTGTAGCACCAACTCTACTGTCGCATGTACCATTATACGACCATTATACGCATCAGAACCTTGAGATCCTTCCTGACGGGATCCACGCCCGCAAACCCTTGGCGGGGTGTCGGGTTGTTGCAAGACTCCGACAGCGTTGCGCGCTGAGTGACTTTGAGAGACTTTTGCCCACTCGGGGGGTCGTGGGGCTGGCTGGTCTTCGGCCGAATCAATCCGTCCGGGTGTAATTGGAATCTCGAGGAAATACGCGTATAGAGGCTCAACTGTCTCTCCTACTGCAATACGAAAACGGCAGCCCGTATTCAAAGGCAAACTCGCAGCACGCACTCATTGGTATACCGTAGGTGTGCGATGTGCGCTGCAAAAGAGGCCACACGGATCTGCAGCTTCGATGGAGCGCATAGACGCTGGGCTGCAGGGCATCAGACGCAAAAGCCAGGGTTCGCCTCGCGTCTGTGGAAAAGGTTGTCGTTGCGTCTGATGTGTGCACGCGCGATCGTTGATCGTGGTAGCCGGAATGCAACCCTCGCCGCAGAAAGTTGAGTCCAGCTAAAGTTGGAACCTTGCACGTGTGCACGTATCGATGCCTGGCAACAGAGTCTAACTCGTAGACGACATATGTGTGTGCTCAGGAGAAGGAATAAAAGGTCAGCAAACTCCACACGAAATTTTCCTGTGCGATACGCGTATAAGAGCCAGCCTCTAACCAGGTCCGGAGTACTCCGTGGCTGGTCGTGCTCGTAAAAGGGCTGTCGCTTATTTTCGTCCACTGAGCCATCTCAGATACGCCGTGGCAAGGCCTGTGGAGGGACGGATCGCCTAGCCCATGGCGGGCTTCCAGTGGACTTCCAGGAAGAGGGTGCGGCGTAATTAAGGCCTGGCTCCCCTCCAGCGGGTGGAGTTTTGCGGACACGCTACTGTACGGAGTAGCCTACACCCGTGCCCGTACCTGTACTCCGTACCTTGTGCCTTCTGCTACGAACACCCGTGGCTGGCGCAAGAATGGGGCCCAGAATGCTGTCCACTGACGGGTCGGGCTGCACCCAGACTGCGAGGCTCGTGACAAGGTGGTACCGGTACCCGGCTCACTCCCCTAGCCCCCATTGCAAGGCTTTTTGTAGTATATCGTACTATGGATGTTCAGTCGATCCTGACGACCAACAAAAGGAAGCTAAAACCTCCCCGTCAGGCCCTTTGCTTCGACTCTGCATCCCTCCCACCTTTTCTCTACCGGTGTCTGGATTGGATCTGGTTCTTTTCTTTCTTTTTAATTTTGTGCCAGTCAATCTTTTGTAATCGGCCTCTCGTACAAGAGGTGTTATTAGTCTTGCCACTTCTTTGGTGGCTTCGTTGTGACGCCTCTTTTTTCTTTCCCCTTACAGTTTTAAATCGGGACCCGCCCCTACGAGACAAAACCACCAAACAATAGATCGCGAGATCGAGATTTCAGTCCCCGAACACGTGCAGCAGCGGCTGAGACCGCATCAACGCTTTGACACTGCGCGAACATCAGAGCACCGCAGCCATGGCGACGCCCAACAGCGACTCGGGTGCCGTGACCAAGGAGCAAGGCTCTGTAGCTGCCATTGGTAGCACGCCAAAGACGCCCATTCACGATGATACGACTGAAACCCTCAATGAGAAGGATGAAGGATCTCCCGGGCGGACGTTGGAGGCGGATGGTGATGATGAGGATGCTGACGCCTTTGCTGATGACTCCAAGGAGATGCGGCGAAGGACTTCTGTTGTCCAGGCGCTAGCCCGCTCCTACTCGCGCGCCTCTGGAGCTGCTGGCGACAATCCTTTCCTCGCTGGCCCCGATTCGCCTCTGAATCCTGCATCAGAAAACTTTAGCGGAAAGGAATGGGCCAAGGCCATCGTTGAGCTCGTCTCCCAGGATGGCGGTTCATTCCGCTCTGCCGGTGTCTGCTTCCAGAATCTCAATGTTCACGGATTCGGCGAGTCTACCGATTACCAGAAGGATGTCGGCAACGTTTGGTTGTCGCTTGCAGGCTACATCGGAAGCTTCGTTTCCTCCAACAAGCAGCGCATTGACATTCTGCGCCAGTTCGACGGCATCGTTCGCAAGGGAGAGATGTTGATTGTCCTTGGACCCCCAGGTTCAGGTTGTTCGACTTTCCTCAAGACGATTGCTGGCGAGATGAACGGTATCTTCGTCGATGACGATGCCTACTTCAACTACCAAGGTAACTATTCCAGCCTCACAATGTTTTGCTTGCTTAGGTGGAAGAGGGAGGGGATGTGTTGGTTGATGGAGCGCGGATGAGAGGCATGCGTTTGACAGTGGGACGTCGATTGGGTTTCTCATCCCATCTCGGCCCGCCATCCCCTCGGGTGCCACAGCCGAAAAGCCATAAGCCGCCTCTTGAAAACAACGTTGTATCGCGTACTGTACTTTTCGCCATGCTAATTTTATGCGTACAGGAATTTCGGCCAAAGAGATGCACAGCCACCACCGTGGTGAGGCCATCTACACCGCCGAGGTGGATGTCCACTTTCCTCAACTGAGTGTTGGTGACACCCTCACTTTTGCGGCCCGAGCCAGACAGCCCCGAAAGCTTCCCCAGGGCCTCAGCAGGAATGCCTTCGCCGCCCATCTGCGAGACGTCGTCATGGCCATGTTTGGCATTTCTCACACCGTCAACACTCGAGTTGGTAACGAGTACATCCGAGGAGTTTCAGGTGGTGAGCGTAAGCGTGTTACCATCTCCGAGGCTGCCTTGTCGGGTGCCCCCCTGCAATGCTGGGATAACTCGACCCGTGGTCTCGATTCTGCCAACGCTATTGAGTTCTGCAAGACCCTCCGAATGCAAACCGAGCTGTTTAACAGCACTGCCTGCGTTTCCATCTACCAGTCTCCCCAGACCGCTTACGACCTGTTTGACAAGGCTGTTGTCCTTTACGAAGGTCGCCAGATCTTCTTTGGCCGAGCTGATGAGGCTAGGCAATACTTCATTGACCTCGGCTTCGAGTGCCCTGCCCGCCAGACCACCCCCGATTTCCTCACCTCAATGACTTCTTCTATCGAGCGTATTTACCGCCCCGGTTTCGAGGGCAAGGCTCCTCGAACCCCTGACGAGTTTGCCGCTGCTTGGAAAAACAGTGCCCACTACAAGGCTCTTCAGGCCGAGATTGAGGAATACAAGCAAGCCCACCCAATCAATGGTCCTGATGCCGATGCCTTCCGTGCCTCGCGTCAAGCCCAGCAGGCCAAAGGCCAGCGTGCCAAGTCCCCCTTCACCCTGTCCTATGTCCAGCAGATTCAGCTTTGTCTCTGGCGTGGTTGGAAGCGCCTGACGGGAGACCCAAGTCTTACCCTTGGCTCTCTTATTGGAAACTTTATCATGGCTCTCATCATTGGTAGTGTCTTTTATAACCTCAAGTCGGACGCCTCCAGCTTCTTCCAGCGTGGATCTCTACTCTTCTTTGCTTGTCTGATGAACGCCTTTGCTAGTGCCCTCGAGGTATGGACTCCTTTACCCTCCCCAGCCGTGTTCAATCTAGTCTTGTTTAACTAACATCTGAAACAGATTCTGACCCTGTACGCGCAACGACCCATTGTTGAAAAGCACGCTCGCTATGCCTTGTATCATCCTTCGGCGGAAGCCATTTCGTCCATGATCTGTGACTTGCCCTACAAGGTTGTCAACGCAATTGTATTCAACCTGACGCTCTACTTCATGACAAATTTGCGAAGAGAAGTTGGTCCTTTCTTCTTCTTCCTGCTCATCTCTTTCTCCAACGTTATGGTCATGTCGATGATCTTCCGAACGATTGGCTCTGCCACCCGAACTTTGTTCCAGGCTCTGGTCCCCGCTGCTATCTTGATTCTTTCCTTGGTCATCTTCACCGGATTTGTCTTGCCGACTCGGTACATGCTCGGTTGGTGTCGCTGGATTGGTTACATTGACCCTCTGGGCTATGCCTTTGAGGCGCTCATGGTCAACGAGTTCCACAACCGAGAGTTTGAGTGTGTCGACTTCATTCCTTCCAAGCTCATTTCCCAGTACGCCAACGTGAGCTCCGAAAACCAGGTCTGCAGCTCTGTTGGCTCAGTTCCTGGCCAGCCTTTCGTCAGTGGTGATACCTATGTCAAGTCTGCTTTTGGTTACGAGTGGCATAATCGATGGAGAGACTTTGGCATTGTCATTGCCTTCACCATCTTCTTCCTGGGTGTCTACATGGTTTGCGCTGAGTTTGTCTCCGAGAAGAAATCCAAGGGAGAAGTCTTGATGTATCAACGTGGCCACAAGCTCGCAGCCGCTGCCCATGCCGAGAAGAAGCCTCACGATCCCGAAGCCGCAATGACCAACATCGGCCCCATTCTGACGACTGAGCGTACAAAGGAAGGTGTTCTCCAACGCCAAACCTCGGTCTTCCAGTGGCATGATGTCTGTTACGAGGTCAAGATCAAGAACGAGACGCGCCGTATTCTGGATCACGTTGATGGTTGGGTTAAGCCCGGTACTCTGACCGCCTTGATGGGTGTCTCTGGTGCCGGAAAGACGACTCTTTTGGATTGCTTGGCTGATCGTACATCAATGGGTGTGATTACTGGCGAAATGCTTGTCGATGGAAGACCCCGTGACGCCTCCTTCCAACGCAAGACTGGTTATGTTCAGCAGCAAGACTTGCATTTGCAAACTACCACTGTTCGAGAAGCCCTCAACTTCAGTGCCCTTCTCCGTCAACCGGCTCATATCCCCAAGGAGGAAAAGCTCGCCTATGTCAACGAGGTTATTAAGCTCCTGGATATGCAAGAGTATGCTGATGCTGTCGTTGGTGTTCCCGGTGAAGGTCTCAATGTCGAGCAGCGCAAGCGTCTTACCATTGGCGTCGAGCTGGCCGCTAAGCCTCCCCTGTTGCTCTTTGTTGACGAACCCACTTCTGGTCTTGACTCTCAAACCTCATGGGCTATTCTGGATCTTCTTGAGAAGCTGACCAAGGCCGGCCAAGCTGTCCTTTGCACTATCCATCAACCCTCTGCTATGCTTTTCCAGCGATTCGACCGCCTGCTCTTCCTGGCCAAGGGTGGCAAGACTGTTTACTTTGGTGACATTGGCGAGAACTCAAAGACACTGACCAACTACTTTGAGAGGAACGGAGGACACCCCTGCCCTCCCGAAGCCAACCCTGCCGAATGGATGCTTGAAGTGATTGGCGCTGCTCCCGGATCTCACACTGACGTCAACTGGTTCGAGACTTGGCGCGATAGCCCCGAGTACCAGGCCGTCCAGAACGAACTGGAAAACATCAAGGCTGAGAGATCACAAGTCGAGAGCAATGTCGCGGATGATCCCACAAGCTACAACGAGTTTGCCGCACCCTTCATGACCCAGCTGAAGGTGAACCTCCACCGTGTTTTCCAACAGTACTGGCGATCGCCGATCTACATCTACTCCAAGACTGTCCTCTGCACCCTGGTTGCCCTTTTCATCGGTTTCATCTTCTACAAGGCGCCCAACTCTCAACAGGGTCTCCAGAACCAGATGTTTTCCATCTTCCAGCTCTTCACTGTTTTCGGTCAGCTTGTTCAGCAGTCCATGCCTCAGTTCGTCATCCAGCGATCTCTGTATGAAGTGCGTGAGCGGCCATCCAAGGTCTACTCGTGGAAAATCTTCATGCTTTCTCAGATCATTGTCGAACTGCCTTGGAATAGTTTGATGGCGGTGATTATGTACTTTTGCTGGTACTACCCCGTTGGTCTCTATCGCAACGCCGAGCCGACTGATGCGGTCACTGAGCGCGGTGGTCTCATGTTCCTCTACATCCTCACCTTCCTCTTGTTCAGCGGTACCTTTTCCACCTTCATCATTGCCGGCTTCGAAACCGCTGAGGCTGGTGGTAACATTGCCAACTTGTTGTTCACTCTCTGCTTGATCTTCTGTGGTGTCCTCGCTACGTCCGACTCTCTCCCACGCTTCTGGATTTTCATGGTAAGCACTCACCTTTTCGAGTCTTCGCAACCCACTTTGATTTACTAACAGTTCTTTTAGTACCGAGTTTCGCCGTTTAGTTACTTAGTCAACGGCATGTTATCGGTCGGTGTCGCGAATACAAATGTCATCTGTGCCGACAACGAGTTTGTCAGAATCCAGCCTCCTGCGAATCAGACTTGCATCCAGTATCTCAAGACGTTTGTCGACGCCACCAAGGGTAACCTCACAAACCCTGACGCGACCGATGAGTGCATCTACTGCAGCATGTCCGAGACCAACACCTACTTGGTTGCTGTCGGTAGCCACTACTCCGAGCGGTGGAGGAACTTTGGCCTGATGTGGGTCTACATTATCTTCAACATCGCCGCTGCGCTGTTCGTCTACTGGCTTGCCCGTGTGCCCAAGAAGCAGCTCAAGAAGGCCAAGAAGGAGTAATTGCTCCCGCCCAAGAAAAACAAAAACAAACGAAAAAAAAACTTCATCACCCCCCTCTCTCATAAAAAAGTTTCACCATCATATTTATTTTTAACTATTACCTGTGTGGGATTTAGACGTTATACACACGGAGTTATGTGCTGAAGAAGCGAATGTGGCGAAGAAAGATGTTGCTATTTACGATCATTCTAGAAGAGAATCTTCTTACAACGTGGAGGAATGTGTGTGTTTTGTTCTTTTGAATTAATGGTTTGGCATGATTTGTATGCGACGCATATGCTTTTTGAAAAGGTCTCGCACCTGCATATATACCTGCTGCTGCGCTGGTTATTATTTATTATCTTTTTGTTATAGATGGCATCTAACTTTTTGCTCGGCCATTATAAGATATGGCTTTATGTCTGAAACCGGGGGAGGCCAAAAAATATGGAATTTTTTTTTTTTTTTTGGTTTACCCTCGACTGCTAATAGATTACGTTTTAGAGCACTTGCATGAACAATGCTCGTGTTGTACTACATTATTATTTTTATTCTTTTTGATGGTGATTATTTTGGTGCCTGATGCTTGAATGAATGCGTGTGTGCTGAGAGGGTTTTATGATGGGCGGTGGTTGTTGTAATGAGACTTGATGACTGAGTTGGATAGATAGAACACTTTACTAGGAACTTGATTCAGAATAAATTGAAAATCATGGGTTAGCCATATGAGCTACTGTTAGCTGTGAGATTTGGCTATGGACATGGTTCGAGTGCTAATAATGTTGAGTTTTCCTCTGGGCTTTTGACCACATCATGTCTATTGAACCCGAATTGCAGAAGGAGAAGCGGAGAAGAAGCAATAACTGAGGGATGGATATTGATGGAGAATGTGTTCGAGCAATGATTGGCGCGTAACATCCAGCGCGGGTACTTTTGCAAAAGCTACTTATCAATGGCTCAGCTCTTCAAGGTCATGAGGATAGCTTCAAGTGCGCGCGAGTAAAGACTCTTTGCGTGGAAAGACGGGCCGGTGCTGCGGTGACATGCCACCGTGTAGTATAAGAGCCAATCACGCAAACGACTCACCACCGAATCACGGCCCTAAAAGGTGAGAGTTGAGGCTAAATGGAAGGGGAAGCTATCCGGACGTCTAGATCCGGAAGACGGGTAAATCGCAACCGCTGCCCAAAGCGGCGTGGCTTCAATGTTGATATCGAAAGCCACGTTTTCTCATCCCTTCCTGAACGAAAGAACACCGTGTACTATCATTCTCGTAAACAATCCCCTTTGTCGTCTCGTTATCTCATCATCTGTTCGGCCGGGATAATGGTTTGAACATGTGAGGGAAGGTATCGCATCATGCCTTTGCCCCGCAATCGCGTGCTGTGTTGTCTTGTTGCTAGGTTGGATTAGGGGTAATAGATATGATGAGCACCCGTTTGTCTTGAACTGCGTCTTTATAGATGAAACAAAAACTGTTTTTCGAGGGAGCAATGATGCGTATTGTAAATATGAGGGGTGAAGAGTCCCCGCTGACCATTCAATAACAAAGATTGCAGCATAAACCCTCACTGCATTGACCTCAACACCTCTTCGTATGTGTCCCATACCTCAATGATGCCAAGTTTCAATATCAAAAACACATTGAGCGAGGCACTTCCCCATCTTGTAATAGTCTTCCGAACAAGAACGCGGAGCTTCTGCTCCATCAGTAGTAGCGGCATCCAAGCCGACGCATCACATCGCAAGCAGCGATTTTTAGTTTGCGCCGGCTGGGGAGAAGGCAGGTGGATAAGAGAGAGAGCTCCATCAATCGTCGATCGGGCTAACTGGGTCCTGGAGCACTCGGCCAAATGCTGCACGGCGGGAGTGGACGTCTCAGATTGATGACGGCCACTGCAAAATGATTTGCATATGCTACCCGTACAAGTACGAGTATTGTTTGTTAGCAGGTCGCCTAATCGAGTCTCGCCGTGCTGGTATTGGAGCGACTGTTAGTGAAAGCTATGCTCACAGTATCCAAGGAAAGACTCGTCATTTTTGATCGGTTCACATCCTGGCATCTCTGCATCATACGTCGTATCGTGTGTCGTATCACATCCAGTATCAGATGCAGGTCGGACCACCATTCATAGCCAAAATGGGTGTTGCCGACCGCGGGAAGCTCTACCGACCCGAATGGAACCCTAAATGTGTATAACACGGAGATGACAACTGCACATGCCAAAGTGCCCGCCTAGCAGACATACTGACTCTTGCATCTGCAATCTCGGTATGTTGACGACAGTGAACAGCCTTACAGAACAAGGTTTGATCAATATTCGTCGCTCGTATTCTTAGTCGTAAACAACACAGTAAGGCAATCTAGCACTGCTTGTCCATCCTGATACATACGAGTGAGGTGGACACTGTCCACCATCACGAATCGCTTGGGTATTAATGGCACGCTCACAGGGCTTCGCGAATACCACTTCAACGAGAAGCCATCGTATATCCCAAAAGCCAGCTAGCCGGCATACCCTGTCCACAGCATGGCACTCACGGCGCACGGTTCAGCATTGAAGCGCGGCCAACGTGGCTCTGCCGGGCTAGCCTTGTCAACGACCATTTCCGTGGAATTGGCTCACGGGGGGTCATGGTCATTGCCCTGGCTCTGGGCTGCCGCGCCGCGCCCTAGCGCTTTGAGGCTCCGACGACACATGGCCTTTTGATGAAGTCGAGATCGCGGCGAGGTTTTGGTGGCAGATGCTCGTGCTATATACCGAGCTGGGCGATGTTGAGGAGGTGATCCCTGGCCGGCTGTGAATGGGCGTTTTGGAGTGCATATTCGGGCTAAAGGCGGGGAAACCTGCTTGTCACTTTGGAAGCCGGCGACGCCCATCTCGTTCCCTGCAAACGAAAAGCAGCCAATCAGGCGCATCATGGCTGTTTTTTTCAGCTCGACCGGACCTGGTATCTTGTTAGATGAAGAATCAGCCGTCTCTTTGCTCCGGTCTGCGTGTTTCGAATTTTGGCGCGGCTGCCAGTCCCAGGACCGCCGCTGGCTGTTGATTGGCCGGCTGTCCTTAGTCACACCCCCTGCCGTCGCTCCCCACCGCGCCCCTGGACAGCTTGTCAGGGGGAAAGAGCCCCGGTTGGGTTAAGCGTCAGGAACAGGCTGCTGATTGGCCCATCTACGTGTGGAGCCGTGCCGCTAGCGTCAGTCAGGGGAGTTTCCAGAGGCGGGGCTGTTCTTTGGGAAGCAGCGTTCGTGGGCGGGCAGGCGGGTTTTAATTTTGACAATTTTTTTCGGTTTAATTTTGTCCTTGTCGTTTCTTTTGGGACTTTACATGGACAAGTACTACCCAGGACTGCTCTATTACTGCCCCTGTTTCGGCGATGCGGCATGTGTCTGCCCTTGTTGAGATCAATTTGTTGAGTTTAATGTGACCAATATCAACATTCATACATGTGCCACTAGGAGGTGCTTAGTACCTAGGTAGCCCTAATAATTTTAGTTGCTATGACATCTACTGCTGGGTATCAAGCAAATAGAGCATCCCGGGCATTTTATAGCCATTGACGCTCCTAAAGACTTCATTGGGGCTGAACTAACATGCCTATATCGGCACCTTTTTCTCTAATCCGTGCTTCATTGGTAGATACGAGGTAGTTCATTCACAGCACCAACACCTTTGCACTTGACGGGTGAATCAGGTTTGTGGGGGAAATTTGCCTCGGCCTGAACCTGGTCCTGGCTCACGCGGGCTTGCTCGGGATGCCCAAGATTAGCCGCACCGCCTGTCAAAGCCCTGAACTTGCAATAATAGGGGAGACTTCGAGAACGAATCAATCCTGCAGTTTATGGAGTTCGGAGTACTCCGCCGCTGAACAAGTGATCCCGTGACCCGTGCGTATGGCCTGCGCTAGGTTATCAATCAATTCTTTCTCTATACTAGTTTTGACAACTTGTATCGAGCCCCTGGGCGTTTGCATCTCTTGCCGAGTCAAGCAAAACTCGAATTCGTGCTGCCGTAAACTGTCACTGTCGTCCGAATAGCATCGGTGCCATGGGCGGGAGATGAGTCGTGGCAAATTTTTAAGATCTCCGTGGCGTCTTCCGGTGGCTTGCAGTCACCAATAAATATGGACTGCTGCTACCTTCACCCCGCCGCTAATATCATGTCAGACCATTCGCGCATCCAGTAATTTGCCTTTTCCGGGACATCTCGAATCGTTGCGTACGAGTATGCAAGGAAGCTGGAACAACATCAACAAGATAGTAGTCGATTGGCTCGACTGACTCCTGGCTCGGCCTTGGCTCAGCAAGCACTGTGGTCGCCATATGCTCGTACTCGCCCCAGCATCGCCACAAAATAGACACGCCAACAAACCAGTGGGCCAAATTGATCGTCGCTTCGTCTATCTTGAGCATCATGATAAGTGGCATGCAGTGGGCCACCAAAAGAAAAAGAAAAGAAAAAGCATGACACTTCATCCCAATTACGAGTGCTGCTGCTCGCATCATTCCCCCCGCGTAGGGAGGTTACGCGCAGCTAGTATCTTAGTAGGACTCCGTATTTCGATACGCAAAAAGCGAGCTCTTGGCCCGATTCTTGTCGCATACTCCACGATGAATCATGGGTTGTTGTACAAAGTAAGCTGGCATCTGACAAGCACAAGCTGTTTATCAAAGTTTGTTTTAGCTTGTGCCGATCATGTGAGAGTTGAGGATGACCAATATTTCTTTCGCCCGGCCAGTAAAAGACCATGCTGTAACCCCCTTTCACCGCCGTGCTTCGTCTTGCGCCCCATCTCGCAGCTCTCCGAATATCCCGAGGCATCGCTTCTATCCTAGAGGCCGTTGTTCGGCTGTTTCGGGCGAGGATGTTCAAGGCGCGGAGAATCTCTCATCTTGGCTGTAGCCGCGATGGAGCTCCGATGCAATGTGGGTGCCATGCCCTTGGCGGTGGAGATTTTGGGTAGCAAGCGGTAGCACGGTACAACTCGATAGAGGGAATTGGGTGAGACGGCCAGATGATATTGATGCAGAGCGAGGCATCTCATGCAGCCTCAAAGTTTTTATCTGGCGAATCAAGAAAGCATTACGTCGTGGGATAGCCACAACTGGAAGTCGCATGCATACATCAAGCAATACAGTACAGCGGTTTGGGTCGGTCAGCCTCTTGCTTTGCGACCTGTCATTTCCATGCCCATATTCGGCGAACCTTGCGGTGGGGGAAAGGGAATACAGTTCTGTACATGCTTAGGAGAGCTGTCTTATCAGCGCCTCACACAGATTGCTTTTCTTTTCTCTCTCTTTGCTTTTTTTCTCCCCATCTTGCGACGCTCTATTCCAGACCACTCACCTCCTTGCGTTTTCCGGGGACCAATGGGGTGATCTAGGCCGCTGATGTTCTATCAAATTACTTTTTCCAGATGAAGCAAATGATGTACAAAGGAGTATATTTGTGGCACTCAGCTACCAGCCGCAGAGGGAGCGTCCCCCGAGCATATCGAATGTCCAGAGCACTTCTGATATTGCACCATATACCACTCGGACCAGGACTCCTGCTAAGTTGGGCCGATTGTGATGCGACAAAGATTTGAGTGGCGACAGAGCATCGGGGCATGCTTCTTCCTGAATGGTGACGAATATCGCTTGCATGCATGCTGTGGAACGGGCGCATCACCAAACCTACCGCAACATCCCCATGTCATTCCTTTCGGTCGGCTATGTGGGAGCCGGGAGCTATGATTGGGGGTACCTGTCGCCTATCAAAGTGACCAGATGGGTGAGAATATACATACGTCTGGGGGTTTTGCCTCTGTTTCTTTCTTCTTTGTGGCAAAAAGCAGGCACACGTACCTATGAAGAGGCATCCATGGGATGTAAGGGAGAGATTGGTGTAAATTAACATCAATATCAAGATTACGAGCGTCCAGGACCTTGTGGCTGCGCGTTTGCTGAGCCGTGCCGCCAAAACAAGCAGCGCTAGACCCGGCTGAGACATGACCGTTTGCCCCAAGACATTACCGGACCTGGCATCCAATCTCTGAGAGTTTCCCATCTCTGACCGCGATTGCTTAGCGCGCTGCAAGTACAGTACAGTAGAGAAGAGACAGAGTTTCACATCCCATGCTGGTGAATCAGGGGAAAGCCCGCCTTCTCAGACACGCAGCTGGGTTGATACACCGGGTTTCGGAGCTGAACATTGATTGAATTGTGGTGCTTTGTAGTGCTCGGCTCGGCTTTGTAATAGGTACGGCACTCATACAGATGTAGTATTATGTACTAAGGGGATACACCCAAAAGGACGTAGAGAAGGGAGGCCTGGTGGAGTAGACCGGCGGCTCAATCGTCGAAGCCTTGTGAAGCCATCAACAAGTGAAGGGATTGCGAAGAAAAAAAAACTGGAACCTTGAAAAGTTTAGTCGCGGCCCCCTGGCAAAGTCCACAGCATGCAACTGAGCCCGTAGGCGGTACCCCTGCCGTGGCTGCAGCCGTACAGCGGTGCTATTGGGCGCTAGGCAGTGGTTAGTGGCTAGTGGCCCGTAGCCCAGGCACGACCGCTAGCATGGAGGCCATCACCAGCTGCCGCTGTGCTCAAGCCCCTTCTTGTCATCGCCAGCATTTGATCCCAATTTCTACCCTTGCCGGGCTCGCACGCTTCTCTCTCCACTTCTTTTTTTTCTCCTCTTCATCCGCTCACGGCTTTCAAGGACCAGCATTGCCCTCTTTCTTCTCTTCTCCCGCAGGCGATAATCTTTGGTTTCTGCTCTTCTGTTCACCACGCTCATTCTCACCAGCACGCTGCGAAAAGCAACCGCCGTCTCCGACTTCGTAACCGACGCCTGCGCCTTGTCCATAAGCTGCCACCCTCAGAAGCATGCTGTCCGCCGCTCTGTGATACCCGACACTCCTTATTCCAATTCGCCCGTCTCACGACTTGTATAAAAGACCACCCCTTTTGAGTGGCACGTCCGAGCGGCTGCTCCCCCTGTAGTGCCATCGACAACCAACGCGCGACACCGCCCACTACTACTACTTTGTACGAATTCTGCCGTGAGCCTATCCTGCAGGTACCCGTCGAGCGTGACGCACAGCGCGAACTGGCTCTCGGCATCCACAGTCACTACTAGCTATCTCGACGGATTCTACTTCTGCTACACCTCTTGAAAAGGCATCCTGCATTTGATAGGAGCTCTATTCTCTCTTTTTTTTTTCCCAAGCGTCGTTACGAGATAGTCTTCTTTCCCCTCGAGGATTGGAAGCGCATTGATCCTATTGTTACCCATCTGGTACGTCAAATTTACTGTCTTTCTCATAATCTTCACCTTTCGAAGGATGCAACATGCGATATAGAATCGTGCAGAAAGGAAGAATAAGGAATATAGAGTGGCCCAGCTTGCATCAAGTAGGCGGATAATGCTCCTCTGGTTTGGCCCACCACCCAAGCTACGGCATGATGATTGAGCCCAATCTTCACAATCACCTGCATCTTGGCTGCGCACTTGATATCTGACATTGCTGTAGTTCGACTTGGCACGCGATACCCATCAGAGGTAGTGGATGAATTAATGACACGATATCCAACACCTTCGGCATCATAAACTTTTTGCGAACCTTGCGCTGTTTGCGCCCAGTCCGATCAAGATGAACGTCTTCCGAAACAAGAAGAAGGGCAAGGAGGAGCCGGAGAGCGTCCGGCCATCTATGGAATCCGAGTCCTCCAGCCCCTTCCGCATGTTTAGCAAAAAGAAAGGCCAGAGCGATGATATCAAGCCCGATCTTGACATCAGCACCGCCCTGCCATCCACCGATGATTTCAGAACCAGCTTGCTCATGACAGGACTCTCAGCTCGATTTTCCATGCTACGCGAGCAGGATGATCCCACAACCAAGATGGGGAAGGCTAGTGATGACAGTGTGCTCTTCCCTCGGGGACAATCCAATTGGGGTCTTGGCGGAGGCCTACAGGACATCGCTGAGGTCGAGTCGATAAGATCGCCCTCCATCTCTCGCTTGGATGGTTTCAACATAGATGACGCTGCCGGAAGCGTCATGAACCGGGCCAAACCCGTTGATGGAAACAACCTATTTGGCGGCCGACAAAAAGTCTACAGGCTCCCGGCCAACGGCTCATCAGGAAAGGATGGTAACATGTCCAGCAGAACACTTCTCGAGGATGATGTGGGTCTGTCGGCCTTTCAGAAATGGCGGCTGGCAGAGAAGGAAAGACAGAATGCTGAAGGAGGCGAGTCCAATGAAACGGAATATCACGAGTCTCAATTAGAATTCCAATCAGAGCCTCAATCAGACTCTTACCTGGAGCCGCTGCAAGAGTCTCACTCGGAACTTCTATCAGAGTCCCGGTCTGAGACTAGCCGACGGCGAGAGACAAGCTCAACAGTTTCATCAGTTGCGGCTCGCTACTCCACCGCAACCTCAGTTACCTCCCAAGGCGCACCGTCCGTCAGGGATTCTCAGGTCACCTCGTCAGCTTCCACAGCTTCTGCGGAGCGTGTTCTTAGGACAAAGCGCCTGTATGAGCAAGGTCTTAACCGTGAACTTCACGACCAGCAGTCGTCGGCCGTGTCTAGAATGGACTATCTATCCAAGGGGCGCCCCTTTGCGTCTGCGACACCGGATGTATCAGCCTCACCAACTGCCAGCTTGTTTGGTGATCGCATGCTTGACCGTCGACCGATCCTGGCAAAGGCTAGTGCCCCCAACCTGCGGTCGTTCACACCCAGCTCTGCGTCGCCTTCTCCCAACGAGCCCAGCTCCAAGTTCCCAGTCTCTGCTACCAAGTCGAGCTTCGGAATTCCGCCCATCAGCCCCCCCATGAGCGAGCCTGAAGAACACCCCCTGCTTACAATTCAGCCCAACGATAGAGGCAAGGCCACGGCAATGGGCGTTTTTGAGAGACCCGCCGAGAAATATGACGACTCTACTTATGCCCAGCGACAACTACAGCTTCAGCAGGGACGAGAAACTCCCGTTAACAACCACCGCTCCATGGAGTCTAGCGCCTCCGTTTCGGACTCTAGGTCACAATCTTCTTCAGCGATGCAAAGGAAGCCACTGGAGAATGCCGAGCCCACTGCAGCCAAGACCGCTGCTTCCGAGGATCCATCATCCTTTTTTGATGATAGCGACACCTCTTCCGTCCTAAGCGGATTGTTGGCTTCTGGGAACCCCCCAAGACTCTCTGTCGAAAGGCCTAATGATGGTGATCATCCAGCCTTCAAGAACTCCGCCATCCCAGCTCCCCTTTCACTTGGCCCCAGAGTATCGGGCGGCCTTTCGCCCTCTCCCAGTCCTATGTCTGGGCCCCCTCAGGACTCTCCCACACTGCCAGGTAGCGGCTTGAGTGGTATGGTGCGGGCACATCTGCGTAGCGACAGCAATGCCTCTTCCATCTATGGCATGCCACCACAAGAATCAGAACAGAGTACAGTGCAGACGACGGTGCAAAACACGTCGCAGACCGGTTTAGGCTTGGATTATGACCGTAGCCCCGGTTCGGCGCGATCGCCTGGTAATGCCCGAGCAATGATGTCTCGGTCTCCTTCTCGCCACAGGACTTCAAACGACGATGCAGATAGGGAGGAGGAGGACGAATTTGCTCGTCATCTTGCGGATGGCGCTCGACGTGTCCGCGAGAAGCTCGGCTCCATGGTCGACCCCGAGATGGATAAGCCCTCTCCGACGGTAGTGCCATCCTTGGAGAGCCTCAAGGACGTCCCACCTCCGCGGTCGAATGCATTAGGCATCCTCAAGTCGAAATCCAGCCATACCTCGCTGTTTGATCGCCAACGCGACCAAAGCCAACCAAGGGCCATGAAGATGGTCATGTCATCCACCTCGGGTAGGAACATGTCACCCTCTGCATCTCGGAGAGGATCCGCCGAGAACATGGATGATTCGCGCAGAGGCCGCTCGACGCAAGCCCGAGAGCGGCCATCGGAGGATGGGGCCTCAACAGACAAGGAGGAGAGCGTCCACGTTGGTCTCAAGGCCTTTCGTCAAGCACGCCTCGAGCTCCAGAAGATGAAGGATCTAGAAACAACCCAACGACCGTCGGAACGGCCCCCCTTGGGTTCGCGAGTAGGGTCTCACGACGTCGGCGGCCCACCACCCGCCATGTTTAACAGGAAGGCGCGTGATGAGTCTCGGCATGGCAGTGGTTCTCGGGCAACCTCCCGAGCAGGATCGCGAGCTCCGTCGGAGCGAGAGAGAAGCGGATCAGAGGCAAGCAACGCTGGCCCACCTCCGCTTCGACCAATGCGGCTAAGAAACGGATCGAATGCGTACGATGATCAGTATATGCCCGTTAGTCCGCCTGGCAGTGCCAGGAGTGCTGGGGGCATGAGGCAAGGCCCCCCAAGTGCTCGACAGCGCCCTCCTTACGAGGCTGGGCAGCCATCCCCGATGGCCTCTCCCGTCGGCATGGGTACGAGATCCAGAACCGGCAGCCTGCTCGGAGCGACGGCCTCCACCCCGAACCTGTTGTCGAATGCACCTGCCCCTCCGCTGCCACCAATCAACCCCCGGCGCAAGAATGCCCTCGGCCGAGCCAGCGAGGACGACATGCAATCGCCGCGGGTCCCCGGAGGCTTCCCCGGTCCAGATGACTCGGACGATGACACGCTGGCATCGCGTCGACAAAAGTTGCGCAAGGCCACAAGCGAAGGCACCAGCTTGAGATCACGAAACAGCCCTTCCAGCAACGGCGTGAGACCACCCATGCCTCCTCAGGGAGCCATACCACCTAACAACAGATTTCCCGGCGGTCTCTTCTGAGGCCGTCATCACCTCTTTCTCTCCCATTCTTTTTGAAGCATGACTACCTTGCGTGTCATTGCTCATTTTCACTTACTAGTTGTGATGTCCCCATCTAGCCTGGCAAGGCAAACGAGTAAAGAACGACAAAGATACCTCCAACAATACATCGACATTGTAATACTATAACGGCTGCTCATTACCATACATGCGTGGGTGCTTTTGAGCTTATTTCTGATTCTCTTGACATTTTTTGTACTTTCTTACTATTTTCTTTCCCCCTTTCATCCTCTATGATGCTTGCTGATTGGGGGATGTAAATTCTTCGGAAACTTTTGTTTCTTTTCTTTTACTTGATTTTCCTTTTCCTCTGCAGAGAAGCGGTTTGGAGGTGGACAGTGTATCAGGCGGGACTTGAAATCATAATCATGGCGTCGGGATTTGCTCTTACGAAAAAGAGACTAGTCAAAGGAAATCAATTCACATGGAAAGGTATACGGGGTGGGGTTTTCGGGAGAGGAATATGAGGCGGATTGGTGCGGAGAAGTGGCACTAGATGTAGTACTATCTGCGTTGTACGCCGTACTTTAGGTGAATTGAAGACGAACTAAAATGATCAAAAGAGGTGTGCCTATTCTTCCTGTTTAGCCGTGTAGCCGCACATTGTGCTCGATGGTCTTTCATTGATGGCAATCGGAGTTATAGCAGCTGCTCGCCTGCTCTATTACTCCGAACTCTGGCAAGAGAGTCTGTCGTATGATCAATAAATCGGGGAAATACTCATTTCTGTAAGGCTATGTACATAGGGTTTGGAGTCCAAGAGGCAAAGAGGCGCCTCCAGCTCCTTTTGGAGCATCGGGCAACGCCTCACGACTCCCCGAGCTGAAGAGCCTGAAGCTAACGTTACGTCGGGGTCCATCGGCTGAGGCAGCACGATTTTAGTGCTTTTTCGGTGTGTGACTTGGTGGCTTTGGAATAAGGGCGGATTGTGTGTCTCTTTGTTAGGTTTTCTTATGCTTGTGCTTGTGCTCCTCTGTGTCCTTCTTACGTGGGGGAATAGTGAGGTGGACTAGCTCGAGTGGGAGTGGTTGTTCCATCTTTTTTGGGGTAGATTTTCCGAAGATATATTATTTTGCGAGGTGCAGCTCTTTTTCTCAAAGATTTTTTATCAACTACGAATATCTTTTGGGGATTCTTGATATCACAGCCTTTTGCGTTTCAAATCTTTTGTTCTTTTGTTGAGCAACCCTTGGTGTGTTTTCCTTTTCTTGTTCCCATATGCTCTTGGTCAATTGAGCATAATTGCCTATCTAGAGGCGGAGGCGGGGTTCGAGATAACTTGCTAAGCCTCGTTCTAGGTCCTGTTCCAAGACAACTTGGAGAAATAAGAAAACCAGCCATGGCGTTTATTCGGCCGTATAAGCCCTCTGACTTTGAGGGTATGTCGCATATTGTGAGTCCAAAAAACCTTCTTTTTCTTGCCGTGCCGTGTTCGTGAGAAGATACCCTTATTACCCCAATACCCCACAAACTTCTTCACCCAATGTCACTTGCTCACGCCGAAATCTCACGGTGACGGCAAGCTTCCGCCATGGCAAAATCTCACCCATGAGCCGCCTTCAACCATCCTATTCCTTCGCCCATCTCTCATATGCTTAAGTTTTTTTTTTTATCCCCTCGTGATCAATAAGAAATTTGTTGTCTCTGTTTCTCACACTCTTCGCCTCTTTTCTCCCCCACCTCACAGTGCCGCGAAACGCTCAATCCCGCTCTCCGTCCCTCCGTGCCAGGCCGTCGCCTCGCCCCCTATTGCTGGACTCACCAGTACACGCACCTCTCGCCGACGACATGCTTTGTGCTTGATGACGGCAACGGTCGGCCCGTGGGTTACTGCGTCGGGTGTCCCGACATTCCCGCCTTTGTGGCCGCCTACGACTCGTATACGAAGGAGGTGCTGGACGTCTCGCCCGAGGTGACGCGCCCCGACGACCTGGAGCTCAAGGAGCCGCTGTTCTTCGAGGACGGGAGCATCAATGAGGTGTTTTTGTCGCGGTTGGCGTATAACCCGCAGTTGTTGCTGATTGATGGTAACGCCGATCTGTTGGAGGAGTATAAGGCGACGATGCACATTGATTTGCTGGATGAGTTCCAGGGCAAGGGCTGGGGGAAGCAGCTCATTAGCAGTTTCGTGGAGAGCATCAGGAACGTTCCGCAGAAGGACGGCAGTGTGAGTAAGGGTATCTGGATCGGCGTGGCGGGGGATAATGGTAAAGTGCTGCCTTTCTACGAGAAGCAGGGCTTCAAGCTCAAGCAGCGGCCTGTGGAGGGCAAGACCTTTTTCCTCGTTAGGGACTTTTGAGGGCGAACGTAAGGACATTTGTAGACATAGATGAAGAAGGGGGTACGATTGACGTATACTGACGAGTAACGATTTCAAATTGAATGTTTTTTTGTATTGATTTTTTGACTGTTTTCTTTTTAAATAATCTCCTTAAGCTATTCAATCTGTCCCAGTAAATCGATCAAGTAAACCTGACATATAAGGAGCATCGGGCATTTTTCCGTACGTCGAATGTCTGCTCAATTTTTGCTTTCCAGCGGGGGAGAGATAAAGAAAAATGACGTTGGTGGTGTGAACTTTTCTCCAACAAGTCGTGTACATGGTGGTGGAGATGGAGATAAGAAAACGTCAATCTGCCGCCCATGATAATAGTACAAGGTTCCCGCGAACAACCATTCCGTAGCCCATGAATTCCCAATAACCCAAGGAGAAGACGCAAAAAAAGTGGTGAAGAAGAAGTAGAATCGAAGAAGAGAAAGTCCAAAAAATGCGTTCGTCGAAATAAAATAGTTAATCAAGGGTATCGCACAGGAGCTCTGCTCCAAGACATAAAGAAGCTGAATCGTTTTCGTCGTGTACAATAAAACTGCCGATGCTCAACGCCAACCGGACAAATATTTCATAACGTGTAGTGTATTGGTGGAGTGCTGGCGAGGGCGTTAGTCGGAGTATTCGGGATGATGAAGACGATGTCGAGACCAACCTTTTGTAAAGCAATTAGCACATGGGGCAGTGGGAGCACTGCTTGTGGCCGCATCCAGTGCAGGTCGTGCTGATGACAATCATGCCACCGCATTGGCAACAGTACTCGTAGGCGGGCATGTTTGCTGAAGTGGGAGTTGTTTGAAGTTTGAAGTGAAGGAGCTGATGGCGAGATATCTGCCTTGTTGGAATATGTTGTGATGTTCTGAAGAGAGTGTAGAGTGTAGAGTGCGTAGAGAAGAAGTAGGAGCAAAAGAGTGAGGAAGGGATGGAGAGGAGGAGGAGGAACAACTTATTATAGTTCAAACAAGGTGTCTGAGATGGGTGGGCTGGCTAAAAACTGTAACGGCAAAATGGGAAGCATGTTCAATCCAAGGTTACGGCTTTTACATCAAGGTATTAGTCCTAGCACGACTAAGACATGGTTAGTCCGGGACGGGGCACAATGAGACCTGTCCATGGCTTGCCGCCTGAAACATAGTACAAGCATAACACGGATACAGGTTCTCTGCAGAAAAAGCCTTGGCCAGGCAGCGGCAGCCTCCGATGTTAAGCTGTTGGCCGTGGCTCACGGAACAGGTGGGACACTAATATCGAGGAGGAGGAGAACAGCCGCTGAGGAAGATGGATGGATGGACCGCCCATCGGAGAGATTGATTGGCGAGACCGGCAGATTGACTTGAGACGGCACCGCAGCACTGAGACAAAAACTTATCGGGTTCTGATGACGCATTTCCATCTGTCATGAGCCGCATCAGGCAATTGGAGAGCTGCCATAGGTGGGATTGGGGATGTTGCTAGCTGGAGTGGCGCGACACCAGCAGGGATGGCGATCTGCTCTAGGGCATGGGGTGCATGATGATTGGGCCGCGGGGCCATCGGGCGAGGCCATCTCGCAGCAGAAGACCCAAGACCCCTAGATGAATGTTTTTGGTAATTCGATTTGATGTTTTTTGATGTCGATTCTTCTTTTGCCATGTGATGTGTGTACTACTTTATGGTAGAAGGAGGTTTGAAAATACCTAATATTGACATTGAAAATCAAGTCACAGCTTTGGTAGTACTCAAGTACTTCGTACATCCCCCGGAGTGCCGCCGAACGGGCAAAACTCTGCTATTTTTCGCCTTCAAGCTCCCGACTCTTCCCGACATTGCACATAACAAATCGTCAGAGCGTGGGATGCTTTCTCTCCTCCTTAAAATCTTGTGCATCGCATGACTCCTCAAAACTCGGCGACAATGAGGCCATCAGCAGGCAGGCAGGCAATCCCCCACGCCCAAGCGGCCAGAACATGGCTGAATAGTCAGAGTTTAGGGTTTCCTCAGGCCTGCTAGCGGACGAGGAGACGTGCGGGGAAGCTCAAGCACAGACAAAGGTGGCGGCAGGGATAATTGCTATGGATGGACGGCTTTAATGGTGATGAGCGGCTGCCAAGGCATGCTGCATACTGCATATTGCCTGGGGCTAATGGATATTACTTTGGTCTCCGACGTGCGCTACGGGGACTGCCTGCAGTTCGATGCAGGCAGGTAATATTTCCTGCCGTTCAGTCCCATGTGCGGTATGTGCCGTCGAATCCAGCCCAGCCCAAGTCGAGTCATATCGAATCCTTTTCCGTCTCAGCCGGGCTGCCTTTCTCACGCACCCCAGGTGGCGATGGGTCGTCATTCCGTACGAGCAAGTTGGGTCTCAATCCAGCTCTCAAGAGCAGAGGAAGTACAGTACATAACGCAATACGTACGAAAAGGGCCCAACAAAAAAGAATGAAACACAAATGTCAAGCAAGATGGAAGGGATCGACGACCCGGCGGAAGCCATGACGGATGCTCGTAAACCAAGGCAAAAAATCTCTGGGCGTCTTGTCACGAGCTAAGGGGCTGTGGTTGTGGCAAACCCTGTCGATGCCTGCAACCTGAACGCGGCCTCAGCCAACCCGCCCGCCAGGTTCAGTCGTGGTGGTCTGTCGCCGTCGAAATTATTCGGAACACCAACTTGCCATCGTGTGAGTGCCAGGGGGTGCCGTAGCGCGTCCATTCTCGGCCATGGAAACTCCAAGTTCAGCGGGGCAATCCGGGGAAGCGATCCTGGTCTCCCAATCTACGTCACTGCAGCCGCCGAAATAGCGTTCTTGATTTGATGTTTCCCAAGTGCCAGATCGCCGCGCAGCTTGTGCCTCCTGAGTGGCAAATCACGAGTTCCCGTACGCGGCAAGTACCATTTGCAGCAAAGCCGCAAGCCGGGTACTTGGATAATACAAGGCGATATTGCAAGGCCTCGCGATGGAGCTCTCAACTACGGCTGATTGACATGATTGACATGGTAAGCCCCTGGTCACAAGCACAAGCTATTCTTGGCTTCGATGGTGGCGGATTGATTCCCACAATGCTGCTGCAAGAGTAAGTGTAAGTGGGCTGCTGCCGTAGAGTATGCTGCATCTCAGGCCCAACCGATTGTCCCGCATGTGCTTCGATGTCCAAGTTTATCACATATCACTCGAAGCCCCTCTGTCAGAGGCTGTAAGATGTCTTGATTGGGACATTGGCCCTGTGGTCTTTGCCGTCGCCGTCGAGTCAGCAGTGCTAAGCGACATCTTTCGAACGCAGATGCAAAACCGCCGCTTGAATGATTCGCCGACTTCAGTCCTTTCATCCCACGCGGGCTGCGCGCGCTCAAATGTGACCTTCAGACCCCTCTTGATGCCTGTTGATGCCTCGGCCGGGGGGACAACTTCTAATACGAGCCTAAAGCTCATGAAGGAGGTGTCGTGCCGCTCACATTCGGAGTTAAACCGGGAAGAAGGACGCTCGATCTGATTCTTCCTGTCGAATATCATTGGGTCATGCATGAACCGGTGCTAGCCCTACGAACCAACCCGTAATGTGCTCTCTAATCCCCATTAAAGCCTGCACTTCGAAATAGCCGTGTAGACACAAGCGCATCTGGTGAGCAAATGTTGGAAGAATAAGGTGTAATTACATTAATTCGTACCATCATGATAGCGAGCCCTCTCCATCCGCGCCCTTCTCAAGGATTTATATACGTCGATGGCATCACTGTCGCACCCGTAAACGTCACCTTGTTTAACTTGCCCACGTCCACCCCATGCAGTATTCGCACATTCACTGGATGAGACTCCTTGTTTCTCTCATAGACTTGACGGGAATGCCTACTCAGCGCTCGTACCTCGTCGAGAGAGAGTTGGTTTCGGAGGTTTGTCATGTTGATACCGCAGGTGCGGCAGAATGTTTTGCTCGTCAACCCATCGGCGAATGTATAACGACCAATGGCATCCTCGGACCCTGAGAGGACTACGTTTTCGGGCCTAGGGAAGAGCCAGATATATCCGTTCTAGAGTTTCAGTTCAAAATAATGAGCGGATAGATACTCAAGCTTGCGCATTGAAGGACATAACTAACCCGAGAGCAGATGCTACAGTTGCATACAACTACCACCCCTTCGTTAAATTCATCCAAGGGCTTGCATGAGAGAGCCACAGTAACTGCACCGCAATGACAGCTTCCAGTGTATAGCTGGCCGCCTTCGACATTTGGCGGGATATCTCCTTTGTGCTCTGGAGGCAAATACTCTGCTCCGATCTTGGAGTTGAAGATGCTGTTTATTGTTACTTTTTGCTCTTCGCCTAGTTGTCCTTGTCGGCATAACTTACTTTCTTCGTTCCAACGGATCCAAGTCGACATTCTGCAGGGCTCGTGTCTGTCCGTTCTTGTGAGCAATAAGATGATATGAATTAGATACTTGCCATAACTTACATTCAGCAACAATTTCAAGCGTGGAGGGCCATTAGGCATCCTCGAAAGCAAACTTGTTGCGCATTCAGGACAAAACTATAAAGGAGTTAGCAACCCTCTGATGTCTATCGTCCATTCCCAGCCTCGCATACCTTGTGAATCTTATTTCCCGCTCCAAACGTGTAAGACTTGAGTTTCTCCTCGGTTCCCTTCACGACCCTGAAGTTACTCTCTTCGTCTGTCAAAACGTATAGGTTTCCCGTACGGCTGCAGAAGCTGCAATCGCATTCCACGACGCTTCTTAGCTCGGGGAGGTCGACTTCGTAGACAAAGTTGCCGCAGTGGCAGTTTCCTCGATATGTGCGCCGGATTAGTTGGTCTTGGGTCACCGTCATGGTGAATGCAAGGGTATAAAGTAAGATAACGCCGGCTATGCTGAAGATGAGGAATGCGCACCAGACTCTTTGCTATGAGTGTCGTATGAATTGATCAGAAATGCCTTCTCCTTAGAAAAATTGAGGCTTAACCTTTCCCCTTAATGCGTGCAGGAAAAGAGCTTTGTCTCAAATCGGAGCTGCGTGGTGTTTCTTTTCCGACCTGTTAAGTCTCTTGTAGTTGTCACAAGCAAAGGCCCCTGTCTCAAGACCTTTGGCCAAAAACAGTGACTTGCTCTCTTAAGCCACTTCCCCAACAAAGGATGGCTTGATATGCCAAATTAGTGTCAGATTTCGTGAGCTGCCAGACTGTTTCCTCCTGACTAAAATGGGCCAAGGTAAAGAGAAACGTTGAGCGCGCCAAAAATGGTAGCCGGTGATCCTAACTGTGTCGAAGTGGAGAATTATCCCGGCCAAGGTTCAAGTTGGTAGTATTGCGAAATATGTTCTCTTTGGAGAGCGACGACCCGAAAGGCGAGGGTGATGTCGGCGTTGGTGCGCTGAAGAGCTTATCAGAGGACTGATATGATATATAAGCAAGAGATTTATATCATCGTGATGACTCTGACCGCCTAGAATAGGTGAGCTGCGGTGTGAATATGCACGATTGTACATAAGACCGAGGTTTCGTTTTGCTTCCACGGATCCTACATGCGCCTACGTTCTGTTGATTGCACTAGACCGGAACAACACCACGTTGGTGATGAGATAAGGGAAAAGTAGCTGGTTGGTATTTATCATCTAATGAGCTCAGCAGCCGAAAGAGGGAATTTCTTCAGGGGCGGATGGATTTGTTGGCAACGAGGAGGATTGCGGCGGTCCACTTTTGTTCACTAATCATGATTGTCAGGGTGCGACTTTGTTGAGGTAGAATTTGGGTACTTTGGGGAGAAAAAGGAAGAGAAAGGTGTTGGAAGAGTCCTGATTCAGAGTGAATTAAGCTGGTAATGTGGTTGAGATGTTGGTGCTTATCATATACCCGTTTTAGGGGTGGAGGTTTTTTGTTGGAATAGTGATGATTTGCTTCCCTTTCTTGTCCATTCTAATGTCACGGGAATTAGACGATCTGCACACGCATATGCAATTTACAGGTTCCGCCAATTGTGACCTAATAGTCATGAGCTCTTCTGGTTCTCGCTTTATCTCCTACGGCTCTTCCAGTGATAACCATTACTGTTTTCGCTCATCAAGCCAGCGATTCTAGGCTAGTGTTGTATCATCAATCTATGTTGGAAAGGAACAAGCGGAGATGCTCATATGTGTTTTAGCTGAAGCTAGACAGCATTTGCATGTATCCGTCTTTTACGATAGGGTATGCAGTCAAGGTATTATAAGAGAGCAAAATTGAGGGCTTGCTCAGTGAAGAACAATACGTAATAATCATGTGGGCCAGATTGCATGTGTGTGATATCTCTGTGCCGATAGAGTTACAACGAGAATGATATCAGCAAGACAATTTTTCATAAGTGTCAGCACTGGCAATTGACTCTCTTTCAGAAATGAATGTCTGTTGCAAGAGTGGATTTTTTTTTCTTTTCTTTAATGGGTCGGATCTCGCAGAGGCAAAAGTATACTGAAATAGAGGAGGAAACATGTAAGAAACTTGGAGCAATGAACTTGGTGTCCTCAGCATAATCCGTGTACTGCCTAAAGCTATGGCCCAACAGTCAAGGCTCCTGTCAATCCGCCATTCCTACTTATTTATCTACTTATACGTAATTAAATTGCCTCATCATCCTGATCCCAGTCTTCCCAAACTTGTACTGCATATTCGCGCAACCAAGCGACAGAGAAAACAACATCACCCTCTCCCTGGCGTGGATCTCGTTGGAACAATAACCTAAAACTCAATACCAAGTCGTCGCTATCGACTTGATAAACTGGCGGATTTGCCCCATTTTCGTTAATTGTAATTACCTGTTGACAGCCAGGTACTATTTCACTCCCCCAACGGGTTGCGGGTCCTGGACGACGCTCTCCTCGCTGTCTTTCTTCCCATCTCTCTATGATGATCCTGCGTTCAGTTGGTATAAGCTTTGACAAGATCACAATCTTGACCTCGTGTTCCGACATTTCGAAGTATCTTCTTGCCTTCACTCGCATTTCTGGTAAAGTCTGAGAGTATCCACCCTCAAATATAATGGTTGGAAATCGATATATGCGACCATCTGCTCTCGGGCTGGCAGACGCATCTGGCTGCTGTCCTCCGCCTCCGCCTCCAGAGGAACGCCGTGAATAAATAGTTGTAGTGCCCCTGTACTTCCAGTTGTTCGCTAGGCCCATCAAAGTGACTGCGCTCACGAGTCCTATAGACAGTATCCCATACACGGCTTCGTGTTCGAGAGTAGGAATTGTGATTATCAAACACTGAGAGTCTTCAGTGTACATGGAGAGGTGGATTTTGTTTGTCTCGTATCCTTCGTCCAGCGCCTTGTAGACCGTGGGAGATACATCTAGAAGAGAGTCAGAAAGAAAGGCAATAGATGACATGGTAGGGTCGAACATACTGGTGACGCGCAGTGCATCTCCTGGTGCGGCATCGATTGCTCTGATGAGATCTTCAAGATTGGTAAATTGAATTGTTGGCATCGAGTCGGTTACTAGAGCTGCTCGATCTGCTGGGCGTAGTACACCCCTGGTACTCTTGAGAGACATTGATGCCGGCGCTGCGGGAGTCAGAGTTTCTCTTTGAGTCGACCCCATCTTGGAGGCGTTGTTTGTGAGAGGGCGAGGGGGGATGCTTGCTTGTGCAAAAGAAGCAGAAAAGAAATGGAGGAGAGAGTAGGGGGAAGTCTCACAATTTATAGAACACTCCTTTCCGTTTGCTCCCACGTGATGGCTGTGATTCACGGTGCGTCATATGGTTCTGGGTTCAGTGATTCACTCAAGGTCTCCGTCAATGAATTGATGTGTGATTGATGAAAGGCTGACAAGGTTAGCAATTCTTGTGTACAATCCCGATGATATACAAATAGAGACGATTTTCTTCATTCGGCTTACATACGGCTAATAATTCGTAAATCTCATTATAAGAGAAGCCGCCAATGTTTCATAGAGGAGAAGGGCACTTTATGCATTAGTGTTTTTTGTAGCAAGCTTTATACGCGTCATTTAGTCCAGAGTACCAAGTAATTATTGCACAGTGTTAATGTATGTCTAGCTTATCTACAGTGATGGTACAGTAGTTGGTGTTTGCCAGAATAAAGTTTTCAAGACGGTCACAAATAGTATGCAGTATAGAACAGGCAGGGGCTTATGTCTGTTCTTCATCTGCATGTTTTTGATAGTGGATAAACTATTAGTACGCCTTAAAATAATAGATGTGATGAGCATCGACTCTTATAGCCCGAAGCTTCTCATGAATCTCGCTCCGGTCGCCAAGTATACGAAATTACTAGTGTCCTTGTTGTAATGGATAAACTTTATGATGTAACCACATGACGTGTCGAGACAGTCTGTGAAGATAAATACATAAGGTGCTTCTCCAAAGTGTGACCTTGAATACTTTTACAGGAAATTATCCGTTTATGAGACAAATTCTAATAGTATTACTCCCGTCTATGATCCAGGCAGGTCCAGCCATAGGTCTAGTCACTATCAACTCTTTGTTAATCGGATTATCATTCGTAACATGATATTGCATTTGTTGATTTCAATTGAATGTTGAAGCGTGACTCTTAGTGGCAACAGATAAAATGCTACAGATACTCTCTCTCGAATTTTTAACCTTGAGGCAGTGCCACACAACAGCATGCTTTTGCCCGAGTCTGTTCAGCCGGCCATGGATCTGGAGGTTTGTCCTCGGGTTGAAGTGCTGACTGACAATGACACCAAACATTGGGGCTTGCAGTTCCCTCAGTTTCCTTTGATCGCTACCGTGAAGTCGCTGTCCCCCCTCTTGAAGAGTCACCATCGCCTGCGTCATCAGTCATAGACGATGACTTCGAGGAAAACTCTCCGTCTCCGCCAGCTATACCGGCCCCGGATACAAGCTCCCGCAGACGTACTTGGGATGAAGCTTTCGGTCACGAAGTTCCCGAATTGAACACCGCATTGAATAACAACCGGAATGCTCTGGCGCAGACCGTCGCCCCCCAGGGGTTGATACGAAATCTATATCTTCACGTGGTAGTTGTGTTTATGTTTTCGAGGCATTGATGTAACATCTCCGGTAGCTGCCTCATCTATGGGGCCTTGAATTGGATGTCGAGCGCGGATATGAGAAGGTAGTATTTGGTAAAAGCACATTTCAGCCTTCATTCAGCAGCATGTGGCGGTATCCACGGGTCAATCCTCTGGGTGTTCAGTCAGTAAATGGGCTTGGACCATGAGCAGTGGAAGTGTCGTGGACTTACCCAATTTGCTGTATCCAGATGGACAATCGAAGACACATGGTCATGAGATTCCAATATACGTTCTGACCGTAGTCACGCTCCTTTTTCTCTAGTATGAGGCAGATTGCATTATGGAGATGCAGGAGGAGGCGGCACCCGACCGACCGGCGTAGTATATATCCACGGGTATCCGAAATGCCTGCGCGGCGCATGTCTTCTGGCTAACGTCCGTTGAGGATATAATGAAGACCAACCTGCTCTGGCCTGCGGCTCGGGTGCCGTTCGAGTCAGCTTTAAACCTGACGTCCTTTTTGTCCCGTAGCTGTCTGACAGCTGCGGTGAAGTTTGGATTCTGTATCGCCTCTTTCTCAAGGGCAGCCGGCATCCTGTTGGGGTTCGCGATGACACCAACCATTAGATTCGCGGGGGGGTATGAGTCGAAGTCGGCGAGGGCATCCATGCCCGGTATGGCATCTTGTGGGCTCCGATGTAGGAGTTGGGTATCGAAAGGGGAGAGCGCAGCTCTATAGCCGTATGCAATATGGTATAGCTCATCCAGTGATTGATAGATTTGTTTTCCCCAATAGTCTTGTACGTGTTGTCAAGACCTAAGGTATCTGTCATAGCGTAGACGATGCATACATGCAATATTGAACAGAATGCATTGCCTCAATAGGTCCCTTGACGATCGCAGTCGACTGAGGCTTCTTCGCGGCTTAACTTTTACCCTTTGCCTGAGATTGGTTGGCAGTAGGTCCCTTGACGATGGGTGCTTTCTGCTGAGGTCCGTTGCCTTTCTCGACGCGCTGTGTAGATGGGCCGGCGATCGACGACGATGGTCCCGCGATAGATTCATCCTTGACCGCTGGTTTCTTCTGCTCATCGATGTAGTCGCGGTAGGCCGAGGTGATCTCCTTTATGTATGCTTTGTATGCGTCTTGCGTAGCCGTTTCCTTTTGATCCTTCCGATCGGCCTTCATCTTCTTAACTCCCTCGGGGAGTTCGCCATATTTGATGGAGGCAAAGGCGATCCGATGAACGTCATCCAACGGAGCAACATCCTCAAACAGGCAGAGGTCGGCAACAGTGCTCTTAGTCGGCCAGATTCTCCCAGCCGCCAAGATGGGATTGGCTCTTCGGGTTCCGCACCTAAAGAAGAAAGAATGGCTCGAGTAGGATCATAACTGGTGGTATGGAAAGAAGTTTTGCCAGGTGCCTGTCTCATTCGTGGACATGACGGTGACAGAGTGTCTCGTGTATTCTGTGGTATGGAACGGTTGTAAGAGTTCCTGTGCTTGGTCGTTAGCATTTGTTTGATGGATCCGGAAACATGGTGTGGCAGTGATGATGGCATCTCGGCTCTTGAGATAGTCGTGGAGGCTATGGAGGGATCGCGTGTCTTTACCTTTGATGATGTTTGTCTTGCCAACAAGTATGATGAGAACCCGTGCTCGGGTTGTCAATAGTGCGAGGCGTTCATCTTCCACTAGGATTGCAGTCTGGTTTGCCGGTTCGTACAAGATCGCAGATGACGATTTCCGCTTGGTGGCTAGGAGATCGTCTATCTTGCGGTGAAGTGTAGCGGACATAGCCTTGATGTGAAAAAATTCGACTGTGTTTTGGATGGAGCTTTCGACTGAGGCTGTGTATTTTGCATCCTTGTTTCCGAGACTTGACATTCTTTTTTGCCATCTAGAGTACCAAAGTGGTCAGCTTGAGACTACTGAAGAAATCGGAAACGAAGACACAGCTTACCATCAGCATTACTACATGCCTGTCCTTCATATACGCAATTCGCACAACGTCCATATTGTAAGCCTTTGGTGTGAATGCAGCCTACGAATGGACCAAGCCCTTGCTCGCAACAACCACATGAGCCATGATTGAACGCCTCGCTGTTAGATGGCCGCAGCAATCTTGCTTCTGAGATCATGGATCTTCACACTTGTTGGATAGTCATCTGACCTAAAAGACAAGTTGCGTCGAATCATGCGTCATATATTCGAAAGATTATCGAGTCAGATTATGGCAGTCGTATTGGCGTCTGCATGTATAATGATACCGCATGCTGAGTAGTGGTCAAGATAGTAAACGATGAAAAACACCCATGTATATTGTGTTTTGTGTGCTTGTGTCAGTAAGAAGAAGAGCACCAATTCTGTGAGTGAGATGAAGACTGAAGAGAAGATAGTGAGGGCATCGACAGTTTATATAGATGGATGCTTACATGTGTATTTGGTAGACTTCAGTGTTGTTCATGGTGTTTTCAAGGCAGACCAAGAACGCGTAATTGGAAAGTCGGTCAACGGGCAACTGCCTCTGAGTTGTCAATTCACGACGCCGTATTTCCCTTTTTTCTGTCTAAGATAGTTGTGTTAATTGGAGTTTTGTATATTTTCTCAATGCATGCTGCCGCGAGATGAGTTATCACAGGATGAGTTGCCGCACCCAGTCCATCCATCTTCATACGCTTACATGCTGGTAGCCTATCTCGATAAACCGTAGCAGTCTCACTCATTCCGTCCATCTCAATCTCCTGTATTAGTCTACACCAATTCCATAGATCTCCATCTATACATTCACCTCTGCCTCCATGTCCATTTCCATCTCTGTCCATTGCCGTATGTCGCTACCAACAGTCAGGTTGACAACACATAGCCGGCAACACCAACGCCCTGCGCAACTAACCGTCATCTGCCGGCATGTGGAGCAATGAGACCTTGACCGCTTGAGTCAATGCACCGGCAATGGCTGTCAAGCAAAACCTTAATCGACACAAACTGAGTCCATCGCGGTGAGTGCACATGCATTGATGCATTGACGGCTTCTTAGCCCAGGCATCAGCGTTAAATCCCCCTGTATGCTCCATAGTGCTGTAACGAATCTTCCCAGGCACTGCATACGGGGCCTCTAGCGGGCAAGCGTGGCTGCAGCTTAGGCCATTTCCCCCCTAGTTGTTAGTGGCTGTGTATAAGGCATCTTCACTAGGCAGAACACATGGATGCCCACTTCAACTCTAAACCTCCCAACCATTGACATCAGCACTGGCAAATGCTCGTATCTTTTGTGTCAAGGCGTGACTCAGCCTCAGCCATTGGACTGATTGCTCTTATGCAAACGGAACGTCAGCCGAGAGCCTTTACCGCAGATTGACCCTTGTCGGCATTACTGTTTCGTCTTTTCCGGTGTCCCTTTCTGGCAAATTGTTCCATCTCTCTGGGGACCTGCTTGTTATGGCATATCCTCTCGAGTGTTGAGGCTGAGAACGAACTCACGATGAGCAATGCCTTGACGATACAGCCCAAACTCTACCAATCCCAGACGGGCGAAAGAATCCGACGGCAAGTGAATAATAGACCGATTTTAGCGCCAGCATGCGATGCAGGCATGCCGAAGTGGAGGTTCTCCAGCCCAAAGGCTTGTGCGGCTGAGGCCAGCCAAGTTCTACTAACCCCAAGATGAGATGGCTTTGAACAGTCATTGCATCTCTCTCTCCAGTATAAGTACAAAGGATGGATTGTTCAGTTGAACATCATTGGAAGGGCGCCATCGGCTGTCTCATTGGTTGAGTCTCTGCAGCGTTTCCGCTCGTCTTACCTCCCCTCCCCTCGGATGGTGTCATCTATTTACCTCAACTTCAACCAAGATTCAACGGATAGAGACCTCTGAAGAGCCTCGCAGCCATGACCAATCTCAACAAACAGAATCCGGATGCTGGCGTTCCGGTTGTTCACGCCCAGCATGAGCAGCTCCCCATCCGTGAGGAGAAGCCCAACCAAGGGCCAGCGGATCCGCCTCCTTATGACACTCACAACGGCCCTGTTGACCTTCAACTCCATCATATTGCTTCCAAAGATGCTCTCTTTGTCAAGATACAGCCTCCTAAAGAACCCTCAAAGCCTATTAGCCATGTAGCTTGCGACGTCGTCCTGGTGATTGACGTATCTGGGAGCATGTGCTCAGCTGCTCCTGTGCCCGGCGAAGGCGCAGAAGAAACGGGCCTTTCCGTCTTGGATTTGACCAAGCACGCTGCATTCACCATCATCGAAACAATGGATGAGAGAGATCGTCTTGGCATTGTGACGTTTGAGACTGAATCCAAGGTGGTGCAGTGGCTTGAGCCCATGACAGACGGCAACAAAGAGGAGGCTCGCAAAAGAGTCAAGGCCCTGAAACCAATGGGCTCAACCAATCTTTGGCACGGTATGCTAGATGCAATTAAGCTCTTCAACAAGGAGCAAGATAGCCACCGTGTACCAGCCATGATGGTCTTGACAGACGGAGAACCAAACCACATGTGCCCTTCGAAGGGCTACATCCCGAAGCTGAGATCCATGCCTCCTTTGCCCGCCACCATTCACACGTTTGGCTTCGGATACAGCCTTAGATCCGGGCTACTCAAGTCCATTGCCGAATTCAGCGGCGGCAACTATGCTTTCATTCCCGATGCAGGCATGATCGGAACAGTCTTTGTCCACGCCATTGCCAACTTGCAATCCACTTTTGCAACAAAGGCCTCGTTGAAGCTGAAATATGCGGCCACACTTGAGATTGAGGAGACAGTTGCTGATACTGTTGATAAGCATGCTCCAGTTGACGCAGGCAATGGGCAGAAGGAGTTGACGATCTCCTTGGGAAACATCCAGTACGGACAGTCACGAGACCTTTGGCTCCGCTTCAAGGGTGCCTCACAGGAAAAGCAGGCCTTAGTCGAAGCCACTCTCACGTACGAGGAGACTGAGAAGCCATCGCCAGGACTGGCTTCAGCACGCCTCGGTGACGATGCACGTGGTGTGGTGACCCTCTCCGGTGATGAAGTGGTCTTCCATGAATCACGAGCACTCGTCTGCAAATTCATCTCGTCCCTGTTTCCACTCGCATCGGACGGAGAATACAGAGCACTGACAGCAGTAAACGAACAAAACGAACATCGTCAACAGCTAGCAAAGCTCATCGAGTCTCTGCCCGGCCGCGAACTTACCGACGATCTGAACAAGGCGTTGATGGATGATCTCAAAGGCGCAGAGCCCAGGGGCCAGATCAGCATTGCCCTATCGACGCCGGAATACTTTGTCAAATGGGGCCGGCACTTCCTGCCGTCGTATGTCAACGCCCTTAGTCGCCAGATCTGCAACTCGTTCAAGGATGCGACACCGCTTCAATTCGGCTCTCAGAGCCCGCTCTTTATTGCTTGTCGTGATCGTTTGGACGATGCCTTTGACAACATTCCGGCCCCTGAGCCATCCAGGGTCATTTTGCGCAACAGAGGCAGAGTCAATAGCAGCGGCACCACCTCTCACGCTTCTCATTCGACCATGGCTAGGTACCGGAACTCTTCCGGTGTGTGCTTCGCGGGCTCGACCACCGTGGAACTGGCTTCGGGCAAGATGACAGAAATCAGAAAGCTCAAGAGCGGGATCCGGGTGCGCACGCCTCTCGGGCAGAGAAAGGTGGCCATGGTCCTCAGGACAAAGGTATCAAGCGAGTTTCTCTACCGGATCGGCTCGCTACTCGTCACGCCGTGGCACCCTCTGTCCATGGACGGCAAGAACTGGGACTTTCCGGCCAACATGTCGGACATTCCGGTGCTTTACACTGGCTTCATCTACTCTGTCTTGCTGCAGCCCGACAGGAGGTCAGATGCTCATGCCATTCGTGTTGCCGATACCTGGGGCGTTACACTGGGACACGGCATGCTAAGGGGAGCAGCTGATGTTCGAGCGCACGAGTTCTTTGGTGACTATATGAGAGTGAGAACTAGTCTGATGAAGCTTGAGGACGCTGGTAGGAAAGGCGTCGTCAAAGGAGGAGGTATTGAACGAGATCCGATGACAGGACTTGTGAGAGGATTTCGACGCATGTCAGAAAATGCACCCATTGGGAAGATAGTACAAGTTTGATGAAATAAGGGGAGCAAAGAATTACATCTACGTAGTGAAAAGGGGGCAAGTCTGGAAACTCATCCACGCAATATCTAGTTTATGATGAATATCAATATCAATATCAATTCAAAAAGCCAATTCTTTCATTCAATATACATCTATATAACATCATTCTATTCCCGCACAAACAATCCCGCCATGCCCATACCCGTGCCAACACACATGCTCACAACACCAACCTCGCCCCCCTGCCTCGCCAGCCCATGCATCAACGTGCTCGTCATCCTCGCCCCCGTCGCTCCCAGCGGGTGTCCCAGCGCAATCGCTCCTCCGTCAGGATTCACTTTACCCTTCTCCCACGCCTCCATCAGCCCAAGCTCTCGCAAGCAATAAACGACCTGGCTCGCAAACGCCTCGTTAATCTCCCAGCGATCAACATCTTCCTTCTTCAATCCCAGCCGGTTCAACAGTTTCGGGATCGCCAGCGCAGGGCCGATGCCCATCTCGTCGGGATCGCACCCGACCGTCGTCGCACCGACAAACTTTCCCATGATCCTCCCGCTCAGGCCGAGCTCCGTGGCGGTGCTCCGGCGCATCAGCAGCGTCGCCGCCGCGCCGTCGGAGATCTGGCTCGAGTTGCCCGCGGTGCTCTTGCCGTCGGGCTTGAACGCCGGCTTCAGCTTGGCCAGCGCCTCGGCCGTGACGCCCGTGCGGATGCCATCATCGCGAGTAACAGTGATCTGCTGCTCCTCGCCCACTTTGTTACCCTGCTTGTCCACCTCCTGGAAGCGCGTCGTGACCGGCACAATCTGCGAGTCGAACCATCCGGCATCTCTCGCCCGCGCCGCCCGAACGTGTGATTCCGCAGCGACCTGGTCCTGAATCCCGCGGTCCACGCCGTACCGCTCCGCAACGTTCTCCGACGTGAGGCCCATCGGCATGACGCAGTCCCTCACATGCTTCGCCTCAGATGTCCTCAGCGCAGGCCAAACGTCCACCGGCACGGCCTTGCTCCCGTAATTCCGCGTCATGCTCTCCATGCCCGCCCCAATACCAACATCCACCATCCCATTCTGAATCTCCGCCGCCACCAACGAAATGCTCTGCAGCGAAGAGGCACACGCGCGGTTCGCCGTGAAGAGGCTCGTGCTGTTCGGATAGCCAGCGTGGTTGAGCGCCATGCGGCCGGCCTTGGAGCCGCCCAGCTCGGACAGCACGACGCCCACGCCGACGTCGTCGACGAGCGCCGGGTCCATCTCGGGCACGGCGAGGCGGGTGGCCTTGAGGACGGCGGAGAGCAGCTCCTCCGGGTAGGCGTCCTTGAGGTGGCCCTTGTAGGAGCGGCATATGGGCGTGCGGAGGGAGGAGAGGATGACGATGTCGGAGGGTGCTTTGGAGAGGACGGCGGCGAGGCCTTTGGACGACATGATGCCGGTTGTTGTTTGTTTTTGTGATGGATGGCCCTCTCAGTCACTCAGTCGCTCAACTCACTTACTCACTATGTGGTTATATATGACAATAGTAGAAGGTGTATGAGATGAGATGAGATGAGAATTATCATGTAGTGATGAACAGTGAAAAAAGGAGAAACCCTCACACCAAAAAGAAAAAGAGTAAGAAATCCCAAACTACTGTATAGCTGCTCATAAATAATCACCCATTCTTACCAATCACTATATAATAAACCAATTCCATCTTTTTTTCGCCATCACCAACTTACAATCTCCCCGGCCCCGGCTCCCCCTCTGTGGATCCCCTCAAGGGCTGTTTTTTTTCTAGCTCCCCCGCGTCTTCCCCCCGTATCCGCCGCACTGGCAGTTGCTGTCGGCAATGGGGTTGCTGCACTGTGCTTTTACCCGGTCTATAGGCGCTGGTTGCACTGTAATGCTGCGGTGAGCACAGTGTCCAGTTTGCAGAGAGTCCGGAACTTGTATCCGGCAGCGCTGCCGTGTCTGTCCGGGCCTTGCCGGCTAAGCTCTTATCCCCCAATTCTGAACAGCTTCAATTCCACTCCTTATCCATTGACTCGCATTCTTGTTCGACAACTGAGGACTACAATTTGTATTTGCTATTTTACTTCTTCTCATCCCTCTTATACGGAAATGTCACACATATTGTAACCAATCAACTAGCCCGCGCCTTGCTGTGCTGTGTGCTGTGCTGTTTCATCCCAGCTTGTGCTTGCATCCCCTTTCCGAAACCGTTCCGATGATCCCCGTCCCGCCTCATTCTGTTGCCGCTCCAAATCCTTCCAAGGCTCAACTCAAGCCAAGTAAATCAAAAACAAATGGTTGTTCATCATTCGTCAAAAAAGAAGAATAATTCCAGAAATCCAGATAAACATGCACGCACACGCAAACAACAAAACACAATATCAACCCCCCACATCCAGCCATGGTTGTGTAAGAAGACATCTCACAAAATACACCGCTTCAATCTGATAAATCCGACCCATTTTTCTTGTCCCTCTATCAATTGGTTCTTTTATTGTCCGTACTGAATGCCCAGGCCAACACGGCGGCTTTCTGATGCTGCTCCGCCAGCCCTCAGCTTCTTCTGCGGACTTTCCATCTCATCGGCTCCGGCCTCTCCCTCGGCCGTCAGTTTGCGCTTCTCAGCCCCAGTTGCCGTTTTACTGCCCGCGAAAAGCTTGGCGTGCATTGCTGCAGATTTCTCCGCCGGTCCTGCCGTGCCATCCCGGGATGACGGCGCCTTGTATCCCTGGCTGGGGTGCCGACGTAGCATCTCGGCCGCTGCCTGGCTCGCCTGGCTGTCCTGGACTTGCTCGTTATCCTCTTGTGAGCTGAGCGGGACCCCTTCTGGGGCATCTTGGGTTGACAGTGATTGTACTGCCTTGACCGATTCGATGGCCTGTCGAGCAAGCTCCTCGTTGTCATCGGCCGAAATGGTGCTCTCCCGTCTTCTTCGCCGTGATTGTCTCTGAGACGGCGGTGTTGTGGGGACAAACCGTCGCTGTGAATAGCGAGATCTCGGCTCCGTCTGCGCCACTAGGTTCACCGACGGTAGCAGGCCGCTATTATCTCCACGTAATCTGCTGGAGGGAGTTGTCGGAAGCGATGACATGGATTGGGCGTTGCGCTGGTGCCGCCTAACCAGTCGAGAGGCAGGTCGAGCCATCACCATTGGCGTTGACGGCGCGCTGTTGTTGTTGGTAGCAGCCATGGTAGCCGCGTTGTTTTCTTGAGATTGACTCTGGCTCATGGCTTCCAGCAGAGCCGACAGCCCGTGTTCCCGTCCATCCGTCTCTTCACGGTGCAAAGCGCGAGATGTCGTGCGGTGTTGCTGTTGCTGCTGTTGTGGTGTCGATGTTATGACCTGCTTGGGCGTCAGGGCGTTGTGAAAGATGCCGCCCGGGCTGCACAGCATGTGAAAGTGCTCCCGGTTCTCGCGGATGCGGTTCAGTAGCATCTCGCGCTCCTCTGCCAGTGTCATGGTCTCTTCCTCCTTCTGCTGGATCACCTTCTTGGCCAGCTTGACCCTGCGGCTGAGCGCCTCGTTCTCCTCCATTGCTGATTCGTACCACATCTTCATCTGCAAGTATTTGTTCTGTATTGACTCGGACACCGTGCTCAGCTCGCGCTTGGCCTGTCGGGAATGCTCCGCCATCCGCAAGGCGTCTACTTCGCGGCGCACCATGTCGTGCTCCACCGCGGCGCGCTTGGACTCTTCGTCTGCCTGCAGGCTCAGCAGATTATACTGCAGCTTGTGGTGTGCTGCCTCCATCTTAAGCTTCTGGTTCTCGGCGATGCAAGTCTGCAGCATGGCGCGCAGCTCATCGGCCGATGCCTCGAGCACTCGGTGAGGTGCCGGCGGTGTGTAGTCGGATTCAATGTCTCGCTCACGCATCGTGTTGAGTATGGTGGCGGGTGGTGAGAAGAGGGCGGACTGCTGAGAGTTGGAATAGGTGCGTCTCGAGGCACCGTTGCTGGCCGCGACCTGCGTGGACGGCGGCGGTGTCAGCGATGACGGAATCACTGTGATAGCTGGTCGGTCGTCCATGACCTCCGTCTTGAACGATTGGTTTGCGTCAATGGGCGATCCTGGCATTTCCGTGGACGGGAGCGTGATTTGGGACAGCGGATGAGCGCCCGTCTCGTGCTCTTGAGGGGTTGACGGGTCGAGGCCACCGAGAACAGCGTCCTCGACAGTGCCATTGACGCGAGGAGTGTCCACCTCTGAATCAGAGGCCATCGTAGCGAGTGCGACCTGTATTTTGTATTTCGAGTAGATTGAAGTATAAGTAGATATGTCGAGGAGAGCGAGCGAGCGAAGCAAGCGGTGGGCGAGGCGCCTTTTGGTCTGTTCAGTTCTGCTTTCCCTCTCAAAGCTCAGCTCCGCGACTCCAAGGGAGAGAGATGTGGACCCTGGTGCGACTCCGCCTTCAGTCGCCCTCGAACAGAGCAAACAGAGACACTGCTAGCTGGCCTCGTGACCTGCGTGAACCGTGAACCGTGTAGTCGTGAGCCGTGAACTTGGAGCCCAGCTGCCGATCCAATCAACAAACGCCCAGCGTGCGACAGCAACAGGCAAGCAGTCAATGCGTCTTCCGGTATCGTGTCGTGCTATATCGAAGTCTGCGCTTGAATCTGCGCAAAGATTCTCGTCTGCAGCGTCGTGGTTGAGATTGAGGCTGCGAAGGGGGTCATGCGTTGAGGTTGCGGAAAAGAGGTGGTGGCACTCAAGTGTACATGTAGCAGTAGCACCAGTCAGAAGCGCCCATTCATGCACTGCATTCCTCGACCAGGCACGGCAAAACAAAACTCGAGAGGCTGGCTGGCTGCTTGCAACAGCGCTAGACCCAGCTCGGACTCTGGCCCAGCAACCAGTTGGAGCTTCTTTTTTGCTTTTTTCTCTTTTTTAATTTTTTTTCTCTGGCTCATCTCTGGCTGTCAAGGTTCATGCGCTAATTAGTCAGGGGATGACGCAAGGTTGTCTGTACCGAGCTCTTTCACCGAGATTTACCCAGTCCGCTGCCAAAATCTCAATTTCACAGCAATTTATTGACTTGCTTCACAACTTGTATAAAAAAGCTTCATATTATGTTGCAGGTTACTCTTGCTATTCCCATTCTCCAATTGATGCCTTCAGCCCTCTTCAAACCTCATCACTATCTATATTTCCCGTCCCCCATGTACCCTTATACAGTAGAGCAATGTGCCATATCCATATTCCGCATCCAAGCATCTCCTACCCTATAATCCATATAATGAGTCCAATAAACGCCTACAATGTTATACACACAAACCAATTCCCATTTCCTTCAAACCTCTCCCACAGCCTGTTTCGGCTGCAGCATCCTCGCATCCTTCTTCCCCCCAACCAAAAAATGCTTCACCACCCGAATCACCTTCCTCAACAGCAGCACCGGCAGTATCACCGGCCACAACACCATGACCGCTATCCACCACAACATCACCAGGGCCTTGTCTCGCTTCGTCGCCTGAGAATCAAGATACCACTTAGGAACCCATCTGCCAAGCTTTCCCTTGCCGTTGATGCATAGGATGCAAATCACCCCAAATAGCAGCCACCCAGCGATCGAAATCGGGATCAGCACTCTCATGATTGCCTTTGGTTCAAACGCTGTTCCTTCGCCGTCCATCATGTGGCCCATAGTGTGAGGACCCGATCTTGCTGTTGAGTTGGGCGTGATGATGGTTTTGTTGAGTCTGCACGGGCTTGCGTCCATCTGGCTGCCGACGCATGGCGGTGTTGCCATCCTTCTCAGGCTGTTGCGTGCCATGAGCTTCATGGTTGACGAGGCCATCGTGTGAAGGTAATGTGATGTAACAAAATGCGAGTATGGATACGGATATAAAAGCTCTGAAAGCTCTTTTGAATTATGCGGGCGATGATATTGAAATGTTTGATGCAGTCAACATTGGTAGGACTGTCTGATGCAAAGAACATGAAGACTGACTGCCTACGCACGTACACATCTGCAGCACAGGTTAACCGCAACCGAAGCAAACTCAAGCCTCTCTTCTTGGGCAGTCTTTCCTTGCAGTGTGAAGAAAAGAGCAATCCATTGTGCCTACTCAACTGTGAATAGTGAGGCAGTTGAACGTGCACATCTCATAGATAATACAACTCACATACAGGCATGTACTCACTACTCGAGTAGACCAGATGGTTACAAGTGTATACATTACTAATTACTCAATACTAATTATTCAATAAGGTATTGCCTGCGCCTTACTGCAAGCCCGAGTGGTATCTATACTACCATTTCCCTAGCACCTATACTCCATGCATCATTCTACCTGTACATGCAATCGATCCACCAAAATGATAATATACAGGTCCGCCCCATGCCAGGGCAGATTGAAAAAAAAAATAAGTAGCAGAAAGATAGTACATGACCTTGCCGTAAAGTGAAAAGCGGAAATCAGCAAAGCAAAGACCAAAAATTACCCACCAAACCTTAGTCCACGTCAGACGAATCGTCGTCCCCGTTCTCAGCTCTCCACGCTTCCATCTCGGCAGCTGGAACGCGGCCTCGTAGCCATCTCATAGTGGCTGCGGTTCCCTTCTCCAGGATATTCCATTTGGGGACCTTGAATCGGTTTCCTGCCACCTCGAGCCGCTCGAGCCCGTCCTTTCCGCCCAAGAGGCCGAGCCGAGGATCCAGATGCGCAATCTCATTGCTCGCCACATCAACAACTTTGAGGCCCTTGATGGCAGCTGGATCAAGCTCGGTTAGTTGGTTGTTTGACGCAAGCAGTACCTTTAAGCTGGGGAAGCTCTGCTTCAGATCGAGCGGGAGCGCGGTTAGGCGATTGAGCGAAACGTCAATCTTTTCCAGTGCGGGTGCTTTAAGGAATTTTGTCAACGGACCTAGGCTGGTGATGGTATTCGAGCTCAAGTTCAACTCCGTCAGAACTGGCAAACTCAGCTCTTCTGTTAGGTAGTCCTCTCCCGAGATTTTATTGTGGCCCAGTGATAGAGACGTGAGGGTTTGCGAGAAGAATTGCAAGGATCCGGGGAACGCGCTTAGGAGATTGTGGTGAAGCTGCGCCTGTCTTATCTGATAGCTCCTCGACAGTTCGGCACACATTTCCGGGCTCAGGGAAGATGATTCGGTGCGTGACCGGTCCAGGAGTCCACCCGGCTTGACCTGCCAAGTTTCTCTCACTACAGTTTGAGCACGAGACCTGGTAGGCGAGTGAGGTGCAGATGTTGGAGGTGTGGCAAAATCGTCGTCGCCCTCTGATCTGCTGTCTGGATCCTCGGGGTGGATAGTCGACACCTTGTCCGGTTGTTGTTGTTTCTTCTCCATTTCCGGTGGGCTGATTATGGTGGTGATGGGTGCCTGAACGGCTGGCTCTTCGTATGGGGGAGGAGGCTCTAGCCTTGTCGACAGCGCTTCCTTGATCTCATCTGTCGAGGCCGAAGCAAACTTCTTGTCACGCAGCGGGTTACCGCTAAGCCGAAGCAGAGTCAGGCTGTCCATTCGAGAAATCTCAGGTGGGACTACCCGAATGTCGTTGCTGGAAAAGTCGGCCTGTCGCACCTTTTCGAGGCTGGTAAAGCTCAAGGGGATGCTGGAGATGTTGTTCGCATCTGCCGCAAGGTTTATAAGACTTGTCCACGAAGTCATATCTGGGAGCTCCTGCAGTCGATTCATTGAGAGGGTGAGAGTGTGGACAAGGGGAAGACTGATTGAAGCATCAGCAGGCACAAGACGCGTCAGTCTGTTCACTGAGATGTCCAGAGATTGAAGCAGTGGTAGAGAACCAATCGATCCATCAATCAGGGTGCCCGAAAGCCTGTTCTTCTTCAAATTGAGCTCGGCAAGCGGTAGCTTTGAGAGCCCCTCGAAGGGAAGCGATTCAAAGTTGTTCTCGCTCAGGTTGAGAACGCGCAGCCGAGAAAGGCCTTCAACGTTGGGCGGTAGGGCAGTGACTTGGTTTCCGTGTATATCAAGAACCTCCAGGACGCTCAGATCCACGAGACTAGGGTTCAACGCGCCAACAAGGAGATTATTTGCCAGTTTGAGATCGCGGATCGCCGTCATCTGAGCGATGATTTCAAGGCATCCATTTTCTAGGCGATTGGACGACTAAAAAGTGTGAATAAATGACCCCGAAAAACATCAACGCCACGGAGATACTCACCAGATTGAGAGTGGTCAACTGGGTGAAGCGGCGGAATCCCATGGGAATGGCTGATAGCCGATTGCCGTGCATGTCGAGAGTCTCGAGTCCTCCAAAAATGTTGCCACGGCCCTCTTCGTCGTTTTCGAGCTCTTCGGGGCTGCGGTCAGGGAACATCGCGTCGTCCAGTGTTTCTATCTCATTATCCGCGCCAACCAGCCTGGTCAACTCGACACTTTCAGCCCAGCTTTCGCCGGCTCCCATGGTCTCTAGATCATACATTTTCAGGACTTCACTGGGAATCTCTTTTAGTCCTAACGCGGCGATGTTCAGTTTTCCACTAGTTCTTGCTGCTCCGACGCGTTGTTTCAACACTTTTTCACCAGCATCTTGCCCCTTATTCACGTTAAATGGGTCATCAAATGCTGCATCGTAATCGAATCCGCTCTTTGCTGGAATGGCTGCGAAATCATCAGCGGTAGATGCTGCACTGGGCGTCTGTGCCGGAGTCTGCTTCATAGCCGCCCTCTTGGCAGCTTTTGCCTTGGCGATCTGATCCCGAAGTGCCGATGAGGACTTTTGAGTCGGCTGTTCCGGTTCGGCATCCTCTGTCACTGCTGCAGCGGCTGGCGCGATAGTGCCGTCCCAGGAGGAGATGGGAGCTCCCGAATTGTCGCTGGCACCCAAAGCTTGCACCGATGGCTTCTTGCCAAGACCGTGAACTGATGCTCTTTGTTTTAAAGTCTTTACTGCAGGCTTCTGGGCCGGCTTCTGAGCGGGCTTGGCTGGTGCTTTGCCCATCGTGTTTGGACTTGGGCTTCTGACATCTGGCATAGAAGCGGATGGCTTTGAGGCCGCCCCGGAAGCACGGCTAGCAGGGCGTAGCCTTTGCGTACTGTTGGAGGCAGCGCCTGGCGTTCTATCGTTATGAACGATTGAATTTCTCTTGAACAGATTGGCTGATGACATCCTGGGATTCGAAAAGGCCGAGTCGTCAGCCGCACTTGAACCTGGGCGAGACGGATGTCTTGCAGACCCGTCAGAAGTGTAGCTGGAGCTTGGCCTTGAGGCTGAGCTTTCGGCTCGTGATATAGGTCGTCCCGAATCAAAGAATGACGAAGACTTTTTGCTAAGAGCAGGAGACGAAGGTAGCTGCGACAGGGTCTCAATGGTGCGCTCGGAAAGTGAAGGCTTCGGTGTGTTGATCTGAGGCATGCTCCTCCCCGGAGAGGAGAGTGGAGATGCGTTATTGTCAAATTGATCTGGCATGCCGGCAGAATCATTCAAGTATGAGATGAGGATCTCATTTTTGGATACCTCTGTAGAGTCTGTCTCTTGGTCAAATGAGCCTCTATCGGATTCTGCTGGTTCTGCCCAGGGCTTGTACTGCGCCGCCGGGGCGTTGGTGACCGTACTCCATCTTCGCTGGGACGACGATACGGCTCGCACGGGCTTCGATACTGGGGCAGCGGGTTTGGAAGCGGGAGCGGGAGCGCGGGAAGAACTAGAGCGAAGTTGGTTACTAGACGTAGAGTTGCGCAAGGCCGGCGCACGCCCGCTGTTTGTACCAGCAGAAGGGCGTAGTTGGCCACGGGAAGCAGAACCTCGCAGCTTTGGGTTCTGGATCTCCGTGCCACTTGATGTATCTCCTGCTAGACTGTCTCGGGACGGCCTTGGGCGAAGCGACGACGTGGAGCTGGAAGCCGGAGCTGGAGCCGGAGCTGGCTGGATGATGCCGGAGACGGGACGAGGGAGTCGGGAAGGGCGAGGGATGCCGCTAAGTCGTCTCTGGGAACTGTCCATCTTCACATGAGTCCCTTGCAGTCCGTAGTTGGTAGTTGGATTGGTAATGGCCTGTTGAACTAGGGTGAGTTTCGAGTGTCGATTTGATCGATCGAGCAAGGTCTGGTGTCGAGAGGAGGGGCACGGCAACTGGGACTCTTTCAAGACGACAACGAGCCAAGGGTGAAGTAACGAATGTAAGTGTCAACAATGACGGAATGTAGAGCAAAGCGAGTAATGTCTCAAAAAAGGAGCGACTGAAGAACAGCACACAGCGCGTGTGAGGAGAAGGAAAAGAAAGGAAAAAAGACGAAGAGACAGAGTCCCAGCTGCCGGGAACGAGTTGCTAGATTACGTGCATTGTCATTTAGAATTGCGGCAGCTCATCCCAGTCAGGGGAGTGACCAGGAGCTGCCTATCACGTGGGGTTAATTTATCCTAGCGCTAGGAACAGGCTAGAGGCGGGAGAGGAACAGCACTAAAAGGGCCCTAAGGCGCGTGGCAGTTGCGCTATGGCGGCCCTGACAAGCCTGGGCACCGGTACATGAGCCCTGGGAGAATATGGATTCAATTCCATGTTGCCAAGTGTACAACTTCACCCAATACATGTCCAGTGCTTTTTGAAGACTCGAGATATTAGGGATGCACATGATACTCTGAGAATACAGCTCAGGTTAATTACCGAATAAACGGGAAGGATTCCGTAGGCCCTGGCATCTGGTAGTAAGTGAATACTTCTTTAGCACCACACACACTCTCAGCCAAATTAATTAGTATGGGGCAAGCGGCCTTTTGAACAAATTTGTTGAACAATTAAATTCAATTCTGCCTGCTTTGCTAATAATGATAAATCAACACACACACAAAACACAAGATCATCCAATCGCTTGCCATCGACCCGTATTCCAACTCCGTATTTGTACATATCCCACGACAAGTGCCGAGAACAGCATCATTCTGGCAGCCAGTCGCTGTCCACATCATAATCTCCGTCAGAATCCACCACATCGGACAGCTCATATGAGCCGTCGCCAGCATCCTGCTCCAAATCCTGGCGCTCGCCCTCGGAAAATGCCTGACTTGTCGATCCGCTTTCCTCGGGCCCGTCTGAGTCTTGCGTCAAATCAATGACGTTTGACTGTGGCTGCGGCCGTGCCTCTTTCGCCTTTGGAACTCGGCTCTGCTTTGGGAGCTGTTTGAGCACTGGCATATGCTTGTGTTGTGCAGCCTCTGTAAAGGACATGCGTCGTCTCCCGGCTGTTCGGACTGCCAGACTCTTCCGGGGCTCCCTCTTGGTGTTCCTCGGGGCAAAGTTGCCTCCTGATTCCACCGTTGTTGGATCGCCACCCCATTCTATCAAGAGCTTGGACACCTTGTCACGAATAGCTCTCCTGGCGGCGTCCCGGTTTTGAGATGCTCCTGCGAGGAGCTTGTCGTAGTCTGTATGGCAGTGTCGAGCATGCGCCTGAACTGCTAGATATGCCTTCTTGTCCAGATCCAACTTTCCCGTACGGCCGACCCTGCCGCTCCGCTTCCTGAGAGTGCGCTTGAGAATTGTGGTAAGATCCTGCTTTGGAATATTGGGGAAGAGCCTCAGAGTAGCTGATTCGAATGCATCTTCGGTGGCTGCATCACGCCGTCGGACAGCGCCACGCCTCTTCTCGCGAGTTTCTCTCTCCTCTAAGTGGACTTCCCCTAGAACCCATTTTGGTGCTCTCAATCCTTGTTGTTTGCCGCGCTTCGTCACAACATATAGTGTCTTGTCGGCGTCGCGAGTTTTTTTGCGACAGAGCGCTGTCATGAAAGTATTGCCCTTCTTGAGAAATCCGTAGCCCTTAGGCATTGGCGTCTCTGGGGAGACAGTTTCTTCGCGCTTCATCGTCCAACAGAGAGGTAAGGCAGAGCTGTCCTTAAGATGTAGTGAGGAGGGTTACAGGTGAGGGCGGATGAGAAGCTTGAAATAATGCTTCATCTATCACAAAAGGCGGTTTATTGGTCATGGCGAACAAAGAATGCGCACATTTGTTGATATTCTTTGACTGTGAATTTTCATTCAGAGGCTTTGATGAAACGTCGATGAAATTTGCAGCTCTTTGACGCACTAACAATCGCGCTGTTGAGAGTGACATACTAGCGCTGAAACGCGCCGCCCAAGCTGAAGTGCTTTTTCGATTGCGGGCCAGAGGCGGCTTCCAACAGATCCATATTGATTCACTCATCAGCACATGCTTCACGTCAAATAGCTCGTATTATACATTGAGAATGAGAGCAGAGTATGAGAGCTATTGAATTCCCTCATTTTCTAGACAGTGGTTATTTCTAAACTCTCAGTCGCGAAGCTGCCAGTAAACATGTCTGGATTTGGCTGTGCCTGCGCCTGCTCAATCATGTCGACTGTTATGTCATCTTTTTGCTTTGTCCATACCATATCCCAATGACCATTTAGAACAACTGACGCCTTTTTGTCAAGTTGCGAAGTGATGAAATCCTTGAGAACTATTTCTGCGGTTTGGCTCTCACCAGGCCCAAGCTGAATGAGTGAATCAGGGCTGGGAGGCCATTCTCTGCGAATCTGAATCTCGGGCAATTCGAGAGGCTGCAGAGCGCCGTCAGGCGTGATAGTAAGCAGGCCGATGGTTGGCGCAATTGTATCTAGTGGCGAGTTGTATAGGAGAAAAGTGACTGGATACGTATTTTCATTAACGACCGTGCTGGTGATGGTGAGAGGAGATGTTTTGGTTTGCTTAATAGTCACACGGAGACGGTCGACTGGACTGGAGTTGCTGCTGAGGCTCTCCATTGAAGCTGCTGGCCATAGAAAGAATGTAGCAAACGTGAGAGCTAGGCTCAATCCAAAGATGGCGCGAATACTTGGGTAATGGGTGAGGCTCATCGGAAATGAGACGTTGGAGTATCAAATGAACAGGTTAAGTAAAGAAAGCGGGAGAATGACTGTTCATGAATTTACAAACATGACTAGAAACTTGGTAAACGGTGTGAATGTGTGTGCTATGCCTTGAAAGCGGGGTGATGCCTGAGACCCATGACGCTCATCGATGGGATGTCTCATGTCTGTTGGCAACATGAGTTGTGTCATTGACTGTGTGTGAGATGATGGATCACCGTTGTCTTTCAATTTGTAATCTTTTCGAAACAACACCTCCACCTCTACACCCAAATAAAGATCCAAGCCGAGCTCAATAACGCCAAACCCAAACTGCGACCGAATCTACATGAAAGCCAGTATCTCGTCGTATAAAGGCCATGGGTATGATGGAGAGAGAAGCCACTGGGCGAAACATCTCGCTTGATTAGGTGTGCTCTTGACTTTCGGACGGTCGCCTCCGGGTTAAAGTTCTCTGTTCAAGCGGCCATCCCAGCTTCTACTTTAGGCAACTAGCAGCACTACATGTATGCAGGGCACTTTTGTGCATTAATTATAGGAATAGTGTGCAAACACAAAGCTAGGAACAAGGTTCAAGATTTAATGTTAATCCATAACCTTACGTTATGCTTGTCTTGGGGCCGATTCTTGATCGTTAGCAGGTGGAGTCAAGGCATGGCGATGATCGATTCCGTAGCGAGCTGCCGAGGCGCTCGGTAAGCTGGTTACATACTTTTATCTTGATAGAATGCTCCAAAGACAATTCCAAGATACCTTCGCGCAGTTACTAAGATTGTTCAATGAGACACCAAGACTGCAGTTATGATATTCGCTACAGTCTCTTGGCTAGTTGAGGAGGCGGTCATATATACAGTAGCCGTTCAGTAGACCATAATGGTGATCACTGCCAATAATTGCAGGTTCCTAGGCGTCAAAGCCATCTCCATGATTTGTCTTCTCCTATCAAATACGAGTATTGCGCCCTACAAATAAAATAGATATCGCAAGGCTTGGCTGCACCGCATCTCTAATGAGTGAGCTTCCTTGTTGGGCATATCTCCCGGGCCAAGACTGCAACAATACGGGATTTGCCATCTACTATCTCCAAAACCCACGGCTCCGGTATTTGGGAAAGCCCAAAAGAGGAAGGTCATCAGATTTACCAATTAAGCGTCTGAGCAAGCTTAGAATCCCGCGGGCTAAACACACATGCAATGCTACCCGATCGAGCCGGCCTGGCGAGATCGGCTGCGCACGTCGGCGGTTCCCCCATTGTCTGGCAATGTGTCAGTTATAACGAATACAAATTATATGCAGGCGAAATGGACGCCAAGAATCCAACCAAAGGATGCTCCAAAATCTCTCATCCTCGGATTTCTCTCGGCAGAAGTCACCGGATCCTCAGCCAAAGCAATACGAGGACGGACGTCGATGGATGGAGTTGACGAGATAGTGCTCTTTCTAGAACAGGACATACATTTTCACCATATGCATATCTAATGTCTTCTAATCTTCTTCCACTAGCCTCGTATAGCACATAACGCAATCGCAAAATTGGATCCTCAATCAACGGAGCAAACATAAACCGATGATAAGACACATCAATCCCCAATCCCGTCCTTGGCATAAACGTCGGCAGGCCTCACTTAGACGCCAAGATGCTACCATTGCATGTCTGGGGCGGCACGAACCACAACACAACCGTCCACTTTCAGCTATTTCCCAGAGTTCCAGCACATCGGGGATTTTCGACCTTTTTGGAAGCTGTTCAAGTCTGTTTCACGCTTATCGCTTGGCGTTGAGGGGGACGAACGCCCTACTACTGGCTGGAACATGTATTCATGTTGCTTTGAGTCCGCATCTCGGCACCGGGCCGTCGTTTGTAGTAAATTTGAACACTGAGGCTAAATGCTTTCCATCATGAGGGAGCTCGTTAAATGAGAGGAAGCCGCCGATTTCCGCGTATGGGTCTCCCAGACAAAACGAAATGTGATGTAGAGACGTGAACAATGAACCCTAGAAGAGTCACGATCTTGTAAGATTGTTATCTAGCAATTGTATCTTGATACAGATAGATATCGTATCGCCATGAGAATCTTATTGAACCAATCATACTTACTGACGAGTAAACAAAGGGATAATTCCTTGAGAACGCTGCCGATACGATGGATACGGTTGCATTCGGACGCGAATGGCTGACAATCGAGTATGCCTCACCTTGCTATTTCGCCATTCTGCCAACGGATACTGTACCTAATAAGGCAGCTCAGTTTGGATTGGGCGTGCGAACAACTCTATCTTTCATGTAAAGCCCAGATTACGACATTACAGGCGTGGAAGCAGGACCAATCTGGTGGACGAGGATGAGAGGCTGTGTAAGTGAGTTGCCATTGCTTACCATTCACCGGAGATTGATGATGAGGATATGGTCATGGGTGAGAAGAACTTTTGATCGGTTATCCAAACGAGATGGACGTTGCCCGAGCCATGAGGATGCTTGTTGAACCCGGAGTCTTCGTTATCATGTCAACTCTCAACTATAAATAGGTTTACTCATCGCCCGTCTTGGATGTGGCAGCTCTCCATTGTCTCCAAGCATCTCATTCAATCCTCCGATCTGCCTGTTCTCAAAATGAAGTTCATCTCTGGTCTCATTGCCCTCGCTGCCTTGGCCTCTGCCGCCCCTGGCAAGGCTCCCACTCCCCTCGACATCAAGCTCGAGGGTGCTGGTAACGCTGAAATCAAGGCTGTCATTACCAACACGGGCAAGAACAACTTGAAGATCTTCAAGACCGGTACCATCTTGGACAGCGCCCCCGTTGAGAAGGTTACAATCAGCTCTGGTGGTATGTGTCCTCATATCCACTTAGATATTTCTCCATAAACATGCCGTTGCTAATACCACCCACAGAGCACATCGTCGCTTTCGACGGTGTTCGTCAGCGCATCTCTACTCAGAACTTGGCTGAGGATGCCTTCCAGCACATCGCTGCCGGAGAGTCGATCGAGGTGACCTTTGACATTGCCGAGGCCCACGACCTCTCCATTGGCGGCAAATACGACATCCAGTCCGTTGGTGCTTTCTCCTTTGCCCAAGAGGAGTCCAACGAACTTGTTGGCTCTGTGCCATTCGAGACCAACAAGATTGAGATTGAAGTCGACGGCGAGGATGCCTCTGCTCGCCGCGTTGCCTTCCACCAGAAGCGCACTCGCGTCCAGAGCGACTGCACCGGCAGCAAGCTCTCTGTTACTCAGACCGCTCTCCGCAACTGTGCCTCCGTTGCCCAGCTCGCCCAGCAGGCCGCCGCCTCTGGCGCTGCTGCCAAGCTCACTGAGTACTTCAAGTCTTCCACCAGCAGCGTGCGAAGCACCGTCTCCGGCGTTTTCAGCCGCGTGCTCTCCGAGTGCAGCTCAACCAGCAGCGGTGTTGCTAGCTACTACTGCTCCGATGTCCTCAGCTCGTGCTCCTCAAACGTGCTGGCATACACTCTCCCCAGCTCAAGCCTGATGGTCTACTGCAACCTCTACTTCACGGCTCTCCCCGCGCTGACCCGATCCTGCCATGCTCAGGATCAGGCCACCACTAACATCCACGAGATTACGCACTTGAGCCAAGTAAAGGGCACCCAAGACTACAACGGATATGGATACAACTTTGTCCGCAGTCTGACTGCTGCGCAGAACCTCAACCACGCTGATACTTATGCGCTCTTTGCCAATGCCATCTATGCTGGCTGCTAAGCGTGACGCTGAGAAAAATGAAAAGATTTGGCTTGATTCAGGTTAGGAAATATGATCTACACTTGGATATTGCGATTGAATGAATGATGTATGAGATGAAATGAGATGAATGAACAAAAGGGTTGATGAAAGACTGCGCGTTGGTACATGATACAACTTACATATGTACATAGTCACCATAGCCCACAATTATGATTGAAAAATACCTATCCTTTGCCGGATGAAATGGTGACATGTTTCTTCTATCATAATGTAAATTTTCAGTCATTGTCATGAGCCCGTTTACATGCTCACAATACATGTGTAAGTCGAGCATGATTGGGTGCAGGTACTTTTTCCACATAGCTCCCTCGGTGCAGCTGCATGTACCTACCGGAAATGGAAATCTGCACATGTTACGGAGTGCATGTACATAAATGCACGTTTGCACTTAATGACAGTTGAACAAAGAGTGTAAAGTGCATTCAAGTTTTTCTTTCACTTCCTCTCGCCTCCCCTTTCTTTCTTCTTCTTTACCCTCCCTTGGTCTGCCAAGCGTTGGTCTAGAAAATGGTCTGATACCACGGGCACCAATGCATCCAGGCTTGACCCGTCTAGGAGACCCGGCAGCCCAATAAAGCCCCAAAGGAGATGTGATTAAGGCACAGCCCAAGAACAAAAAAAGCAAGGGACCTGATGCAGTGGGACGGGAGCACGGATGTCAGATTGTTGATGCCGGCCCAATGACAAAATGCCGTGTTCCGGCTCGGGGCTCGCCAAAGCAGGAGGCGATGGCTGTGCTGGCGGAGATGGCAGACTACGGAGCATTATTGGGGGCTACTCGAGGCACCTAGTGATGATTGAGTTAATGACCTGTGGGCTGGACAGCTGGACAATTTTGAGAAGTGACTGTATGTGCTGTATTGTGGTATTGGGCTGGACATGTTATGAGCAATGTCCATGTAGGCAGCATCATTCGTTGTTCGAGTCCTTATGGCTTGTCGCTTAGGCACTTGGTCGTAATAGCGGTGGATTATATTCTCCCAAGTCGGGCGGATGATGCCCTTAGAGTCATTCGCTGCCGTGGGCCCCATTTACACCGTTCAACTTTTTTTTCCCGAACCCTCTCACTCATTCTGGATGCATGCAAGGGTCAAAGCAATGTCTTTGTTATGCAAGTGGGTTTTTTGCCGGGCAGAGCATGCAGCTAAAAAGCCTTGATTTGATTTTTTACAGGCCAACGACGCCAGTGGGGGGGAGATTTTGCAGTCGCCAATGTCTTCACGAAAACGTCACCAGGGGCCCCTCACCTGAACACAAAAAATGATCGCGGGTTCACCTCACCTCTTACAGAGCCACATGAGGAAAGGCCCTGATACCGTATCCGCAGAGTCTCACTGTCTTCTCCCGTGCTCTGTCGCGTCTCTTTGTCCGTCTCGTATAATAATAATTATAATTAGCGTCTGAGCAGCCGTCCTTTGTTGGGAATGACACACCAGAGAGGCCACAACACCTGAGCCCTCATTCTCACCAGCCACATTCCCTCCCGGCATCACGAGAGCCACCCTTGGGCCCGGCTCCCTCACGCGAACCTCAGCGAACCATTTGATCCTCTTGCCCCTGTCCGTGACCTCACCTGTGGCTTATCACGGGGCCTCTCTGGCCACTAGCATCTATCTGGTGCTGCAAGTCTCAGCTTGTTCGCAACCCAGACCAGACCAGCAACCCCTGTCCAAAACTTGGAACCGAGTGGAAGGCCTCAAGCGGGGCTCAGCACACCAACGTCATCGCCGCCCTCTTGCTGCTGGCCAGAAAGAGGGTTGTTTCATATAACCGCTTGGCTCTGGCCCTTGCGTTCGGTCTCACCATCTTCTTTCATCCTTTTATAGCATCAGGACGAAGCCCGGAATAGTTTGTTTGCGGCCAGTAGTTTGGCTCTTATTCAAGGAGCTATCGATCGCTATCAGACAAAGAGAGCGACACTGTTCTTTGTTCCGCTGCTTCCTGTTTATTACGGGCGGCTAGACTGAACAGCCGCTGAACAGCCTCGGAAGCCTCGTACAGATCTTGATTGCTACAGATTCACCATGGCTAGTCGCGGAGATCGCTGGGATCGCCTCGGTGGCGAGAGAGACAGGGTTCATTCGAGAGAGCGTTTCGTCGAGGAGGATCGACTTTTCATGGCTGGCGGACGAGGCCCCCGAGAGCAGTCCGCCGACCGATTTGACCGGCTGTACGGAAGGACATCTTACGAAGACGATCTTGTCCGTGACCGCCGATTCTACGAAGATGACCGCTTCAGTCGCCGGCCCGAGCCGCCTCGCGGAGAGCGCATCGTATTGGAGAAAGAGCGCGATCGCGAATACTACCGTGACACTTCCCCGCGACGCCCGACTATGGTACGCCGTCAGTCATCACTCGACACTTATGACCGTCGCCCACTCCCCAAATTCTTTGACCAACGCGAAGAGTTGCCGCCACCGGCCAGGCGCGAGGATATTCGCCGAGAAGAGTACCGCGAGGAATACCGGGCCCCGTCATACACACCTATTCCGCTGCCCAAGGCTCGAGGCCTGCCACCGGCTCGGCGATACGATGAGCGCTTTTACGAGGACATCCACGTTGAACATGATCGCCTCGAAGACGGCATCCCGCGTTATCCCGAGCGCATTGTTGAGCGAGAGATTATCCGCGAGAAGGAGAAGGAAAAGGAAAAGGAAAAGCGAAGCAGGAGCCGAGACTCTCGTTCCACCAAGAAGAGCCACCGAGGCAGATCGCGAGCATCCAAGTCTTCGACCCGGTCTTCCAGCAGCAGCAGCAGCAGCAGTAGCAGCAGCAGCGGTGGCACCACGCTTAAGAGCGCCAAGAGCGAGTACCCGAAGAAGGGCAAGACGAGAATTCCCGCCAGACTTGTGTCTAAGCGTGCTTTGATTGATATTGGATATCCCTTTATCGAAGAGGTATGTCTCCACATATGATTTGCTAAGTATATGCAAGTACGTGTATAGAAACTGACCATACGGTCAATAGGGCAATGTCGTTGTTGTTCAAAAGGCCCTGGGACAGGCCAACATTGATCATTTACTCAAGCTCAGTGAGGAGTACAAACAAAGTGAGTCTAGTTCTCATTTAGCACTTTTGCGATGAGTTGCTTGATATTAACCCAAATACCAAAGGCGAACTTGAAATTTCTGCGGCTCGATCCTCAGCCGGTGAAATTGTTCGAGAGCGCAGAGAAGAGCTCATCATCGATACCCCAGTTCATCTTCGAGAGCGCCGAGAAGAGGTCATCATCGAAACCCCAGCTCATCATCATCACCCCCCTCAACCTCACGCTTATCCTGTCCCTACTTCACAGGCCATCGTCATCCCCGCTCCCCCTCCACCGGCCCCCGTCATCATCGAGGCTACTCCCCGCGATGTCGAGCTGATCGACAAGACGGTGTATCGTGATATGTCACCAACGGTGAGCAGCAGAAGCCGCTCGCGCTCTCACTCACATCACCACCACCACCATAGCAGCAGCAGCGAGTATCAGCTGGTGGAGCGCCATCGATCAAAATCACGAAGCGGCAGAGAACTCCGTGCCGAGATCCGAGCCCTGGAGAAGGAGCTGTCACACGGACGAAGGCGTGAAGTTAGCGACAAGGAGATTGTCCGGACCGAGAGACTTCCCAACGGCGAGCTCATCGTATACGAGGAGCAGGTGGAGAGGTTTGCGTCTCACAAGCCGGCGCGTATTGAGAAGGACAAGAAAGGTAGGATGTCCATCAGCGTCCCAAAATACCGATGAAGGTGCGCCGCGCCATTAATATCTCTCTGCTTTTTTTGTCATTTCTATGGGATAGGCAGCTGACCTGGACTGTACAGGACCATCGCCTGGAATTATGCGAGCCATGCTGGCGACCCTGACTTGAGCGTTGCGAGTTGTTGTAAGACAACGACGTCATGAATTAATGAATGAACGGATGAAAGATGAACTTCTTTGGACATTTTTGTAGAATGCTTCGCTGTTTTGATTTGATGACAAAGGGTTGTATTGGCTACAGCTGGTTGATGCTGTTATTTCTTATGCGGTTTACGGATCTGGGTATTTGGCATGAAGGTTTACATATATATACGGTATATTGGATATATCAAAGAGTTTGAAGTAACGAAATATTATGTCTTTTTATCAATTACGGTGTAATATGTTGGCTGATGACTGAGATTGCGTGAACCCTATTATTATGGATAGAAATTGGCGAATATGACAGACTCTTCTCTACTTTCAATTGACAGTCAGAGCATCAAAAGTTCCCAGTTAGCTTTAGCTTCACATGCGATGCGGATTTTGTTATCCCCGTTATCAGATTCCGAGGCTACAAAAGAACCCCGACCGTAGCCGTGCAATTCACCCGTAACGGCAAACGCTGCATGCACCTATTCGCCATAGTACGGCGTGCCTATCGTAAGATTTGCGATATGTGACTACAGGTACAATCTGCATCTGCCTAGAACTCGCGAATGCTTGGAGATAACGCGAAGGAATCGGGTACAGTAAACGAACCCCGCTGGGACAATTCATTGATAATCTCACGCAATCGCTCATCTCGTTCAAGAGATTCATCGTTTGCTTCAATGGGAGCGAGCATTTGTAGTTGATTAGGGAAATACAGCAGAAGACAGACGAATTGACAAAGAGTGAAGAGTTGAAGATTTACAACTTCAACTCCCGGCTTCACCATGATCATCTCCAAAAGCGCCATTGCTTCGGGCATTTTGCTCGCAGGCAGCGCGACAGCTCAATTACGACTACCCCCGTTCTTTGCGGCCAAGCAGCAAGCCCTGGGCCCTTCTGCCAGATCCCAATTTCAAAGCTTCGGGTTCAGCGAGCAGCAGCCATTGACCGGCTCAAACATTGGGACAGCGACATCATCCTCGTCAACAGATGATATCCCCGCCTTCAAGGCCGGCCAGTTCACTCTGACGCCACAAGATGATTCTACGTGTGCTACGTATGGCGAGTCGCAATGGACCGGCACCATCGACGTGACGGACTCGCATCGCCTCTTCTTCTGGTTCTTCGACAGCCGCAACGACCCCGTCAACGACCCCATCATCATCTGGATGAACGGAGGGCCCGGCGGCAGCTCAATGCTGGGCCTCTTCAACGAGCTGGGAGCTTGCTGGCTCGAGCCCGGCGCAAACACCACGATTCCAAATGACTTTGCCTGGAACAACAACGCATCAGTGCTCTTCCTGGACCAACCCGCCGGCGTCGGCTTGTCCTCTCGCTCTAAAGATTCTCCAATCCCAGCATATGATCTCGACGGCGCATCCGACTTTCAGACCTTCCTCAACATCTTCTTCAGCGAAATCTTTCCCGACCGCGCCAGCCTACCAATTCACATTGCCGCGGAATCCTACGGCGGCCACTACGGTCCTACATACTTAAACCACATCCTCAACTCACGAAGTCTCAACTCGCGCGACGCCTTCCACGGCAACATCACCTCGCTGATCCTGGTCGACGCCGTCATCGACTTTGCCGCCCCTGCAGTGGGCGTGTACGAGTTTCTGTGCAAGGGCTATGGGCACCACGGCAAGATTATGAACGACACGACGTGCGAGGCGCTGAGGTTGAGCGTGCCCAAGACGTTTGAGCTGGCTAGGAATTGTGACGCCAGCAGTGATGGGTATGAGTGTTGGGGCATGATGACGTTTCTGGAAGAGATTGTGCATCCGTACTATTATGCCGAAGTCGAGGCAGGCAAGAGGAATCCGTTCAACGGTGAGTTGAAGAAACTTTCAAGCTTCTCCCAAGTGTCTGAGCTGTAGTCATCTAATACTTGCAACATAGTCCATATTCCGTGTCCCAACTGGCCCTTCTGCGCAGACATCAGAAAAGGCAACATGTCAGCCTACATCAACCAAGCCCACATCAAAAAGGCCCTCAAGCTCCCCCCGTCCTATATTTTCGAGGACATTGACATGGTCCTCAACTCCGCCTTCGTCCTCTCCAAAGATCCCTTCCGGACCACCACCCGCGAGCTCGCCCGCATCCTCGACGCCTACCGAACCCCCAACCTGGGCGACATTCGCGTGCTGGTTCTGCAGGGCAACGAGGACTACGTCGTCAACACGCCGGGCAACATCTGGGCGTACGAGAACCTGCGCTGGAGCGGGCTGGCGGACTATCGTCTCGCGCCGTGGCGGGAGCTGCCGGAGAGCATGGCGGCGACGGGGTCGTGGAAGAGCTCCGGCCGGCTGGCGTTTGTGGCCGTGGACGGAGCGGGCCATACCGTGCCGGGGGATGTGCGTGAGGGCAGCTACAGGATTGCGCAGGAATGGCTCGAGGGAGGATGGAGGGCGTGAAGCAGCTTTGGGGTGGAGGGTTCTGGTGTAAGTAGTTTTTAGTAGCAAGTCTTCAACTTGTGAGCATGTGAGCCGAGGCTCATGTACGAGGACGCCATAGGAAGAGGGATCATAACGTATCATAACGTATCAAAGCCAATAAGATGAAAGACACACCAAAAATTTCCAACTTGCGTATAAGTCCCCATCCCGCATTTCCGCTATTACCCCAGACCAACCTTCACTAAAAGATCCATCTCAGACGTGGGGAAATGACCAAACAGTTTCTCTTTAGCTTCTCTTTAGCACCGGCCCGCGTTTCCAGCCACATCTCCACGCGGGAGCATCGTTTCTTTTTTTCTTCCTTTGCTTTAACCTATTCGACTTTTGCCCCTCACGCACGAGCCGAGGCAAGATCCCGTCTATATGCGTGTGTCAGGTCAAGACTCGACTTGGTGGCGCATAATGTGAGGAGAGGACGTCCTGTCTTATAAAATAGCACGTCGTTTGCCACTCACCATCCACATTGTATTTATGAGTGATTATATTTCTCTCATGAGAGCCCTCTTTTGAATCCTGAGAACCTTGCTTCTCAAAATACTCTCACAAAACTCGCTGTTCCTTGCAAACCTCCGTCGTGGCCATGACCGTCCTCAACACCGCACAAGCCCTCTGGGCCCGCCTCGTAGCAACCCACGATCCCCATACCATAGACTTCGTCGGCACCCTCATCATCCAATTCATATTCTGGTGGATCCCTTGCATCCTCTTCGTCTTCCTCGACTCCATCGCGCCCTCCTTCTCCGCGAAACACAAGATCCAGCCCGCCCCCAAACAACCCTCCGCCAACGACATCCTCCACTCCGTCCTCGTCTGCATCCGCAACCAAGTCATCGTCTTCGCCCTCCACGCCGCCCTCCTCTACGCCTCCTCCGCCAAGGGCCGTTCCCCCAGCATCAGAGTCGACGCGAGCTTCCCCACAGTCCAGGAGTTCACCTACCATATCGCCGTCAGCGTGCTCGCTCGCGAGGTCCTCTTCTACACCTCGCACCGCATCTTCCACTGGCGCCCGCTGTACAGGCGCTTCCACAAGACGCACCACAAGTTCACCGCCCCCGTGGCTTTCTCCTCGCAGTATGCCCATCCCGTGGAGCATCTCATGGCAAACGTCCTGCCAATCTTGCTGCCGCCGCTGCTGCTGGGGTCCCATATCCTGACCATGTGGGTGTTTGTGGCTTTTCAGCTCATCGAGACATCGACGGTGCACAGCGGATACGATTTCTTTGCGGGGGCAGCTAAAAAGCATGATAGACACCACGAACGCTTCGAGGTGTATTATGGCGGAATCGGGCTCCTGGACTACGTTTTTGGGACGGATGAAAGAGAGGGCCCTAGGAGAGATAAAAAAGAATGAGCAGGAATATTTTTCTTTCTCAATATGCCTTCGTAATAAATCATTTGGCATATTGTTTGCGTTTTCCTGTATATAGCTCTCTTCAAAGTTAAACATTGAAGTAAAGTGTTGCTTCATCGCATGTTTCACAGCCTCATAGTAAACACACAGCCTCATAGTAAACACCATAATCACGTATTGCACGCTTGGACAAGTAAACCAAACCCTACTTTGTATCAGCTAGTTTGCAAAAGGAAAAAGGAAAAGGAAAAAGCATATGAAAACTGCCAACCAAAGCCCATGGCTCATCGAAAGCGCGTATCATTTCTGAGTAAATCATCTCATCGCGGCGTCGGTCGCCAGCAACCGCAAACACAGGAAGCAAACGCCGTTATCCCAAACCATGGGCGCCATCCTGACCGTGCTCTTCTTGATACAATAGTCAACCCAAAAAGTTAAGCGTAACCTTAATATACAACGAAGACGTCCTTTGATTTATCAAAACAGTAAGGAGGACAAGAGGCTATTCACACCCGACTACCCTTGACCGAAACCCCTGCACATGTTATTTAGGCCGACTTATACGTCTCCTTAATCTTCGTATACAATACGGTATCGTAAAAGTTGTAGTTAGAGTCCAACTCGCAGAACGGATGTTGCGAAAGAAGCACGTCGGCTGTTGGCCGATCAAATGGATTCCTGCACTTCTTGTTAGCATCTTGTCTCTGTTATAGAGAAACCCCTCTTCAAAACTTACACTTGGAAGCAGTCCATCATAAACGCCACTGCGAGGTGGCCGATGGTCTCCTGGATGTCTTCAGGGATCGGGGGCGTCTCTCCGTTTGCGATCTTGTAGATGGCACCGACGGCTTCCTCTTTGCTCCACGGCCGCCGTCCTGCAAACATCTCCAACACGACGCATCCCAAACTCCAAATGTCCACCTTGGCACTATACCCCTCGTTTTGTGACCGGATAACCTCGGGCGCCATCCAGAATACGGATCCTTGCATGTTGTTTGATTTGTCGTTGCCGTAGATATTATCCGTCTTCTTAGATATACCGAAATCGCTGATCTTACACGTTCCATCTAGATCCAGTAGAATGTTGTCCGCCTTTAAGTCTCGGTGCAAAATACCTTCTCGGTGGAGATAGGCCAACCCAGATAATGTCTGCCGTGTAAGGGATGATACAACCGATTCTTCAAACTTGCCGTGCTTGCGTAGGCACGAGCCGATGCTGCCACCAGGAATATATTCTAGGAAGATACTAATGCTGGTTTCCTTTCGCTCGCATCCTAGGTATTGTACGATGTTGACGTGGTCTAAATGCTGCATCGTGTCGATCTCGTGATCCAGAGCGGCTACGAGTTCCTTCATCTTACTCTTGTCTCCTCCCGCCGCTTTGGGGTTGACTTCAACTTCCTTGACGGCCAAGAATTCACCCGTCGTGGCATTCATACCCAGATAAACGCGTCCATAAGTACCTTTCCCAATGAGCTGGCCCTTGAACCATCTGAATGTCGTCTGTCGCTTTGGCAAAGTATCTTGTGGGATATCACGCGGGAACACCATACCGCCACGCTGGTCTGGACGAATCTGCACAATGTTTGCGTTGAACATCTTGGTGCTCTTTCGGCGCATGATTCCGGTAGTAGTAGCGTTGCCCGAGTTGTGCGGCGCGTGTGTGAATCGCTTGTTAGCCTCATGAGCACCCCGAGCAACTTCACGGATAGACTTCATACGCCCAAGACCGCCAGATCGCCTCATGCTCTTTTGAGCCACTGTTTGTATGGATGGGCGACGATCCAGGGCCTTCAGTGTCGATTCGTCGGAGCCAAGCGTATCCCCTCCATCATAGACAGATTGGCTGGAAGACGCGACAGCGGGAGGGGGGTTAATATTGTCTTGATACATGGCGGGGGCTTGAACAGGAGGAGGCACAGTCTGCTGTGGCGACTCCTCGACTTCAGGGATCGGAGAAGTTGTCATCTCGGCTGAGACGCTGTCCTCAAGAACAGGCTCATCGAGGTCGTAATTCGGGAAGAAATCGTCGAGGTTGTTGAGCAAATCATCGGTGGGAGGTCGGTTAGCCCACACATCCTTCTCAATAAACGACTTGCGGCGGCCAAGTTTGACTTCCTTGTCAGACTCCCAGGTTTCTGAGCCAGGGGTTCCAGGAGTTCGACGGGAACCATTTCCGGTCCTGGACCAATCGTCTGTGTTTTCACCTGTGGATTTGGGAGAGGTAAACGAGACCGAGAGAGTTTTGCTCTTCGGCCGCGAAGTATTCACAGTCAGGCTGGGCTTCTGTGCATGTCCAGGCCTGCCACTTGGCTCTTTGCCCTTTCCTCTACCGGCGAGCGGAATAGCAAACAAACCATCGTCAGAATCATCGTCGCTATCATTGGCAGGCAGCTGGCGGCCTTGGGCAGAAGAGGGCTGCTGGGTAACAGGTGGTTGGGTGAATTGGACGTCTGTATCAGTAAAGTCCAGGTCTGGGCCGGGGGATTTCGGGTTGGTAGGGGGTGGGGAGGACGGGTTTGCCATGGGCGGCGGCCGGGTTGAACTGGGGCTGAGCTCCGTAGGGGACGGCGGCCGTTGCCCTATCATGTTGAATTTAGTAATTGATTCATCATTGCTTAATACTGAAGCCGCCAAAGGGGGCGAAGGGGCAGGTGAATAGTCAGGCACAACAAAGGACATGTTTCCCGGACTCCAAGTAAGAGTCTTGGGAGAGCCCGAGCCAGGACTGGGCCTGGTCGAGCTAGTTTCACGAAAATTAACAATAGACATAGCTTTCTTACCTAGCGGCAGCTGCTGCAAGCCGTTGCTGGCTGCGATCGGTTGTGTTGCAACTCTGTTGGGCGACACTCCACGCGGCCCGTTGGCCGTTGATTGTCCGATAGCCCCCAGATTTCTGCCCATGCCAACCAACGCCGCGCCTACAAAGCCACCCATGCCCGCGGGAGGTATATTGAACTTCTGTTGTGGCGGCCTCTTACCACTCTCCGACGCCTCCGTTTCAGGCGACACAGCCGAAGGCAGAGGGTATCGTGGCGTTGCATGCCCTTCAGCAACGTTGCCGTTCATGTGCCGTCCTGTCTTCTTGCTGAGTGAGTTCGCCTTGATCAATGTTGCGGATGGATCACTTGGCGGTGCCGGTGGTCGTCGTTGGGGCAGGAGGTGTTCAGGCTTTCTGTCTTCATACGGCGACATTCGAGGCTGGTCGAAATCAACATTCCTACCCACAATACCAAAACCTACAACGGATTCAGGGGGCACAATCGGGCTCTCCTTCATCTGGGCCTGTTTTTTCTTTGCAAGGTATTCGCGCTGCTTCCTTGCCATCTCAGCTCTGTACTCGCTCGCCTCTTGAGCCAAAGTACTCTCATCCACCTTTTCCGACGTTAGCGTGTTTGATCGAGACGTAGGCGGGGACGAGCTAGATCTCTGGCGTCCATTGAGACGTGCATACGCCTCTGCATCTATTCCTGGAGGGATGGCATCTGGCGACAGCAGCGTTGGCACTTCACTGCTCAGACTGGGAGTTAGTGCGTTATGTGAAGTAACAAAAAACTTGAGCGTCCCCGCAGAATCAGCCTTTACTCGCTTGGTGGTTAGAAGCTTTTGATCATCCAGAGGCTCAGTGTGTTCAAACTGGCCCAGCTCGGTAGTATATATGAATGAACTCTCAATGTCGGGAAGGCCGAGGTTCAAGCAGATGGCTTGACGAATATCCGCGGCAGTCTCCGCCTCCGTGATATCACACATGCGGTAGTTCCAGTAATCCATAGTGGCCAAGACGAATATTCTGCCCTGGGTGGCATGGTGTTTCGGTCTGTACTGTGAAGTAATGCTAGATGTGTCCAAGTGGGCGTCACTTGCATCGGACCCATGAGTTGCCGTCGACACCGGCTTATAGAGTGCCGCTGGTGAAGTGGGGGAGTCGAGATCATCCGGTGAAGGAAAGGCGCCATCAACTTGCTGGCGCTTTTTCCTGGAGAGGAAACTAAGGAAACTCTTGTTGTCTTTGGCAGATGAAGGAGATTCCGCATGCTTGTTGGAGTAACCGTCTTGACTTCTCGACGCGGACATTAACTCCGCCAAGCTCATGCCTCGATTCATAAGCCCAATTGCCTCTGGCGGAATTCCCGATCCATATATCGCGGCGTTGGATGCGGCTGAATCCGTACTATTCCTTGAACGATGGGTAAACTTGGATGAGCTTGGTGATGACGAGAGAATAGGAGTTGTGGCCGAGTGGAAGAGCGTGGGCTGAGGGGCCGGGCTGCCACCTGGACTGGCCGCATGTTCAGCAGTAGGACTCTGACGTCCGAGTTCGAGGCCCTTTAAAACTGCTCTATGGTTCGCATCAGTGCCGTTTGCAGGTGGCATCGTTGTCGATCTGGTTTGAGAAAACCTTCGTGCGGCTATGGAGTTGGGAGGCACTATAGGAGACTCGATGTTGTCGGCGGCATCTGAGCCAGCAGTAGGAAGGTTAGAAGGTTGGCTGGAAGCTGTAGATTCCTTCCGGCTGTGAGCGGGGACGGCTTTGGAAGCTTCGACGGGGCGGCCGGTAACGACACTCCTAATTAACCTCCGCATACGTTTTCCCTCTTCTCTCTCTCTCGGCTGATCCCACCCCGTTCCGCTGTTCGTACACTCCTGTGCCAATCGAGGATATACCCGCTGGTGCATCATACCAAAGTTTCCACGACCGCCGTGGGCACTGCCCAGTTCTAAGAACTGTGCGCCATACAGGTTCAGGGATCTGAACGTCTCTTGCCAGTCTTTGGAGAACTGGTTCTGTGCCAGCCACAGCAGGACCTTGTCCAGCGGCCACTGGGCTGCTATTTCGGGAGGGATGGTGCTTGGCGCAGTAGCGGTTGTCGGTGCATTCGGTGCGTTTGGCCCTTTGGCCTGACTTCCTCCCATATATGCTTGCTGTTGTCTTTCATCCATTGACATCATGGTGCCAGTGTCCGTGCCGCCTTGCGCCCACGAAGTTTGCGGTTCTTCTCTACCGAACGCTGGTATACCCACACCTTCGCCATATGTGTCCCCCGTCGGTATATACGTCGCGCTCATAGCATCGGTCTGGCGCGGGGGAGGAGGTATAGCCATTGCCTGCATCGCGGCGTGAAACTTATTAGGGTTGTAGGGCTGGTGTTGGTTGGTTGGAGGCGGCGGAGGC